CGACTCTCTTCATTTGATTGTCATATCCCCGTGTGCTGAAACTCCGTGCGCTGATAACATCGACATCTGAACATGAGCGGGCATATTTTGGAAGCCTTCAAACTCTCATTAGACTCTATTATGCTATCTGCAAGGTACTTCTCGCTACCTTTCTGGGACGGCGTGACTTTTTCTTTTCTTCAACACTATATCTGACACTCCCTGTGGTAAACTGGCGCGGCGTTCGGGACCGCGGGTGCTTATGTACGTATGTGCTCTGCTAACTGGCGCAACGGCGCTCACTTTCACCTGGTCAAATGTCCGATAAGGTCTCACTGATTCTGTCTCGGACGTCTCTCTGACTGGTGCAGCACTTGTGGTATCTCGCCCACGGCACAAATATGCAGCGATATGGCACTCGGCTTATTTCCTCGGGGCATGTCTCAAGATGATCAATGATGATTGGTCGCCCCATGCTCCGCTCATGATTCTCTCCGTCTTTGATCGAATCACGATTCTTGCTGTCGCAAACTCAAGAATCCTATCATATCGCTAGCGTTCGGCGCCTCTTCTGCGGTGGGCAGCTCGATTGGACAAATTCTCCGTGGCCTCGCATATCTTTCTCTGAAGTGGCTCCAATCGAACGCAGACAAATGGAAGTCCAAGATCAATGGGCCCACGCGCCTCCCGCCACACCGACAAGAAAAACCGTTGGAAACGGACGCCGGAATCTCGGAGAACCGGGCTTTGTGTTTTAACTCTCCCGCGATTGTCCTTGTCAGAGAACCGGCGTTCAAAGTGACTGGCGAGTAGCTGCTTGTAGCCCCGCCGGCGATGCTTCAGACGATTTGGGTGCACCCATATGAGCATTCAGCTCTCCGTCTCGCAACACAGGTTGCAAACTCATCGTCCGCCCGTGACTCACTGGCACTTGCCATGTCAACTAATGTTGGGTTCCTGATCAATGCTTAGGCACAGGAGACCTTGCATCACGTTACCAAATCGGGCAACGCGTCACGACGCGTCTCTCATCTCATCTAATTCAATTGATACCGTCTTGAGTCAAACGATCACGCCCGATATAAAGGCACTGCACCAGGCCCCACGCTCATTTCCTTTCTTTGCTCGCCATGGGTAATGTCCCAGCGCAGCCCAGTCATCCGCTGGTCACCCGTAAGCGCTCGACGGCAGGATTCTCGCGCGTCATCCTGCCATGCACATCAACGAACTTTGTCGACGTCGCCGAGAACGACTCGAAGGAAACCGTCTCCCTCATGAACGAAAAGCCGTGCTGCATCTCCGCCGAAAGCAGTCCCCGCCGCCCCACCCACCTCCCCATCGTCCCCGATCCCTCCAGCTCTCGCCTGCTGCCCCCACCCCCATTTTCTCTCTATGCTCCAGGCCAGGACGCGCCCATCGATGCAGCTGCCACCGCATATACTCTGTTTCTCGATCGGTTTCCCGGTGCGCCGAATAGACTGTGCCCCTGATAGGCTCTTCTTGCTCACTACTCGTGCGTTTCGCAGAATATCGGCTTACTTGGATTGTCGACGCACTTCGCCGCAGCGATTACTCGCGGCTAGAGACGACGGGGGAGACATACGTCGATTACATGGGCGGGGCGATATATCCCGAGAGTCTGATCCGGGTTCACACTGACTTCCTGCATCGCAGCGTGCTAGGAAACACCCACTCTGTCAGCAACAGGTGAGTGATTGTTCGCTTCGACAGAGATTGGGTTTCATCGCAGTTCCATATCAGCTCAAGCCTGTCATTGCGCTCGGCAGATGAAGCGAGAGCAGCCGTGCTGGGCTTTTTCCGCGCCTCTCCCGTCGATTATACCGTGGTCTTCACCGCCAATGCCACCGGGGCCTTGAAACTGGTTGGGGAATCGTATCCGTTTACGGGGGGTAGTTCCTACGTCTTGAGCGCCGACTCGCACAACAGCGTCCATGGCATCAGGCAATATGCGACATATCGCGGGGCAAAGACAGTTTACATACCCACGACACCGACTGGAGGCTTCGATGTCTCGGTAGCAAAGGTGCGCATGGTCTCAGATGACTACGTCTGTTGGTTTGATTTTGGTCTCAGAATGTGCTCCTCCGCTCCCGTCCACGTGCCAAGGCCACAGCCCCGAGTCTCTTCGCACTCACCGGCCAATCAAATATCACGAACACTAAAAACCCGCTGTCCATCATCGAATATGCAGCTTCGCAGGGCTATCACACCGTTTTGGACGCGGCCGCGCTGGCCGCTTCTTCGACGATATCGTTGGCCGATTGCCCTGTTGATGCCATGGCAGTTTCGTTCTACAAGATGTTCGGTTTTCCGACCGGGGTCGGGGCGTTAGTTGTCAAAAGGTCGTTTCTAGCGCAGTTGCAGCGTCCGTGGTTTGCGGGGGGGACGGTCAACGTTGTGCAGGTCCCTGGCAACATTGTGACGCGATCCATGCAGCTCCACGAGCAGTTCGAGGTCCGTCCATTAAGGATGTCTTGTCACCGAAACTCAGACCATGTTCGCAGGATGGCACCATCAACTTTTTGACACTTCCCGCCGTTACCGATGGACTGAGGTTTCTGTCCGCATATCTGCCTTTCCTGCCTCTTCGACTGTCGTGTCTTTTGAAGTATCTCGTGATATCACTGGGGAAACTACGGCACGAGACAGGGCTTCCTGTTGTTCGGATCCTTTCCGCGATTCCGTCACAACGTCTGAAGAACGTCGGCGAGCAATCGGATACGGGATCCATCATTTCCCTCATCTTTCTCGATGTGAGTGCAGATTCCCAATCATGTTTCAGCCGTATTTATCCATATCCGGCCAGCCCAACGGAGAGATGATGTCCAATTCGTTCGTGGAGTTCGCGGCCGCCAAGCTCAACATCTCTCTGCGCACTGGGTGTATGTGCAACTCTGGGGGTGCAGCTGCGCTGCTGGGGTTTCAGCCAACGATGGAGCTGATGTACGAAGGAATAACCGTGCAGGGCCTGGAGCAACTGGCAGGCATGGAGCTTGGTGTTGTTCGGATCAGTCTCGGCTTGGCGAGTAACTTCCAAGATGTCTGGACGGTGCTGCGATTCGCCCAGCTTCTTGCGGCCGAGAGAACGAGGTCGATATTATGGGAGCATTATACGGATGCCACAGGCGTCGTCATCGGGGAGGCGATATAGCCACAGCCGCTGGGTCTCGGAAAGGGAAACGGAAAGGGAAACTGGAGGATTAAATCTGACTGTTCAGTTATCTCACGGGGGACCTTCTATCTCGCATCATGTATCATCTTATATGTTGTATCTTTACATTGTTGTCGGCACCGCAGAATATGCCACCACTACCCCATCAGACCCAGTGGTTCTTTTCCTGCTGGTCCGTCTGTTGAATGATGCATGATGGCCGCTGCCTTCCAAGTGAATGTCGCTTCCTCCCGGAAAGATAAGGAATATGTATATTTATAAACGAGGTCCCCTCATCCTTTCCGTCTATGTTTAGATCACATCCGCTTGCAAGCGAATAAATAAGTATAAAAGATATATTGTTAACGAGTGAGGTTAGGGTTAGCGCGATTCAAAGTCCAAAAAAAAAGGCCCGCCTAGCCGAGTGGCCGTGGCGGAACAGGAAAATATTGAGACGGTGCATGAGCCGAAGCCCATACAAACCGCAGGCCCACTCGGAATGGACAGGGTCGCCGTGCTATGGAGTGTTCCCACGGCCCAAAAGCCCAGGTCCGTGAAGGAGCTTGTGCCATCAAGGTAAGTATGCGGTACCAGATGTTGTGCGTTGGATTTTATACGATTCGAAGCGCACGGACCAGAAGTTTTGCACGTGAATATCACGTGTTCTACACTCTTCGGTCCCATGCACGACCCTCATCAGTGCCGGAGCTCAGGTGCTCAGGAAGACGTGCTGTGTTTGCACGTGGACGAACCCCCAAGCAGCTTGCCAAGATCCCATGGGCTTTGTTCTTAGCCGTCTTTCGGAAGGCGCCTTGTAGCCGGTTCCGGCAGCGCCTTCGACCACTCTTCGAGGGCTCCCTGGCCCTTGGGTGACTCAGCTGAATTCACAAGAAGCTGGATTAATAAGGCTCTCGGAGTCCTTGTACGCGCAAGCCAGTTGCCGAGGATAATCTCTGTTCCATCTGTGTATCGATGATCGTTTGACGTCACTTCCGAGACTCCGGACTGAGAGGTAGGGCCCGCGATATAAGAGGGGGGCATCTCCTGCGATTGCTTTTCATACTCGCATCCCACTCTGCATTACTGCCAATGTCTTTCTGGACGTCTCCTCCTCAGCCTGCCACCAAGCTCGGTGTCTACCGCACTCTCTCTGCGAAAGCTGGCGTGCATGTCTCGCCCCTGCAGCTCGGCGCGATGAGCGTTGGCGACCAGTGGGATAAGCTGGGCATGGGCTCCATGGACAAGGAATCCAGTTTCAAGCTCCTCGACGCGTATTTCGACGCCGGCGGAAACTTCATTGACACCGCGAACAACTAGTCCGTCGATCTGCTTGTCGCCCATAGATTGCACACCTGCTGACGCGTGTTGCAGTCAGGATGAGACTTCCGAGATGTTCATCGGCGAATGGGCTGAGAAGCGCGACATCCGGGACCAGCTGGTCATCGCTACCAAGGTAAGACACTGCCGATTCGAGGCTTTTCGACGATGATATTAACTGGACCCAGTACACGAGCGGATACAAAGCACGCCAGGACAAGTACGCCCAAAAGGTGAACTACGTCGGCAACAACATCAAGTCCATGAACATCAGCGTCGATGCCAGTCTCAAGAAGCTGCGCACGCACTACATCGACATCCTGTACCTGCACTGGTGGGACTGGGACACCAGCGTCGAAGAGGTCATGGACGGACTGCACAACCTCGTGGTGCAGGGCAAGGTTCTGTACCTCGGCGTTTCGGACACTCCCGCCTGGATCGTCGCGCAGGCCAACCAGTACGCTCGTGATCACGGAAAGTCGCCGTTCGTCATCTACCAGGGCGCGTGGAACGTGATGGCCCGCTCGTTCGAGCGCGAGATCATTCCCATGGCTCGTGCATACGGTACGCTCATCAGCTGTTATTCCCCGGACACCATGTGCTTACCTCTATCCAAGGAATGGCTCTCGCTCCCTGGAACGTGCTGGCTGCCGGAAAATTGCGCACGGATGCTGAAGAAGAGGCCCGTCGCACCTCCGGAGAGAAGGGCCGCATGATGTTCGGACCGGACTGGGAGCGGAACGCAGACGAAAAGAAGATGTCTGCCGCTTTGGAGAAGGTCGCCAAGGAAGTTGGCGCCAAACACATCACTTCGGGTACGCTCCGTTTCACGTCCTGTTCAGCTGGTCTCATCCTTGCTCCAGTCGCCATCGCCTACCTGATGCAGAAAGTCCCCTACGTCTTCCCCATCATCGGTGGTCGCAAAGTCGAGCACCTGTTGGCCAATGTCGAGGCTCTCGACGTGGTCCTGTCCCCGGAGCAGATCGCCTATCTGGAGAGCATTCTGCCATTCGACCCTGGCTTCCCCAGCACCATGATCGTACGTTTACGAGGTCTGCATCCGGAATTTGTAGATATTGATAAGCTTCCAGGGCGATGGGCTAAAGCACAGCAACCTCATCGCATCCGTCGCTCATTTCGATCGCCTGCCTATCCCCCAGGCCATCCGCCACGGCAAGGAGTAGATATTCTACACCAAAACCGGTACAAAACACAATGTATTCTTGCTATCGAACAAATGTCGCACATCATCGTGTCAAGATTGCTTCGATTTTGAGTTACGGCCAGGATTTGGTGACGGCCAGCCTGGTCAGAAATTTAGATGTGTGGACCGCCGGTACCGGACTCAAAATCTCTCTGCGGTCGTACTTGTCCCTCCACCGTTCAGTGCTTCCTTCAGCGCTGACTGGCAGTTCAGGTCGCAATTTAATCCCAATGGATTCGATCGCAGCTGAGAAAATTAGGATTCGGTTTCTACTGTGGTGTTGATCAAGGATGGCCCTGGGATTTTCTGCAGGACTGATGCACCAGCACACTTCGAAGCATATAAGTAGATGATGTTTGAACTCACGCCAGCAGCCAGGAAATTAAAGCCTGACTTGGGTCGGTCTGGCCTCTTGACAAATGCTGGCTGAGCGCTTCAAGTAGCAAGTATGTAAAGGAAGTAGAAGATTGGGGTAAAATCGAAACGCAGCCCCAAGTGTCGCATGAATTTATTTGTTTGTGAAGCGAGGAGCCATTGATGAACCAATCTATGATACACCAGAAAGCACCATTGTCCCGTTGAAGGTGATTGAGGAAATGTATGATGGGATTCGAAGATAGCTGATTTAGCGCCCAGATGTGACACACTTTGTCTCATCTCAACCAGAGATTATGTGATGGCACATGGATACTATAGACGAGTTCAAACGCGTACTATCACTGAATAGCAGAGGTCAAATTTTCGTTGGTATCATCAGATACACAAGAAGCTTCAAATCGCTTCGGATTCAAGCGTCTTCTTTCCAGAGTCTCTAATGTGCTGAGTGAAAGAGTCCCTATCCACAAGCATATACACTGCCACTCATCTCTGGCATGTGATTCCCCGCCTTCCCCGCGATCGGCGATGAATATCGGTCAACTCGGACCTGAGCCGAAGGCAGCGCTACTCTTGCCAAACACCTTCACCTTCATCCCGCAATGCTTAGGACCGGAGCGCGAATTTTATCGACAGCTACTAGACGCCCGGCTGTGTCGACCGTCTCCAGGTGCTTGCGGTAGATCCGACGCGTATATACCACTCAACTGACGTTGCTAGGTCATTCGCGACGTCACGCTCTCTGCGCTCAGAGACGCCGACCGTGAACTCCCTGGACGTTTTCACTGATGAGGAGAACATGCTGCGCGAGTCCGGTATGTGCAGCATTCGGAATACTTGCCCAACGCGATGACTGAGTCCTTCCAGTGCAACGGTTTGCCACAGAGGTCGTCGGGCCTAAGGTCCGGGAGATGGACGAAAAGGAACAGATGGATCCCGCAATTATCAAGGGTCTCTTTGAACAAGGAGTGAGCTTTGCGGTTAGAATTGGAGCCATGCGTTCATTTACGTGCTCTAGCTCATGGGGATTGAAACCAGTGCCGACCACGGTGGAGCTGAATCGTCTTTCACGTCGGCTATCATCGCCATCGAGGAGCTGGCGAAGGTCGACCCGTCTGTCTCCGTCCTATGTGACGTGCACAATACACTTGTGAACACCATCTTCCGCAAGTATGCGACGAAAGAGCAGCAAGACAAGTGGCTGCCGCTTTTGGCTGAAAACAAGGTCGGCCACGACTACTCTACGCTATCTGCTCTGACGAGGTCCTTTCAGCTTGGCTCGTTTTGTCTCTCTGAGCCCGCATCGGGGTCAGATGCATTCGCGCTGCAGACCCGAGCGAAGAAAGACGGAGATTCTTGGGTAATCAATGGCTCGAAGATGTGGATCACGAACTCTTACGAAGCGGAGATCTTCCTTGTCTTTGCCAACGTGTGTCGCATCTTCTGCCGTTTCGCGGGAGTCTGACCAAGGATTGGATGCAGGTGGACCCTTCGCAAGGGTACAAGGGTATTACTTGCTTCGTTGCGACGAAAGACATGGGAGTCCAGATTGCAAAGAAGGAACAAAAGCTCGGGATTCGCGCGTCTTCAACTTGCACTCTGAACTTCGATGATATGAGGATACCCGCGGAGAACGTAATTGGTGGAGAGGGCAAAGGTTATAAGGTACAGCAAGCTAGTCATGACCGATGACGATAACACAACTGACCAACGGAACCCAGATCGCCATTGAGATCCTCAACGAAGGTCCGCAAAAATCTCTTCTCGTTTGCTCCCGGCTGAATTATTTCATCAGGTCGTATCGGAATCGCCGCTCAGATGCTTGGATTGGCTCAAGGAGCGTTCGACAAGGCTGTGCCGTACACGTATTCTCGGCAACAGTTTGGTCAGCCCATCGGAACCTTCCAGGGCATGGCATTCCAGATTGCACAAGCGGCTGTCGAGATCGAGAGCGCGCGACTTTTGACGTACAATGCCGCTCGAAGGAAAGAGGAGGGCAAGAGCTTTACCAAGGAAGCGGCCATGGCCAAATATTGGAGCAGTGTGGTTGCACAGCGTGTGGCTGGATCGGCGATTGAGTGGGCCGGCGGCGTTGGTTTCACGAGAGAGACAGGAATCGAAAAGTACTGGCGTGACTCAAAGATTGTGAGTGTTCACGCGTGTGTGTCGTTGCAGTGTTTTGACCGTCGCGTGCTTCAGGGTGCAATCTACGAGGGCACGTCCAACATCCAGCTCCAAACGATCGCGAAGTTCATACAAAAGGAGTACTCATAATTGCACTGAGAATGTTCTGGGCTGCGCGGTCGTTTTACATATGTAGTTGAATGGATCGTAGCGGAGAGGTTAACAAAAGTGCTGTATGCACCTGTTTGTTCGGCCTCTGCATCCCTCCCAATTTTCCCTTTGACCCACCCACGACCCATGGCCACTGAACGTGCACCTCCCGCTGCCGTCCAACGGGTGAACACCCAAACAAAAGTACTCGATACTAACCATGGCCGCATTCTCTGCATCGCCGACATTCGTGGACGCCTTTCCGCACTGAATGACCTGGCCAGAGACGCGAATGCTCACGCCATAATCCACACGGGGGACTTTGGTTTCTTCGAATCCTCCTCTCTAGAGCGAATCAACGACCGTACCCTGAGGCATCTGACTATGTACTCCCCGCTAATTCCGACTGCTCAACGGACGCATTTGCTGTCTCCCGACAATCCACCAGCCGCCATCCGCTCCACCGTGGACATCTCCCTGCTTTCCGAATTCCCTCTGCTTCTGTCTGGCCAAATTAAACTCAAAGTGCCCGTCTTCACGGTGTGGGGTGCATGCGAGGACGTGCTGGTCATCGAGAAGTTTCGTTCTGGCGCCTACTCGATCGAGAACCTACATGTCCTCGATGAGGCGACCACGCGCTGCTTGGATCTAGGAGGCGTGAAGCTGCGGCTGCTGGGTCTCGGAGGTGCTTTGGTGCCGCACAAGATGTTTGACAACGGAGACGGGAACGCGACTATTGCGGGCGGTCAGGGGACCATGTGGACCACAGCCCTGCAGATCGGGGAGCTCGTGGACACGGCCCAGCGTGTCTTTGATCCAACGGAAACGCGTATGCTGGTCACCCACGCCAGCCCCGGACGCGAAGGCATCATGGCCCAACTAGCGCTCGTGACCAAGGCGGACTTGACCCTCTCTGCTGGCCTGCATTTCCGCTACGCAACTTCTTACAACGAGTTCAGCGTCCAGAGTGGCTTTGATGGGTTTCGCGAGAAGCTGGTTTCGGGGAAGGAGAGCTTTGACAAAGTGTGGGACAGTGTGAAGCTGCAGGTGGATGCGGTGATCGACGAGAACCAACGCGTGCTTCTGAACAAGGCGTTGAGTGTGGTCGAGCGGATTCCAAAATCTGGGGGAGATGAGGACCCGGCATGGAAGAACTGCTGGAACTGGAACTTGTGCGATGCCGCGTATGGTTCCCTCGTCTTGGACGTGAAGGAAGGTCGTATCAGCGGAGAGCTTAAGAGTCAAGGTGTGTGGGCTGATCTCGCCTGCTTCTCGGTCAATTCATTCCGTCAGGCTTCAATTACGCCTACCGACGCACGGCAACTGTCACTCAGACGCCCAACTCGGCCTCCCCGAGCCTCCCCAACCCCTCCAAATCATCCACGCCTGCTCCCGATCACGCGGTGCCTCCCCACCTCGCTGCTGCAGAGGCTTCCAAGGACAGCTCTTCACCGTCAACTCCCGTCTCCGTCAACGCCAAACCCAACGGTGTTGCCGCTGCTGACAAAGCAGAGCGGGAAAAGCAGAAGAACAAGGAAAAGAAGGAGAGGAAAGCTAAGGAAAAGGCCGAAAGAGTGGAGAAGGAGAAGGCTGAGAAAGAGGCCGCCGCTGCTAATGCTACACCTGAACCCTCTGGATCAACCGCCCCAGCACCTGTGCCCGAAATTTCTGCCATCAAGTCCCCTCAAACTGATGTTGAAGACCTCAAATCGCCCACCGATGGCGCACGGACCCCGAAAACGGGACGCCCAGCTCGCAACCCTTGGACAATCTTTATGAGGTGGCCGACGTCCGTGTCGGTAACAGAAGCAGAGATGAAAGACTTCTTCGGGGATGCGAAGAGCGGGGTGGGTTTGCGTGTTTTGTTCCCTACCTCGAGTGCTAATGATTGCAGATCACGAAAGTAGCGATGCCCACTCCCTTTGCCAACAGGCCTCAGCGTCTTGCATATGTCGAGTTTGGCGACGAAGAAGCCATGCGTGCCGGACTAGAGAACCATCTTCCGGTGCGTGGTGCTCAATCATTCCAGATGCCGTGATCTGACATGTCTGCAGAAACTAAAGGATGTGGTGCCTGAGGTGAAGCAAGCCACAGAGCGCGAGCCACGGAACGAACCAGCCCACCGAGGCGGTCCCTCCCGTGGCCGAGGTGGCCGGGGTTCTGGTGGATTCGCAGCCCGAGGGTTTGCTGCTGCGGGCCTGACTCGCGGCACGCCACGAGGTCAAGGGGATTCCGCGCCGCCAACACCCGCTGCTTCCTGAGATGTGGCCTGGTCTGTGAAGAACGACGGCGGATATGAAGCTATGATTATGCGTGGGGAGGACACTGTCCTAGCAGCGGCTGGGGGTGCAGACCGGCGCCACTGGGACGGATATTCGGGGATATTCAATCCATGCTCATGCTTTGGTTGTTCTGATTTCTCGGTGCTGACGGCGGCGGTGGAGTTTCGTTGCCTGGTATGGTAGTGCTTTGTTGCTTTTCGTACTTGCGTTTCTTCAATGCTCGTTTTCTCTATCTTGTTGTGGAACAATCTTGTCTAATTCTCTGGCCTACCTTATTCCATGATCTTCTATGATAAAGCTCTATTATGACCGTGCACTGATGTTCCTGAGAAAATGTTAGCGATCGAAACTACCGCAATGAATGTCCACGAGTGGATGGTTTGGCATTCGATCTTTGTTTTTTGACCATCCCATGCAGACTGCATGGCAGACACTGAGTCCAGAACTTCTCGATCTCATCGTCCAACACCATATCGACGATCATCCCAGCCTCTATACTTCCAGCCTTGTCTGCAGAAACTGGAATCAGGCGACAAGATACCATATCTTTGGACGTGTCAGACTCCTTTTAGGCCGCTGTGAGCGCCTGGAGACATTCATTGCCCTCGTGCGCCATCCAAAATGCACCTTCGCTGCGCACAACGGTGTTAAAAGCGCTATACGCGAACTTTCGCTTGTCCCGCCAAATCTTGACGGTGAAGAAATCACAGCTGGAATGCGCGGAGAGTTAGAAGAGTTGGCGCGACTGGCTGGCGCGCGCAGCTTGACTATCTACTATCCACGGCTCATGCCGGCCATTTGCCTGACGGTGCTCACCGGCGCTTTTCAAGGGATACAGAAACTCGCCTTCAAGATACGCTTCTCGACTCTGGCAGACGGCATCCGATTCGCGTGCTCCTTCGATGGTTTGGAGGAACTCGGTTTCGACGCGGTGCGGGCTGCTGTCGGTGAATATCCTGGCGAGGACCTCGTCATGCCTCAGGGCTTGAAAAAACTCACACTCTGCTCCCTGCGTGGTCATGAAGTTTGGTTCGCCGATAAGCGTGTCGCAAGCCTCACTGAACTTGCACTACACAATATACATCCAATCAAGGATGCTGGAAGATTAGACTTGATCCTCGCTACACTCGGCGCCCAGCTGAAGAGTCTCACGATCATTTTCGCTGCGCAGAAAGGTATGTTGATACAAGACCGGAGGAGCCTTATGCCATGTGCTTACAACGACAGGCGATTTGGAAATCCAGACCGACTTGAGCCCACTGACAGCTCTCCGGTATCTCGAATTGGACGTGTCGTCTCTTAGTAGAAAGTCCGTCCTGCAGGCATTGCTCAAGCTGCCAACACCCGTCACTCATCTCGAGTCTCTCACTTGGCGCGCTCGCCGTTCTTCCTTCGAAGGACTTTCAGCCGAGCACTGGACGAGTCTGGATAATTTATTGGCGAACGGGACTGCTTTTCCCGCGCTGCAGAAGATCGATGTCACTGCCTCCACTGGAGGCAAATACGATGTAACAGAGAAGCTTAACAAATGCGCGGCCAGAAAGATACTGTCCCAGTGAATGATTGTTGGAGATTACTACACTATATGTACTCTTCGTATGGATGAACGGTCACTGGTTCTTCTTGGCCGCAGCGTCGAAGCTCTTCGGGGTGCTGGTCTGGACTGAGCTTTGGATACTTGCTAGCGCGCTAAAGCCAGCCATAAAGATCGGCACGAGAACGAAAAATGCGACGAAGAGCGTGACAATGAGGCCAGGAGTAAGAAGCTGGTAGCGCGCCAAAACGCCACCCTTCGTCTTGGGCTTCGCAGACGGCGCTTGGATGACACTACCGAGAACGGTGTCCGCACGCTTCGCAAGGGAGGACGGGGAGGAAGAGGTGTAGATCACGAGGTGGTTGGGGAACGTCTTGGCAAGGAGTGCGAGTTCGGCAGAAAGCAAAGAATCTATAGCTGATGAGTGCATGCAGTCAAATACCAACCATTGACGCACCGTGCTTGAGCATCGCTTCCGCACGCTCATCCGCAAGGCCGTTCAATGCAGGAAAGCTGAGCGAGACAACGTGTTTCTCGTTGGAGAACGAAACACCGCCATGACCGGGAGAGTACGAAACGATACGCGACTGGCATCTGGTCGCGGTGGATTCCAGCAGGGAAGAGAAGTCCAAGCCCGTTGATGATACATAAGGGAACTGCCTCGATGAGGGAGCAGATAAGAGGGATCGTGAGAGGTGTGCGTGCGAAGGAAGGACGCGCAGGTCAGAGGCGTGCAACTACGGAATATTAGTTGATACAGGGGAAGGAAGAGAAGCTACACACGTCAGGCTGATCCACGAGCACTACGGCATCGTGACCACAGACGTCTTCATTTGACAGAATAGAGTCCAAGACAGAGTGCGAGTGGGGCAGTTTGGAAGGAATAGAGTCCAAAGCATTCGAGCTAAACGAGCATGATCGCTAGGCAATATGAACGAAAGCTGGTGATTGAGTACGTACCTGTAGGAGGACCAGGAAACCACTGGTGTTGTACTCGAGAATCCAAGTGCCAAGGAGACGAGCGCAGCGACAGTAAGGGTGCGAAGAGACATGGCTGCTGGACGAAAGCGTAATGTGGCAAATACCGGTCAACACTTCGGATATTGCCGCTCTTACTTTCCTAAAATCTTTGACCTCCGCGTCTGTCAAGTGCATTTGAGCACCAGCCTGTGTGCGGATCCATCTCAAATCCGCCTCATCAAATGAGTCTCTCTTTCCTTCTGAGCTCAAGCAAAAAGATCGACACTGAGCTCGATTCTCTATTCAAGTCGAATGTACGCCACATCCTTTCCTGTTGACGCGGTCTCCCATACAATTGTTACCTGTAGACCACCACTCCTTCCCGGAAGCCTGGTGTCGCAATCTCCGTTCCTAAGCCAGGATCAGCCCCTCCCCCGACAAAGAAGCGAAAACTCGAAACTGGCATCCCGGCGGAAAATCATGGCAAGCGGGTAAAAGCAGACAAACGAGCCAAGCCCTCGAAAACCGAACCGCTTCCCGAAATCACGGGCAAAGGGAAGGATATCCGAAAGCCTCTCAGCTCATCTGCGGCTTCAAAATCAAAAGGCAAGCGACGCGCAGGAACGGAGGTTATGGATGTCGACGAGGAAGCAGAAGCAGGAGCGGACGAAAGTGATCCTGATGAGGACAACTCAGATCTCGAGAACGCCTATATCCAGAGACAGGACAAGAGGCTCAAGCCGAAGGGTGCAGAAGACAATGATGACTCTGCTGAGGAAGATGAGGAGGACGCAGACGAGGAGCAAGGTTCGGAAGATGACGGCGAGGATTCGGATTCAGACTCGAACGCCCCTCCGCCCCAGCACGAGTCCATCACAAACCCTAAACGCAGAGAGCGGGAGAAACCCACGAAGAAAGTCAAGCTAGTTCCGAAAGACGAAACTCGCAAGGAGCGAGATTCGCGCACTCTCTTTGTGGGTGGACTACCTATTGATGTCGTTAGTAAAAAGGCAAGGTCTTGAACTTGAAGGACCGGACATCTTACTTACGATGATCATCATGCAGCCACTCCAGAAACAACTATCGCATCATCTCCTTTCATTCTTACCTCCTGGCTCCAAAGTTTCTGTCGAATCGCTGCGCTTTCGATCTGTGGCTTTCAAGGAACGCACAAGCTCGGCGAAGCCCACTCAGTCTACGAGCGCATCGGATGCACCCAACCACGCGCAGGCACGGATTTCCGCTTGGCGCAAAGACAACGGCAAGGAAGGCGATGACGAAAAACAGTTTCTAACGCCGGCTCAAAAGAAGAAGATATTCTTCATCCAGGGAGCGTTCCACCCCGAAGCCCAGAGCGTCAACGGATATGTGGTTCTAGCCCATCACAAAGCGTCTTTCGCAGCGTACGGAGAGACTGACGAGGCGAAGACCACGGAAGACACGCCGTACAAAGTGGCTGCACAGATCGCACTAGCAGCGAATCTCAAACCGTTTCTCGAACGAGACCTGCGAGTGGACGTGTGCTCAAAACTTGATGCTGCCGACGGTTCCAGCACTGCAACGGGTGATCCAAAACGCAGCATCTTCGTCGGCAACCTCGAATTCGGATCCAAGGAAAGTGATCTCCGGGAGTTCTTCGAAGGCGTCGTCGCGGGGGAACGAGGCCCAGCTTCAGAGGAGGACGGTAGCTGGGTCCAGGGTGTTAGGCTCATCCGAGATCCTGAAACTCAATTGGGCAAAGGTTTCGGCTATGTGTGGTTCTCGGTAAGCGGCCGCTGCTCCCTTCTGCGATTCTCAGGTCTGATCACGGTGCATACCAGGACCGAGAATGCGTAGATGAGATCCTTTCGCTCGGAAAGACGGACGAAGGAAATAAGAAACTGCGCTTTGCAAAACGTGCACTTCGCGTTCAGCGTTGCCGAACGATAGGAGGAACGAACAAGGCTGCAGCACCCAGCTCCGGTTCCAGTTCGGCAAAAACCAAGTCGACGTATCCAGTCCATCACGGTGACCCCAATCTGGGAGAACGCATCGTTCATCTCGACAAAGAGGCGCGCAAGGCTGCGAAGAAAGCTGATCCTCAACGTACACAGCGGAGAGCCGAGAAAAAGCTAAGGATGGGCATGAACTCAAAGCTGAAGGCGGAAAAGGGGAAGGTGGGGGGCAGACCTCAAGGGAAGGACGACAAGGGAAAGCACCGGGAGAGGGTGAGAAAACCACAGAAACAAGCAGGCAAGGCAAAGAGAGGAACGAAATAAGTAGCTCTGGCGCCAATCATTATGAAAGTCCGGGAGTGCAGATTGACCGATGCGGGCTACTGTGAACATCAGTCCCTATCATGACGCTTGGTGTGAAGAAAGAAAGTTCCATCGAAGCAGCATGACAAGCAGACTGCCCTCGATCTAACGTGCAGGTCTCGCTCACACCCCCGGTTTCACGTCCACATTCCATATCTCAGGACCACTACATCACACCACTTTGAGCAATATTTTGAAGACGGTGTCAGTTTTTAAGGAGCAACAGAGCGTGAGTTTTAGGCGGGAGTTGCGCGCACCAAACGTCAGACCTTGCAGTGAAGTGAACAGGCGAGTACAATTCGACAAAAATAACTCAGCGCAATCCGAGTACGATAATAGCAGCAACTCGTTTCGATCGAGTGACCTCGGGGTTATGGGCCCCGCGCGCTCCCAGACTGCGCCATGCTGCTGAGCTTAAAATTTCCAATACGTGGATATGATCACTCTGCCGAGAATTGCATAATTCGAATCTACAAAATACAGATACATAGACCATCCTCTCTCATTGACTGTCAACACATCAATCGGAGACTACTCGGACATCCCTTCAAACTTCTGTGTCCCATCAACACCTTTCAACCAGCTCACCCGATCCTTCGTAAACTGCTCGATCTGCGGCCGCAGCTTCGTCTCGTGCAAGCTAAAGTCATCCACCGTCCCGATCCGCAGGATGCTGTACCCCGGCCACGCCGACCCGACGCGGTACATCAGCGACCCGCACGTCGCGCAGAAGTAGTTCGTCATCGTGTTGCCCTGGCGCGCCATGGTGCGGCCCTGCGCGTACGTCGTGAGGTTCTCGCGGCCGCGGATGTGCGTCAGGTGCGTGTCCGCGACGGTGAAGTTGGACGCGAACATGGACGCGGTGATCTTGCGGCAGTCGGTGCAGTTGCACACGAATGTGTTGACGAGCCCAGGGCCTTCGGTTGGCTGTGGAGGTTGCGTTGTTAGTCGAGAGAAGCGCGTCTGTGGAGGGACTGGGCTTACGAAGGCAAGTTGGACGGCACCGCAAAAACAGGTCGCCGTCGCCTGCCCGTCTTTCGTCCAGCCGTCTCCGGTGGCGTTGGCAAGTGGGAAATATGAGCTGGGTTTCTCGATTGTGTCAGACATGGTTCTCAGATTTGTAGAAGCTGGGAGCTTTAATGCAGTCTACCCCTCGAGTACCGACTTTTTATCGACGCGCGCTCCCCACTCGATGACTCACCCAGTCCGGGCTTCGAACAAAGATCGCCGTGATTCGCAGGCGTCCGAATGCTGCCCAAGCACAGCCGGGTGGCCGATGTGCAAGCACACTCCAGTGTTGATAATGGTATCATTCATTGGTAATCCTTGACCGATAAAGATAGAATGAAGGGAAAAGATGTCTAGGAGTGGTAAATATCATGCTACTGTCAGCAATGTTGGAACCGGAACGTCGTCAGACTGCCAGGGGCCAGCAACATGCTCCAACGATCTTCGACATCCAGCTCAGCTGCGCCCATGATCAGAGCAAAGTCCTCATCCGCTGAAGTCCGATACGCCACAGTGCTGCACAAATCATGCGGGAAGGACAATCGGAGATCCACGGATGTCGAGCCAGGGTTCATCGCTAGGACAGAATACCCAGACGTCGCGGGTTCGTACACGACCAGAACACGATGCGCCCATTTAGCACTTACTCCAGCGATCGATCGCCGCTGTGTCCCAGCTGCGAATAAATGTGAGATACAGAACGAGTCAGTCGTGAGCGTGAGCGTTTACGTTTGACAAAGTTCCCAAAGTGCTTATACGTCCAGAAGTGTTTCGTAAGGTCTGGGCAGAGATTGATCGTGAGGGTTGCTTCGGCTGGACCATAGTACAAGAGAAAACATACAGAGCTCGTAGTTGCCATTCGTTGCATAGTCGGGATCGTAATAAATCAGACCGTCCTGACCACATAATCAGCTGAAGTTAAAACAAAATAGAAGTGACCCACCGTCCAGCCATCCGCATTTCCCGTCGTCACGCATTCAGGATCGGAGAGCGGGGAACAGCCGATCCCTAAGAGTGATTTCAGCCTAGCGCGACAGATCAAGAACTATAACACGAACCTCCAGAAACGAGTGTCCAGAACTGGTGCGGGTCAGTTAGGAAGCACAAGACATCGAGATGTGCCGCACATCGTATTGGGGTTGCTCAGCCATGATCAGACTCTGTGAGCTTGGGCTTGAGAATCAGTCCCTCATGGAGAGCATACAGTCAAGCGCACCTGGAACATCATCGTCGTCCACATCAGAGCGTTCTTGATTGTCGGGTCAAACCCTCCAGACCATCCTCGACCCGTGCCATCCGCCTCACCCAGCGAGCAGCAGATTTCCTTGCAGCGCGTCAGGCGGTTACAGCCAAACAAGCGACAGGAATCCTGACCGACATCCAGAGCGGTTTGTCTGGATAGGCGGCCCGGGTGTGGTTGACAAACTCCAAATACACTTCATCCGATGGGAAGTCATAAGTATGGTGGACAAGAGCTGCGACCTGGCGTATTCATCAGCTTGCACGGTTGGCGCACATGCGCATGTGTGTACTTTGTCGATGAGTTGAGGCAGCCAGATGGGATACTCCGTCTCAGAGCGCACCAAGGTAGCCGATTCGTCTGCGATGATTCCGACCAAGGCAGCCAGCCCCCGGGCATCGAGTGCGTCGTACAAGGTGCTGATCATCTCGGCTCGTCTTTGGATTTGTTCAAGACATTCCTGCATTGGATAGAGGAGTTCCTCACTGGTTGGCGTCAACCCGCATACCCTCTTGGCCGCACGGAGCGGGCCCAAAGTCGTTGTCCGGCTCGTTCATCGGCGAGACAAAGTTGATGGGGATGCCGTCTTCTCTCCAGTGCACAATCACATCCGCGAGGAACGCAGCGAATTCAGCGCCGGTGCCTTGAGTTTCGGATGGATGCCATGAGCAACGCGCCAGCACCCCAATCACAACGGCCACACACCATTAACAAACGCGCCACCGCAGCTTCCGCCTGTCGACGTCAACGGCGCCGGCGCACTGTTCACGAACGCTGTCAGGGACGGCACGCCATGCTCCGCGGCCTTGCGCAAGAAATACACCCCCTGCCTGTCCGCGCTCCAGTCGTAGCGCCCCGCCCCGCCCCCCGCAGCACCGGCACGGTAGAACGTCTCGATCGCACGCGTCGGGCTGTCCACGTCCACACCGCCGCTGCCGACGTTCCATCGGTAGTTCGTCAGGCCCAGTCCGTCGGGGGAGAAGAGGAGCGCGGAGAGGTTCTGGCGGACGGGCTCGGGGAAGTTGTACAGGTCGTACGGCCACCATGCGCCTGAGCCGCCGATGCCGAGAAACGTTTGGGAAGCGCTTTGCGACACCGTGGCGCTGACTTCGATCGCCTGGTCGTGGAGGTATACGTTTCCGCCACCTGGTGAGAGGCGGAAAAGAAGAGGTGTGGATAAGAGCCCGACGCGTTTGAGAGTGCGGAGGAGCTCCGAGAGCGAGGATAGAAGGGGCCTAATGTCCATGAGAGAAGCTAGGTCGTCAGCGACGCGCTCCAAAGTCATTGTAGGAGCGAGCAGCACTCTGCGGAGGCGGGGATCCGCCCCGGTGATGTGTGCATTGATTCGAGATAAGCCTTATCTGTCGGAATGACAGGTTGGTGAACGACTGGGAGTCGATTCTCGAATCCTGTGTTGACCGCGTCGACAATCGTGAAGCGAGAAAGAGACGCGGTGGCGGCGTCAGTTCGAGTCGTCTTGAGATCACCTGATCCTGTCAGAGTTGCCAGGGTTCGGGAAGGGGTTTGTTTAGGCGCGAGGAGTCTGTTGGAATGTATGCAAGGTCTACAGCTACGATGGAGAACATGATTCGATTCCGCAAGTGGTAGCACTTGGTTAACGTTCGGTAGCGGCGGACGTTGCGAGACATTGATGTCCTCAACCCACTATCTGCTCCTGACATCCCAGTCGACGTCGATGCACTGAGCCCAGGAGACTAATTGTACGAAAGCGCATTGCATAGATGTTACACATGTATATCTACTTACAACATACGAAAGCAAAAAAGGCCGTCAGTACAGATCAGAACATGACCGTGAAATTGCTGGGGAAGACCGACTTCCCGGGGACCCGCCTTGCGTCGTCCAGCAGCTCCCCGTGCCACCAGCCGTCCTCCGGCGTCTCCGTCACAGCGATGATATCGCCCTCCTGGAAATCGAACTCCTCCTCGATCGTGGCCCGGTAGTCAAACAAAGCCCGGACGTAGAACTGGATCCATTTTCCGTCCGACGTCCGCTGCCTGCCTGCGGGGGAGGGCGTGCGTTGCTGCTGGATCGGAGGGACTCGCACGAGTTGCTGCTGCTGCGGCTGCGGGGGTGGCGCCTGGATTTGCTGCTGCTGTTGTTGGGGAGGAGGCTGGTGATTTGCACGAACGAGCTGCTGCCGTGGATCGGCGTAATAGTTGTTTGTCGAAGGACCGCGCTGCAGTCCCTGGCCGTTGTATACCGGCTGCTGCTGCTGCTGCTGCAACTGCTGATACGGTTGCTGTTGCTGTTGCTGCTGGTACGCATTCGACGCAAACGACTGCTGGGATGGCGCAAAGCCCGAAAGCTGCTGCTGGTGTTGCTGCGGTGGGGGCTGTTGGTAGGAGTTGTAAGCCTGCTGGATCGGCGGCGGGGGAGGTGCTGTGATTGCCGCTGGCCCCATGTAACTCAACCGGCGTTGTGGACCGGTCAGTTGGGGCTGCTGCTGCTGCTGCTGCTGCTGCTGGGTTGCTGATGCTGAGAGATCGGTGCAAACCCGCTGGACTGCATGCTCTGACGTTGCCTCGGCTGGGGCGACGGCTGGCGTGCCTGGATCTGCTGTTGATGGTGGTACCGCATGGCCATATCGTCGTGTGTGACCCTCCCCGTCGAGTCAATAGCAATCCCCACAGGATTGGGACTCGTCGAGCCTTGTCGGTTGATGCTGCTGCCTGGGGCAACGAGACTCTGACGGTACGCCGGCCCGGGACTCGGCGCCCGGTTCACCGGCACCATTGCCATCGCCAGCCCAGGACTCGGCGTTCGGGCGGGTCCCATCGCCATCGGCTGCGGGCTGCTGCTCCTCGACATAGAGCCGACCCCGGCGAAGCCCGTGCTCGGCGGTCGCCCCAAATTGTGCCCAGCGCTCATCTGCGAGCTCTGGCTCGGGTTCGACATGTGCCCGGGCCCGACGTAGCTGCTCCTGCGGCTGTTCGAGCGGCTAACACTCTTCCGTTCGCCGGGGAGCGACTGGTGGTAGTCACTCAGCACGTCGGTGATCATCTCCGCACCAGGTGGCACGGTCGACGATGGTCGCATGAATGCTGCCGTGATTGGCGCCGGATTCGGCGAGGCGGGCCGCGAGGCAGCAGGATGCGACCCTACGACTGAATCAGCCGACTGCTGGTAGTCGCGTCCGGGCCCTGGCGACGGGGACCGAGAAATCTGGTGCATCGGCGGCAATATCGACCCCGGCCCCATGGAACTCGGTCGAGGAGCAAGCGCCTGTTGTTGCTGAACAGGCTGCGATGTGGGGTGGGACATGTCGACCGTCGTCCTGCGCGTGCTTTTCCTCCGAACCGTCGCTGCAGCCAGCTGCAGATCCTCCATCTGCTTCGCCAGTGGATCAAACCCACTCGGAGTAGCACTGGCCCGTGACGGCCCAGGCTGTGAGGGATCCTTGTGCGCATCCACCCGGTACGCATTCTCCCCAATCCGCATGTACGTCTCCTCTGCGGGGGGATCCTCACGCGGTGGCGCAACCCGATGTGGAGAAGGCTTCGACGCGGCGGTTGTGGCACGCGAGAGCGAGCCGTTCACATAATTGGTCGGCGACTGCTGGGAGGACGGCGTGAGGTGGTTCGCCGCCATCATCATGCTGGCTCGGTCGTTGTGTTCCGTTGCCGCATGTGGTTGGGGCTGATGGACCTGCCCGGCAGAAATCCCCGACGATGATCCCGCAGCAGCATAAGGTGCAGGTGAGGACTGTGTGCCCGTCGTAGCCGGCGTCACACCACCGGCACCAGCACCGCGACCTGCGATGTTTGTTGTGACGGTCTCCGCAGGGTCAGGCTGGGGGGCGGGCTGAGACGCGTAGTCCTCTGTCGGAACTCGCTGCGTCGAGCGTTCAAAGCTGGCTATCCGGAAGGTATGACGGGCGGACGCTGATGGAATGGCATTGGGGTCCGTGAAGTTAACGAAGATGGGCGGATCCGGTATCTGATTCCCTGTGCCATAATTTCGCACAAAGTTTTCCTGATCCTTTTCTGGTTCCATCTCTTCCAGAGTGAGTCGTATATGCTCACAAGACTACAAATGGGTCAGAGGATGGCTTCCGGAGGATGCTGTTACTCACCTCATCATCAAGCACGCAGACCGAGGAAACTGCGTTCGCGTATGCCCACATGTTGTTCTTCGTGAATTCCAGCCGGTCATCTTCCAGATCCTGGCAGCTATCGCAGAATGTCCTCCAAGCTGATTCCCATTTCCCCACCGTCTCCCCCAGCGCCCTCGTGAAGTTGGCGAAGTCCCGTTCATTCTGCGCAACCGTCTGTTGCGCCCTTTCGAGCTTCAGGTGTATCCGCTCTGCATCTTTGCCCTGCACCAGTCCCAGCTGCGCTGTGTATGAGTTGATCCGCAGGCAGTCGTTCTCGTATTTGTCGCGCGCTTTGATCACGTAGCCCTCCTGTGTCTGCTTGGCCTTGAATTCCTTTTCGACAGCTCCCTGGTACACTTTCTTATGGTGCTGCTGCTTAGCTACGAAGGTCGCAGTCAGCCCTTCCAGACTGTTTCGAATTTGATGCGCAAGGTTGAGATGTGCCCCTGCTTGTTTCTCGGTCTCGGTCTTGATAGTGTCCAATGAGTTGCGTAAGTCTCTACGAAGAGTCCGTTAGTGGACCGTTTGAAGTTGGAGCCGCTGACATGAGTCAGGGGAGTGTTGCGCATGCGTGTTTCGGCCTCGGTGGTCCGGACAAAGCACACCGCACGAGACCCATCTCAAGCAAAAAACCGCTCACCCGATCTCATCCCGTCCCAGTGGCACCTTGGCAAGCTTTCCCAGCCTCTTCGCGTACTCTTCCTCCACAACAGCCCTGTCCGAAGAGAGCTACCAGTCAGATCGGATGGTATACACACATGCACGCGCGCGGCGGCGAACCTTTCTTTCCAGAAACTCCTTAGCTCCTCCATCGTCCGTGCCGCGCCGCGCATCCGCGCGAACAGCACATCCACCCCGCCATCGCCCATGCCCCAGAAGGCGTTGCAGTAGTCTGTCGTGCGGTCCATGAGCGCGGGATCGGCGCCCCGCGCGAACTTGGAGAGCGAAGTGCTGGATGCCTGCCGGCGTGCAGACATCGTATATAGTAATGTGAAGGGAGGTGAGGGTGTGGTGTGTGGTGAAAGGAAGGCGGAGGTGAACGAGCACGTGCCCGGGTTGCCGAGCCGATCGGTGCACTGCCACCTCGTCATAAGTTCTCTGTTTCGGGACTGTGTCGTCTCTTGTTGTTTACGATCGCGCGAGACCGAGGTTCCTGGTGATGTTGCAAGAGCTTGAGGCTAAACTTACCGAAGATAGCATGAGTCGTCTGCCTAGTCGAATTGGGAAAAATTTCCGGGCGTCAGGGCTCGTTTTTGGACATCTTACCATAGTAAGTATTGCTGGAAGCCATGTGTTCCAAACTCCACAAGAGAATGTAAAACCCGCGTATAATTTGTGCATTTCACCCGTTGCGATAGAGCCTGATTGCGACAAATGGAAGTGACCTATTGAACGTAGAGCTCAATGATTGGTGAAAATCATGTACCTTGGATAGAAAGTCCACAACCTCGCAACATAACCAACATGCCAACTGATGAGTCAGGAAAAAAAGGCTAGCACAACCAGTCTTTTCCTCGATCGATTCTCAAATGGCAGAAATATGTTGTGACATCAAGGCTCATTTCCATTGGATTGGCCCATGAACAATCGAGTGCACGTGCAGAACATTTCCTTTGCTACGCATCAAAGAGACTGCCCGATAGGGAGCACAGGAGTCCCTGCCTGTTTGAGATCAGTTGCACAGCCATACGGCATCAGCACACGCACCACTCTCGGCTTCCGGATCCAGCACCACAAAATGATGTGTGCGCAGCCATCCCAACTCCACCTCGTCTCTTACCACCAGCACACTTTGGTCGGAGAGAACCAGGATGCAAGCAGCATCTCATGGGGCGCGGGCGTTAGCCCATAAGCCCCCGAATATCGGTCATGCGACCAGAAACATCCACATTCCAGCCGCTATCAGGCCTCGCGCGCCAACTCTAGGCCAGAAGCTTTTGTCCCACACTCGCTGGACACTCAATCGATTCGTCACTCATCTCACCACGCCCGGTATCGGATCGACGCCGAGTGTTTCCGTGACTCGTGCCTACCATGCTGCGAACCCCACCATCCAACAACGTCTGTCCTTCGGCGCACGGAATGCACTCTCACGGCCCTTGCGCCCCCAATTCCTGCCCCGTGGTCCGTTAGTCCCACGCACCATGACCCAAGTCGGTCTGGGTACCGCCCGCAACTTTACCACCGGCCGGCCCATCTTCCAGCAATTGGCTGAGAACGTCCCGATCGCCGGTCGGGCATTCTACGAAGCGGACTGGGATTTGGAGATGCACCAGGAGAAGGAGCGTATGCGCCGCCCCACGAAGAAAGCCGGCTCTTCGACAGCGAAGAAGGGCAAGGAGATGATGAAGCCCAAGGCTGCTAAGCCCGTCGTTGCCAAGGTCGCTGAGCAGGACGAGCTCGAGCACTACTTCGCTTCTCCCTCCGTCCCAGATGTCACCACCTTCCTCCTCGTCCCTCTGGCCCCTACTCCCACCGCCCGCGTTCCGCTCCCGGAATTCCCCGTCTCGACCTCGTCGACGGGACGCCTGTCGCTGCCTTCGCTGCTCGACATCCACGACAAGCACGAAAGTCATGGCCTCCGCGTCGCAGCGCTCTTCCGCCGGCTCGATGCAGCGCAGGTCTGGTCCCGCGGTGCCGTCTGCTCGGCCTATTCAAACCCCACACACGATGGCGTTTGCACTGTGCTCCGCGTGACGTTCCACGGATGGAGCATGGCGGCTGTGCGCGGTGTCATTGGGGAGTGTGGCACAGGGTGGTGTGTCATGGAGGAGGAATATGGAAGTACGTCGCAGGGCGAGGATAGCTTTTCGGACACTTCGTCTGTGCTTTCCGGTATGGCCAGTGGACTGTCGTCCCCTCCGGCAGTCGATTCAGACCCGGCCCAATCGCTTATTCTCCCCAATCTCGACTTCTCCGCGTCGTTCATGGCATCCAATGCCTGGGCATCCGAACCTCGAGCTTCTCCTCCCAGCTTTGGTCGATTGGACTCGGGTGTCTGGTCCGATGCTGGCTCTGACATCTCAGCCCACACTGATTTTGCATTTGTCGACCCACCCTCCGAGAATGGATGGTTCGAAGGCCACATGTCTGAGACTGAGGACGCTTTTGGCAGTGCAGATCCATGGCTGGACAGTGAGAGCGAATCGCTCTCGACGCCCAATTCGGTGCTCGGTCTGAGTTTCAGCTCTGCATTCAGCAATCGCCTGGCAGAGTCCAGTGTCTCTACTTGATCCCGGAATCCTTGACCTGTAAAATAGCTTTGCCTTTCTCCTTTTGCTCTGCTTGGCAGAAGCCTATAACGCTCCTTGCACGCTACTTTCCAAATTATCTTTGTACAATAACATTCTCGTATCGCTGCAATATACGGTGCTTGACATCCATTCTATCTAATCTAAGATGAGATTGAATACAGCATGGGGATGGGACTATTGCAGGATCGCCCATCGGCCTAATTAAGGACGTCATCGGAGATCATCGGCTTTAGAAAACTGGTCGATCACAACGATGATCGAGTCACCGAGCAGCTCACTCTCCTTCTCTCTCATCGTTCATCTCGACGTAGACCCATGAGTACGAATTGATCAATCCCCATCGTCTGCGATCTGAATCCCCTCCCCATAGACGCCGACTCTCTCCAAGGCCGGCTCCTCTTCGCCATCCCCAAGAAAGGTGCGGCCGCCCCGCCGCGCACGTTCGAGGCCCTGTTCTGACTGTAGCGGAGGGAGACTGCACGAGAAGTGTCTGAGTCTGCTTTCCGGTGCGTCGCTTCCCTGCGATGGCGAGGCAGGCAGGCTCGCGGACTGACCGTGCACAGGCGCCGACATACAATTCCGGCGGCACAATAGATTAGATGTCGCACTGGTCCAGAACCACCCGATCGCGCTGTACGTCCCACCCGCGGATCCACCTCCATCCTCCCTGTCTCGATAGTCTCGTTTACCTCCATCACAGCGTGTTCCTGCCCGCGTCCGACATCCCGTCCTTCGTCGGCAAGGGCAATGTCGATATTGGGATCACCGGGCACGACGTGATTCTCGAGGCGCAGATGCAGGACCACGTCACAGAGGAGCTGCGCCTGGGTTTCGGGAAATGCGCGCTGCAGGTGCAGGTCCCCGAGTCGAGCCCGTACAAAACGGCCGACGATCTGGCCGGCAAGCGTGTCGTGACGAGCTTCGAGGTGCTCGCGGGGTCGTATTTCGACAAGCTGGACGAAAAAGCGAATCTCTCGGGAGATCAAAAGACACAGATCGAGTACGTCGGCGGAAGCGTCGAGGCTGCGTGTGCATTAGGATTGGCAGATGGAATCGGTGAGATTTCATCTCTGGTTTTCTCTGTTCAGGATTGCTGACATATTCATACAGTCGATCTCGTCGGTGCGCATTATTTTGAAACTGTTTTCTAGGGCTGATGCGTATTCATGAATTGCGCAGAATCGGGGGATACGATGCGCGCGGCGGGTCTGCACGCAATCGCGACGCTGCTCCAAAGCGAAGCCGTCCTCATCAAGTCGACGGTGCAGAAACACCCTGACTTTGCGCCGCTCATCCAGCTCGTGACGCGCAGAATTGCGGGGGTCATCGCCGCTGGAAAATACGTTATCTGCCAGTACAATATTCCGCGCGACAAACTTCCTGCGGCGGCGGGCATCACGCCAGGGCGGCGGGCACCGACAGTGAGCTCGATCGAGGAGGAGAACTGGGTCGCCGTCAGCGTGATGGTGGAGAAGAAGCAGGTCGCCAATGTAATGGACGAACTGGAGAAAATCGGGGCGGAAGACATCTTGACTTTCAGCTTAGACAATTGCAGAGTCTGAATATAGATCCTGATTCAGATGATGGCTGCAAAGGTTTCCAATGTCCGGGTAAGAACGAATCCTGTCTGAGCTTGTTGAACACATGTTGCCCTATTCGGGAAAGGCCAACTCAGCAATAGATTTTGTTTTTCATCCCCGCGTATGGCTGAAAAGGTCCAGGCACCGCACCGGAAAACGTTCGGAGGCCTTGGCCGTGTTGAATTCTCCCGGCGCTATAGGTCAAGAGCCCTATCAAACCGGATTCATAACTGCTACTAAAGAGTTTTTGTCCTCAAATACAGTGACCGCTTCTCCATCCTGCCTACAAGATGAAATCACTGACTGTTGCCTTCTTTGCGCTGTCGTGGCTCTCGTTCTCCACAGCTCAACTGCCTCCTGCCAATGTTTGGATCAAGCCAGGTCCCAGAGACGCTCGCTCGCCGTGCCCTGCACTCAACACACTTGCAAACCACGGATACCTCCCCCGCCACGGACGGAACATCACTATCCCCATGATCGTGGAGGCTTCGATGGGTCAGTGCGCGCCGAACTGTGTCGGAATGTAGCGCATTTTTTGAGGTGCCCCATTCAGCTGGATTCAACATGGCTGCCGATGCGGTGACTGTGGCGGCCAAGTTCGGTTTGTTCTCGGGTGACTCGCCGACGAGTATGGATCTGGATGCTCTGAGACTGTGCGTGCCTGGTGCTAGCGCAGATCTGACTTTTCAACTTCGTGCCACAGCCACAACCTCATCGAGCACGACGCCTCTCTCTCTCGGCAAGACTCGGCGCTCGGCGACAACGCCGTCTTCGACGAGCAGATCTTCGCAACACTGGCTGAGTCGAACCCGGGTGTGCATTTCTACAACACGACGTCCGCCGGCCTGGTCATGAACGAGCGGCTGCGGATGTCCGTCGCGGCAAACCCGAACATCACAAACACGCCGAAGGAGCTGGGGCTCCGGACCCGCGAGTCCACCTTCTATCTGTCCGTGATGGGCGATCCACTCACGGGAGTGGCTCCCAAAAGGTGACTGTGTTTCGTCCCGTTCGCCGACGAACACGAACGCTCATCATTCTGTCGTTGTGTTGTAGGTTCGTCCAGATATTTTTCAGGGAGGAGCGCTTGCCGGTCGCAGAGGGCTGGAAGAAGTCCAATGTAACGATCACCGCGGGCACATTGAATCAGCTCGCCGCGCAAGTTCTGAAGGTGTCGACCTGGACCCCGACTCAACAGTGCGAGGATATAGTCGTCGGACCCGGGCAAGTCCTGTAATCCGGATTGGACCGCGAATTGGAATGTACCTGTAAAACCACTAGACATTAACATTGGGTATGAATTTCGGATCATACCTGCACTGAAAGTTCCTACCGCGCAACACATGGACACGTAATTCTTTGAGGAGCGCTGGGAAGAGTCAACCGATCGACTCTCACGAAGATTTGATGGACGCATCCAAGCCCAGGCTTGAGTCTCAGCACCGAAAAACGCGCAAGCTTCTTAGCTTGAGCTGGAACACTGGCTCACAACGCCGCTCGGGTCCAGAATGCTCTTCTTACGCCGGGTGCATCGTAGCTTCCTCGACGAGCGTCCAGCATACGTGGGCGGCGGCACCAAGTCTGACGCCCGTTTCGAATACCACGGCATCATCGGAACCGGGTAGTAGTATCCCAGTGTTCCCCGGAACCGGTTCTCCTTTCGCTCATGCTCCAGAGCCCGAAGGAGACTGTTCAGTTCCGTGGCTGATTACACGGTCCACAGCCCAGAGACGGAGGAGCTTATCCGATCTGCCATAGGAATGGAGATAGATGCAAGAAATATACGCCGTCTGTCTGTCATCGACCGCGGTGCTGCCGTGTCCCGCTTCTTCCTCTCTGCAACGGACTCATCTGTAGCGGCCTCGAGCATGGTTTCTTTCCCTTGCGCAGTACATTAAATAGCGCACGGTGACAACGCAGAGTACGGCGGGTGACCTAACGAGTGGGAAATGTTGAAGCTCAGTGAGGGGATGAGTCGGAAGACGATGCATTGCAAGATTGAAACGGATTCATGGCGAACAGCAGATGTAAGAGAAAACGAGAGGTTTCAAATTAAGCCAAAGGGAGAAGTAAAAGGAGAACGATTTTCGGAAAACGCATACAAAGTCGAGCTGGTCGAGAGCAGAGCAGCGGCAAACACGTGTGGCAGTGCAGGAGTGATGATCATGATCGAGCCGGGGAGACTCACCATCACGTCTCTTTTGTGATAGTGTGAGAGTGATAGTGGCTATCCACCGTCACTTGTTCTCTCCTTACGAGCATCTCGAACATCGCGGAATCCGCAAATAGCACCGACAAGGAGTTTCACTGACAGTGCAGAAATCCGATCTCTCCGAAGCTCCGTCAGGTGTCCCATATGGACTTCCTGGGGGCGGGTCTCCAAGAACTCGACGATACCGTTCAACAACGAGAGGAGATCTTGAAGGGATCTCAGAATCGACAAGCAGACACGCTATCTCAGATCAACGCGATCTCGCGCTCGGATCCTCTCACGCGTTTTCCGCCCGAGATCGGGTCTAAAATTCTCGAGCATTTCGTCCCACAACGAGACGATCACCGGTACTGGCAAATACCACCGAACTACTACGATGATCACTTCAATATGAAAGAGGGCGAGAGTGAGGCCGACGCTTGGAAGCGTATTCGACTTCAGCGCGCGTACGAGGACTTCCCCCCGCTGCCCATCATACTCGTGTCGCGCACATGGTCGCGCGTCGCCCACGCGTCACCGGCTCTGTGGGAGACGCTCTATTTGCGCTGGCGCCGCGTGAGACCGTCTGCGGCGATGGATTTCTACGTGCGGCACGCGCCCCAGCACGTCCGCTTCGCTGTGATCCTCGTCGGTGACATGGGCCCGGACATGTGGGAGGATCCTAACTTCCCGTCGTGGCTGAATGGAACGCACCACAAGTTCAGGCTCTACCGCGACCGGTTCCGGGGTTTCGCGATGAGAGGGGATATGTATACCGAGGGACAACACCTCTGCAGCATCATCACCGGTTTTACGAAGCTTGAAGATCTCGAGCTGCTCGTCAATGCCACTCCTTTCTGTTCTAGAATGGCGTGGAAGCACGCCGACTGCCTTGGGTTTCTACAACAGCACGCGCCCTCGTTGCAGTCTCTGAAGATGACTATGGCCGTCGCGGGCCCGCTCTCAATCGACCACCCAGCGGTGACTTTCCCCCGAGTGCGAACTTTCCATATGTGCGTGAGGGGCTCTGAAGACAAGGAATCTGCCATCCTTCCGTGCTTGCGCATGCCTGCTTTAGAGCGAATCGTGCTCGAGCGCATGCCATGGTACATGCCCTCGTTATTCGCGTTCCTCAGCCAACACGCATCCACACCGGAGGATCGCGAATAAAAGAGGCTCTGAAAATTGATTTATATGACTAATATTGCAGCACAAAAAATATATCTATATTCCTTACTCAATACTTAAAGAGTAAGATACTACGTTAGCTTTCCTGATATATGAGATATTGTGGTCCAAAAGGGGGGCGATGATCAGCGAGATATCAAGGTCTAAAACAAAAGAACCTTTTTTGCGCATTTTTTCGTCGATATCACAGCGCTTTATCTCATACTCATTAGTAAAAAGATTAGCATGTGCGTTATCAATCCTAATATTACCCAAAAAGAGCTGACTATAGGCTGCTAGAATATCAGAAATATTGCAGCCCAAAACAGCTGGACCTGATATGACCCATATCAGGGTCCAATTTATTTATCCGCCGATGATCGGCCGTTCATCCGTTGCTCATTGTCAGGCGAAAAGATATTGTAATACGAAGCACATGATAGATCTAGATATACTGATATAAGATACAATTAGGATGGATGATGATATATCTACAGTCCACGACAGCTCAGATATTGGTAAGGAAGTCGGCACAGACAGCGTCGAGATTCTTAGAAAGGCGCCAGGCAGCGCTGTACCCACGAATCCGTTCCTTCCAACGGGTGTTGTTGAGAACAACAGCTCTGCCTTGCGCCATCTCCTGCAGAATGCCTTGGAACCATCTTTCGCAATCTGGCGTCCACCACCCGACACTCATTCCCGAAGTAAAAAACGCTGCGGATTGAGGCCACCACGAAACACGTTTCTCTTGATGTCCATTGCGTGCGGTGGGATCCAGCTGGTCTATAGAAATTATTCATCGTTCTCTGTAAGAAAGAGGAAACTGAGAGACTTACTCATTTCGACGCTGTACACGCCGAGGACAAGATCCATTTCCTCCTGCATCAATGCATGGTAATAGACCGCTGTATCCCCACTTCTGACTAGCTCCTCGGCGGTCTCGATGTCGACATCATCTGATCTCAGCTCCAATTCTGAGTCCACGATGACTTTGCGTGCCAGCCGAGCAACAACGCCTCCAGCTTGAAGGGCTAGTCGGCCACGAGGAGAAAGGAGGAAGCGCTTCATTGAGTCCCAGTACGTGCGAAGATCCTGCTGCTCTGGAATGTAGCTCTCAGGGCGAACTCCAAGGCTACGACATTGATAGAGGTCCGGTTGATGGGAAGATGGTCCAAAGATGGAGTCCTCGACAACGACGTGGAAGGGAGAACCGAGATGATACAGATGTGAGATGATCTCGCCCCAGGTCTGGCAACGGCAGCGAACGAGATGCATGACAGAAGCAGCACTGAAGATGAGGACCTGTCTCCCAGGTGCCGCTTGGTTGCGCGGTTTGAGGACATATCCTGTGGAGCGATGTGCTTGAGCACTAACACCCTGGAGCAATGTCACCCTAACACCACTGTTCGACCAGATGTCATCCGCTATCTTGTCGTTGCCGAGGTCAAAGAGATCATTGGGGAGGTCTCGGACACGCTTTGCCTTGGACAATGCTTGCAGCAATGCGAGGGCCGCATCGCTTGGTGGCTTGGGAGTGGAGGACGTCCCATTGCCGAGGAAGTGGGCACTGACACGAGGCTTGATCATTTCTGTATCAGCGAAGCGGCGCTCCGTGTGGTCGACAAGCCCCACACGATATTCGAGAATGGCTCGTACAGCGTTTTGAGCAGGGATGTCGTCCATGTTTGTGATCGTAGGCTTCTCGTCGTCGTCGTCGTCGTCGTCGTAGTACGCGTCAAGATGGTGAAGGACAGCAGAAGCGTTGTTCAGCGTCAATTGTACTTCATCAGATAGTCCGGTGGGAAGCTGGTCGTCGAAATCAGCGGCAAAGTTGGCACGTGAGCTGTAGTAACCAAAGGGATTGTCGTCGCTGTCGTCGTCGTCATCGTATTCGACTTGAGCTTTGGGATCCAAGGGTGCACAGAGGTCCCATTCGTTGGCAAACGAGTTGTAGACACGCTGTGAAGGTGCAAAATCGCACCATTCCTCCTCGACCAAGTTTCGTTGTACAAGTCGACGGACCCAGAAGTCGTCGATCTTCTCCCACTTGAATACTCGGGCACCCTTTTTGCCAGGACAATTCTGCGACTTGGCGTTCTGTTCTCGTTGAAGACGCGTCTGCCTCTGCTCAATCGTTTCCTCGGCAAGCTTACGCTCATTCCGGGCTTTGCAGCAGGCAAAAAAATCCGTATAAATCTGCCCTGCCTTCTGGCCGCTGTGAGGCTCAACGGGTGGAAACTGCCGCTTTTTGGTCTCCAGAGCTGCGTAGTATTCAGGATTGGGGAATGTCCCGAATTGACGCATTGTGGACTGAACAAAAACAAACTCTTCAGTGGCGACCGGTAATGAAGGAAGCGAGATCAATGTGCGGATTGAGTTCTGAACGTCCAGACGGATGTTGCGCATCGACTGGAAAGACTCAAGATGGGTGGCTCGTTGCACAGCCTGTTCGCCTTCGCCCAAAAAGAAATATAACGGGACATGGATGTGAACGGTGTCATTGACAAGGAGTAGGAAAAGCCAATCTAGCTCGCGCGGGCTCTCTATTGTACAATCCAAGATCATTCCTGCTGGATGCCGAAGGAGACGTTCAACAACGTCCTCCAGCGAGTCCATGAGGCGGTGTTGGATATCGAGATTCCTCATGACTGAAGAACGCCAGTTGGCACATTGAGGAGATCCGTCGAGAGCCAGGAAACACAGCGCAATGGCTGCCAGCAGAGGTGTGAACGCGTCTCGAGAATGAGACACCGCCGAAATGAGTTCGTCTTCCGAGGAGAAAGAGTTCGTATAGCCGTATGTGATAGGGCGCGGGTGCATTGTCCCGCAACTTACAGCTGGGACAAGTCGGCCGACGTGATAACGCAGGACAGTGACGACCCTGCTCAGAAATCCTTCCAGACTGATCCATTTGTTCGCTATGGCCGGGGCAAGAACCCAAGACGGGCCATCCACCAATTCCTGCCTTTTCGTTGGCAACGAGCGCATTGATACGTCGAGAACACCGAGCAGATCGCCGTCGAACATGGGATAGCGAGGGCAGCAGGCGAGATGAGCTCGTCGGACGCTCACCCAGGACGTCTTGTAAAGTGCAGGATAGGAGTGGTAACTGTGGTCGGGGCGGGGAATGCGAAGGAGCGATGTGCGATCGGCGTTGAAGACCATGAAGACACCCCATTCGTTGCGGACGACGCCGTGGAAATGAGCTGTGGACTTTTTTGAGTCAGTAAGGATGAAGAACAGAAAAGAGTGGATTGGCTACTCACAGTGAGTGTCTTCTTCTTGAATTCCTCAAGAAGCGCGAGAGGCAGAAGTCGGTGTGGGCCGTGGTCGCTAGGCGCGAGATTGGAGCCTGAAGCCACAGAACCGCGTGGCAAACACGTCGATTCTGATGCTTTTGGACCCAGCGGCAAACGCCTGGGTCCCTGCTGTCCGCGATCCCGCCCTGGGTTCATGGTGGTGGTTGTTGGAGGATGAGATGTGGGATCAATGAAATCAGCACGTGTAAAATCAGCACGTGTAAAATCAACACGTGCCTGATCCCATCGATGATCTGTGGCACTGACTTAGCTCGACCAACTCCCTCTCCTCTCTCTCACCATGCTGTCAGGCGTTTGCCGCTGACAGCTCCCTCAAGTTTCAACGGCCGCGTATGCAGGACGATGGATGCAATGCTGCATCCACTGTCCCTCAGCCGTCACGATTGCTCACACATGCATCTATCAGGCGTCTGCCGCCGATAGGACACCATCGTCGCCGCCTTTGTCGCTCACAAGTGCGTCTATCAGGCGTCTGCATCCGACAGGACGCCATCGTCGCTGCCGTCGTCGCTCACAAATGTGTCTATCAGGCGTCTGCCGCCGATAGGACACCATCCGTCGCCGCCTTTGTCGCCCACAAATGCGTCTATCAGGTGTCTGCTGCCATTGTAGCTACCATTTCAGCTCATAACTCAGTCATCCGATGTCATTCGATTCAGTTAGTCGACTACATGTACATGTAGTCTATTTTGCCATCCGCTCAGTTGCCGCTACAAATAGCGCAAATGCATTCTTCGACACCTTCAGAGCCCTAACCTCTCTCGGAGAAAGGGATTCCAGCCACTCCGGATTGTACAGGCATTTTGGAAGTCCCTTGGGCGGAGGTCTGTCGCCGTGCGTCTGAGCGCGCACACGAGGAGCGGGCTTGGTGCCGTTATGAAGGGCTTGAAAACGCATAGTCTGCGCGTCCACCATGCGCATGTAGTCCACAATTGCGGGCTCGCGCCAAACGCACAACTTGATCTTGTAAACCTTGATCTTTGCACCCTTCTCAATCGAATGCGTCTCTTCCTCCTCGGACATTCCGCTTGGACCGAGCAGGTCCAGCAGGTCTAGCATTCTCTTCCAGGTTGTTAGATCGTTCCCACCGTCTGCCTCCTTCAATGCGATTGTCGCCTCCACGGTGGTGCGACGATGGTCGTATTTCTGGTGGAGGGAATCAATACATATAGAATCCATCGTTCAAGTGAAATACAAACGTTGTGCTGTCCATTGATGGTCTTGGACAACGTGCGCCGGTGGTACAATACGACTTTGCCGCGAGCAATTGCTTCGGCTTTTGTTTCCATGCGACCTTCCTCCATGTCCCACCTGGGGCGGAACTGCTTCCACTCCGCATAGTACCGCGCGAGCTGCTCGGTCACAATAAGCTCAAGATACTCGCGCTTGATGAGACCTTTCTGAAGGTATCGCATTCCAGCGTAGTCCTCCTTCACGGCCTCATCCACCAGTCTCTCCATCTGAGCCGCGTTCCATGCTGAATTCGTGTAGTCATCATTGAAATCAAATTGCCATTTGGTGACAGTGGCTTCATCGTTCTCGGCGAAAGCACTGACCTCATCCTCTGTCGCGGAGACGTGAAAGATAAAATCCGACGCTTGGTTGTATCCGAACTTGCGATAAGTTATGTTGCGCATCATGGCCTAGATTTGGTGAGCTATCTGTCCCCCAAGTAGCGTTATGTTTCACTGACATGGGCCACGTTCACTAGCTCCTTGTCCTGTGGCGCCACGGCTGCTTTCGCGTCTGCTTTAGCCTTGGGCTTTGCTTTGCGTCCTGCTGCTTCTGACGGCCCTATGGCAACATTTACGTTCTTGCCGTTTACAAGCTTCATCACAGCCAAGAATTTGGCCAATTCTCCAACGTCCATGTCCAATTTGGCTGCAATTGCCTCAATTTCCATATCGGGGCTCGAATCGGGGTCCGAATCGGACGTAGGAGCTGACAACGTAGGGCGCTCGTTTGGAAGAGGCGCAGGATCGAGTGGGAGTTCCATCACGGATGGCCGCCCTGGGTTGAACAGTTCGGTGCTGACTCGTCCTCGGCGCTTTACCGTCAAGGGTTGTGCTTTAGTACGTGCTGCCATCTTGATCTGTTGTCGAAGGCGCTCGACTTCATCCTCTTGCGCGCACACTTCAGCACGAAGTCGATCGACTTCCTCGTCGCGCACGTTCTATCTTGCCGTCAATGTCAACATTATCTGTAATGCGGTCAAGCCACCTACAAGTGTTTCCTGGGCGCGATAGGATTGCGTAGATGCTTCAGCTGCTTGGTTTTGAGCAGCTGTAACTCGTTGTAGCTGTACCAATATGAATGAAATACCTCTTTCCACCAAACCAGGAACTCACCAGATCTGCCAATCTGTCCTGGTCGTGCATTATCTGAGCATGCAAGTCGCCTTCGTCGCGACTCTTCTCCTCAAGCTTGCTGCGGCCTTCCTCGATCAGAATGTGCAAACGACGCACTTCATCCTGATGAGCAAGGACATCATTCTGAGCTGCGCTGAGTTGAGCTCGAAGATTGTCGTTCTCTTGAATAGCAGCACGACGCTGCTGTCTAGCTTCTGTCGCAGCCTGCTTGTGGTATTGCTCGCTTGAACGAGCCTGCAGAGCATTTTAGTTTGTGAATGCAAGGTGTGAAATGACACGTACATCATCGAGTTTATGATGTTCAGGAGTGGGGGCTGCTTTTCTTTTGCTAGAGACATCCGCATTGGGACCCAAGATAAGTCGAACACGCTACAAGGCTCGTTAACAGTCGCAAAAACTTGAGCAAGCCTTGCTACCGGAGTCGGTTTCTGTGAATCCTCCTTCATGGATGCGTCATTGTCCATGACTGGCACACCGTTGTTGCTCATGATCGCAATTCCCGCGGCAAACGCGTGGAACAAAGATGGAGATGAGGTGGGGGGTTGATAAGATTTGTTGAGTGGACAGAGTGGTCGATAGGCTACTTTTATAACAAGTGTAAGTACACATTATATTGTTGTGGTACTAACAGTATGTACAGGAGTACTACTTGAAAATCATACATTTTACATTTACCACTAATCTGGCAAGCTGCTTGAACGGAGCTTGTGATGTGACTGTAGTCACATCATCATCACTGATTAGTGATCATGGACGATTAGCGATGAATATCGACGAGCCATCGATTCATTAATCACAACGTAAGTACATGTAAATGGACTACTGATGGATACGATCCTGCTCCATAGTAGCCGTCAGAAGGAGAGAAAGATGTCAGTGGAAATGAACTGACACTGCGTGGTCGCAAGTTTTTTTTGAGTGTCTTGACGACGGCCTTCTCCGAGTTTCTCGCCTCCTTGGCAGACGAATTCTTGCAGGCACGAATAAGTGCCTTTTCAAGGGGCCAGAGGTCTATGTACTTGTTCACAATAGGATACGCTTCCTGGATCTAGATATAGTCAGCGTGAGCTACCAAAGAAAGAAGTGAACTCAAAACGTACTTCAGAAACGACTTGCGCCTTGACTTCTGGATCTTGCTTGCTCAAGGACTGATTGGGGTCGAACTTCTTGCTGGCGAGACTCTCGACCGCATTCTGAACGAAAGAGATACGGATCATTGTAAGAGGGCAACCAGAATGGACGTACCTGGAATTCGGCGATGAAATCTTTGCTCCACCCAGTCAAGATCGCAAAGTCCGAGTCCTTGACGTGAGAAGGACCACCAGGAGGGACGCAGAGCGAGAGCTTCAAGGTCTGCTCCTCGAATTCCTCCTCCTCCAAGTCGCTGGTGGGAGTACGAGCTTGCGTGGGAGGCTTCGACAACGGTTTTGATGGCTGGTGCACTTGAGCTATGGGAGGACACGTCTTGAGGCTAGCAGGCTCGAAGCTGACCATCTTCTTTGGCGCATGCTTGTGCGAAGTTTTACTGATGGCATTCTCCCTGAACGCGAGGGGAGGGCTGTCTTTCACGTCATTGTGCATCAGGAGCGCAGGTAAGTTTGGCGACTGGATGTCAGTGTGCGCGAGCAATTGAACAACAGGAGGCGGTGGTGAAAGTGGCTTAGCACGGAAGAGCATTGAGGCGGGATGTTGTTAGCAAGATGCAAATTTCGAGGCGTGTTCTATTGTGAAGTAATAAATCGGTAGATAGCTCCATTAGGACGAAGGACGATTGTCCTATCATGATAGACCGTTAGATACCTCCATTAGGATGAAGGAAGATTGTCCAATTATAATCTAGTTAACCTCGATTACGTACCCAAGTGCTCTACTGGGAGACAAAAAGGATCTCGTACTTATTGTTGACGATGCCATAAAGACTAGACGCAATGGGGGTGCTGCATTGAATCGAATATGTGCGACGTTCCAGCACAGAATGCTGAGTACCGCCTCCACTGCAAGTTGAACGGTCATACTGGCGCCATTCTTGACCTCAAAGTTCGCGATGACGGCAAATTTTTGGCCAGCGCAGGTGAGCTACGCAACTCTACTGCGTGGTCGGGCGCATTGAACAACGTTAGGATCCAGTGGAGGTGGGCCAAAGATCTGGGACTTGCAAGGACTATGTGAGCTCGACGTCGTGACTGTGAATTCCGATCTCCGCGGCGCAACGACAAAGCTCCAGTGGATCAAACGCGAGGATGACATGAGCAAGGCTCTCATCTATGGCACGCAGAACGGCTTCATCGTGTGCTGCCTTCTGGAGAATACGGTGTGTCAGTGAAGTCATCTGTTGCGGCGGTGCCCTGAGCATTCGTAGGGGAGCAGAGTGCGATTCCACGAGATCTGGAATTGCCAGATGAGCGCCCCTGCTGAGGTGACTGGCCTTGCATTTGATCCAGCTACAAATCGTCTGGCAGCTTGCCATCGTGGAGGGGTCCTCCAGATGTTCACGCTGAGCGCGAGGATGATCGAGACTGAAATGATCTCCCTCACCATCAGCGATTGCGTCCCCGGAGTTGTTCTGTTCGGGGCGATGCACAGCAACGAGCGTGAGCTGCTTGTTTTTGGACTATACTGTGGGCTTGTGTAAGTACTTTCCATCGAGGGGCTACGAGAGACTTACCATCCCTCAAGGTACAACATGCGCGGAACCAGTATCTGCAGTGCGGATGCTGCACGGAGCTTGGGGTGCCGCATGTACATCATACTTGTTCTTGGGTTCAGCTGCTGAAATGCGTGGCAGTTCTGATGCCGCAGTGGACCTGCCCAGCGGCACTCTCTGTGTCAGTGATCCCCAGGCTGGTGTCCATCTCTATCGCCTCGCTGGAGGCGAGCTGGTGAAGAGCTTTGGAGTGCCGGTGAAAAAGACCCAGCGCATCCACCAAATAGCGCTGTTTGACTCGAACCGTGCCATCGTCAGCGGCAGCGACCATGGGACCGTCTACGTGTACGCACGCCGGGACAAGGGACTGAATAAGCTCCAAGTCGATCCTAATGAGTGGGTCCAGACCGTGACAGTGAGTATAGTGTGTTTGGACGGCCATGTAATGACTCGTAACAGGCTGCGGATGTTGTGGGTGTCCCGACCATCTTCGCGGCGAAATCAAGTGCGATTAGCGGGAAGAATGAGATCTTCGTCTACCGCAAGACGTTAATTACGCCTGACTTCCGTGTGAGACTAATGAGAGGGCTGAAGTCTTTGGTCTGGCTTGTTGTCCTCCTCGCTGCGTTAGCATATGGGTTCGAGAAGGTGCTCGGGGACTGGAGCTTCGCAAGACAGAGCAGTGTAAAGATCCCATATGGCAACTATTTCAACTACATCGAGTAGTTACATGCGATCGATGTATTCTGAGCCTTAGCAGAAGTTGTATAAAACGCTTGGATCGTCCTGACGGCAAACGTCTGAGACAGAAATGGAGTCTCAAACTCCAGAGTCCATATTCGGTGTGACAAGTTATGTTGAAGGACCTGCGCTCACGACGGCACACGTCTGTGAGCGAGAGTGGAGGACAAGAGTCAATGTGATGGAATCACATCAAAGATTGGTAAGTAGACCATGTGATGGATTGAGCAATCAATGGACCACGTGATTGATTGAGCGGTCACTGCCTCCAATCAATGATCGGTTATCACCGATCCCTCTCTCTCTCTCCCACCATGTTGGTGGTGTCAGACGTTTGCCGTCGACACCACTCCTGTGCTCCCATATCCCTGTGTACATATACTCATGCCAGACGTATGCCGTCGGCAGAGTATCTCTGAACGCCACTTTTGTTGTCTTGTCCCAATCGAGCACAAGAACCTTCCCGCCTGTGCATATAACAAGCTCGATTACATACTTTAATTCACACTCTTACGATTCTGTGCTCCCCACCTTGCGTTTTCGTCAGACGTTTGCCGTCGACGAATGTCGTCGTCGGGTTACTACTACTATACTTGCCAGCGATGCCCGTTAACCAATCATCGCAATCACAGAGTCCTGAAGCGTCAGCGAGTAGCACACCAAGCGGAAATAGCGACTTTCAAGGAGCGACAGAACACCCCTGACGCTGTGCTTGAACCCACGCGCGACTCAGAGAAGATTGATCCCGTGCATCATGTTCCGTTCCTCATGCCTGTCGACGAAGTGGACGAGCTGGTCTCACGTTTGGATGGCATTCAAGTCACTACAGACGCGCCCGCATGTCCTGCGGATATCGAGGTCGAAAGACTGGCCAGCCTTCTCACTGGGTTGGTCGTCATGGATGATGGTGTACATGCCTCTCACCAAACACACTCGAAATTGTTCAGCTCTCGGGACGATTTCCAGGCTGCTGTACCTGACGTCCCCACGGACTTCCTGCCCGTTTCATCCACAGAAGCTTTCTCCGGTGTTGAAGCTGTCCTGCAGATGCAAACGCAAGCGTTGCTGCTCCGTCCATCCGCAATCCAAGCTCAAGAAACCAATGTGACTCTACTACAAGAGATGCTACAACGACTCCGGGCTGCTCATGCTCAACTGGATCTCCAGCACGCACTCGATGCAAGCCCCAATACCATTGGTGCGCTAGCAAGCGCTGTCAATACTGCAAGCTCGGTCGTTCTTGAGGCGGGTCGTCTTCTCTCCAGCATCAAGCTTACCGGCAATGAACGGCCTCGTAAGTCCCCCAGGAACAAGTCTCACGTGGAGGGTGACAGCAATGAGGCGTTGGCACAGATGGTCCGAGAAGAGGCCACCACGCTCGACTCGCTTATTGATGTTGTGGGACGCCTCCTTCCCCCAGAAACAGATGAAGTCAAGCACGATACCGGTATGTTTTCTTGGTTTCAATATGCTCTATTTGACGATTTACGCCATCTCCAGAGCATCACTTCGTCAATCCGATTGCCAAATACGATGTCATCGCTCAGCTTTCAATCCTGCTGGCCCTCATCTGCCATGTCGTTGTCGGAATTAGCAGCGAACCTGTCAATCTTATCATCGCTTTTGTCAACGCAATGATACAGGCCACAATGTCTCTATGTGCGCGCAGAGGACGTGCCAATGCAATCCAAGAACATACACTCAAACAGCTGCCCACCTCCTTAGAATCTGCTCTTCGCAGGTTCAAACTTGATCCTGCCACCACCATCTACGCAACTTGTCCGGCCTGCCATCACACGCACACACCCACCAAGAACCCGCTCACTGGTGACGCCTCCTACCCGGAGACCTGTCACAACTATATCTATCCGCAGCGAGGAGCTCGCCAGGTTTGCGGGACGCGGATTTTGGGGGCACGCCAGGGGAAGCTGCGTCCCATCAAGCCATTCGTATTCACCTCGTTTATCGACTACATTGCTGCCATGCTAACCGATCCCGAAGTTGAACGAATGTGCGAGAAAGCCTGTGATGACGCGTTTGCAGCTGTGCGTGAAGCTATGTCACAGAACGCTGATGCGTCTTTGGCGGAGGAGCACGTCAATAATGTGTTCGAGGCGGCGTTTCTGTGCAGCTTCGCAGGCCCTGTCCCTGGCAAGCTGTTCATACAGCGGGACGGTCGCCTGCGGCTCGCGTTTCAGGTCATGCTTGACTTCTTCAATCCCAATGGGACCAGAAAACGAGGCAATCATAACTCTATTGGGCTTCTCGCCGTCGTCAACCTCAATCTGAGCGAGGACATTCGCTATCGTCCCGAAAATATGTGGCTGAGTATCATCCTCGGTCCCAGCGAGCCTGGCCACGACCAAATCGACAATTACTTCCGTCCTCTGATTGACAAGTTTGTCATAGGATGGGAGCGAGGTTATCGGTTTTCCCGTACTGCGCTCCATGCCGCAGGTCGTAGCGTAGATCTCGCTCTCGTCATGAATGTCAACGACTTACCTGCGACACGAAAGGCTCAAGGCATGGCGGCCCATAACTCACACCAGTATTGCTCGATCTGTGAGTGTTTTGGCGTCAAGACCATGCATAATACGGAGTTCCACAAATGGACGCGACGGGATATCACAACTCTTCGTGCTCAAGCGTATGCGTGGCGAGATGCGACAACGCAAGTCACTCGAGATGCTATCTTCGCAGAGTATGGTGTCCGTTGGTCAGAGTTCTGGCGTCTTCCTTATTGGGATCCCACTTGCATGGCTGTCGTTGATTCCATGCACTGCATCCTGGAGGGTCTTGTCCATTACCACTGTCGTCGGGTACTACGAATAGACACGAAGTTGGCCAAGCGCAAGGAGACAATGGGAGCTGCATTTGAGTATGAGTGGCTGGAATACAACTCTGCAAACTGCCATCCCTCTTGTTTACTGAAAACCGAGACGCGAGAACTACCTATGATTCGCACCATTCAACAAAAACTCATCCAGCCCTTACTCACAGACGAAGCTGACGCCGACAATGAGCAACAAGATGATGATCAAGATGTTGAGATGATCGACGCTCCTGACCCTCGATTCGTCCCAGCAGTCACCGAAGAAGAGATGCACCAGCAGCTCATGAAGGTCAATCTTCAGCCGCTCCGCTGGGTTGTTTATTCACTTGGTCTTGATACGGATGCGAGCCGCATAGCGTCCAAGAAAGTCTGCTGTGATCAACTCCTAGCTTGGGTGAGCACTTGTCTCGCCTCCTTCCAGAATAGTCACTAACAACTGCTTAGCGCCGTACGCAGCCGCTCACAAGTGGCACATACATCCCCCGATCTATAAACCTTGCCAACATTTACTTCATCCAGCGAGTCATTGCGCAGACTACGACCCCGGCATATATTGATTCTGTTCCTATGAATTACGGTGATAGCAACGCAGGAACTATAAAGGCGGCTGAATGGCGCATCCTATCAACAATCTATCTTCCTATTGCTCTTGTTCTCCTTTGGGGCGATCATGAACCCACAGAACAACCGACACGGTCACTCCAGATTCTAGACCATACGATGGCGCTCTTTTCAGCGGTGATTCTTGTATGCCGATATACAATGACGCCTTCCCGCGCTGTTAAATATCGCTCATTTCTCAAGCAGTGGGTGGACGGCCTTGCGGCAAACCATCCTCATACCCTGTCTCATCCTATGCGGCCAAATGTTCATATGGCGTTTCATATATATGACTTTCTGATACTCTTTGGTCCCGTAATCTCTTGGTGGACCTTTCCCTTTGAACGTGTCATTGGATTCCTCCAGAAAATCAAAACCAATGACCATATTGGAGGAGAACTTGAAGCCACACTGTCCAGATCCTTTATGAGGGGTGCAAGCATAAGACGATGGTTGCGCCGCACTGATTGCCCCCCGGTCTTCCTGGAGTTAAGAGCGCTCTTTGAGAAAACATTCCCGTCTTACAATGCACCATTTGATTCCTCTCCGCTTGTCAAAGATGGGGAACGCGCGCATTACAAACGAAGTGGGGTCAACTTCTCACGTGCAAGTACGCACCTTGGTAACAGCCTTGTCCTTTATTACCGGTGCGACTCTCGTGAGGTGATTGCGGGGAGCATCGAGAGGATTCTTGCAACTGGGGAAGACATCATATTCAAGATTCGGCGACAAGCACCGTTAAAGCCGGGGATGCGGGATCCATTCTCCTGCTATCGCCATTCTTCCCCGCTCGCACATATCGTTCTTCCATGACTGATATCATAGACAGTGTTCCGGTACAAGATGTGGTATCTCACTATGCTCGATTCAATTACTCCGGTGATCGTTGCGTTGTTCTTGATCTATCTACTAGCTAGTTTCTGCTGTCATGTACTTCGTATTACAATCTATTCTTTTTGCCTGATGATGAGCAACGGATGAACGGCCGATCATCGGCGGATAAATAAATTGGACCCTGATATGGGTCATATCAGGTCCAGCTGTTTTGGGCTGCAATATTTCTGATATTCTAGCAGCCTATAGTCAGCTCTTTTTGGGTAATATTAGGATTGATAACGCACATGCTAATCTTTTTACTAATGAGTATGAGATAAAGCGCTGTGATATCGACGAAAAAATGCGCAAAAAAGGTTCTTTTGTTTTAGACCTTGATATCTCGCTGATCATCGCCCCCCTTTTGGACCACAATATCTCATATATCAGGAAAGCTAACGTAGTATCTTACTCTTTAAGTATTGAGTAAGGAATATAGATATATTTTTTGTGCTGCAATATTAGTCATATAAATCAATTTTCAGAGCCTCTTTTATTTGCGATCCTCCGGTGTGATCCACGCTCCGCTCGCTCACCGTCACGTGCGACTGGCTGTATCTCGTCGACATCCTTCCCCTCTTGCCGTCCTTGACGGAGCTGTCTCTTACGAGCCTGTATGGCGATGAGCGTGGGTTTGACGATGACGATGAGCGTTACCTAGATGCCGACTTGGATGTTCTTCGCCCCTTCGTTCCCGCGCTTCGGCATTTCTCATTCCAGAGCGAAGTGGCCATGTCAGACCTGGCTTTGCTCCGCTTTCTGATACCCAGGATTGGCACCCTACGAACGGTGAAGTTGACTGGATATGCACAGTCGCTGCACCCAGACACATTGAAAGTGCTGGAGCTATACGCAGCGATGGGGATGGCGATTTCTCTCCCCCTGGCTCGAACTTGGGATGGCGTCACCGGCTCTTTGGAGTCTTGTTTTCAGTCTTGGAGTAATTCTATACGGTCGGAGAGTGTCAAGTACGATGAATAATTGATCTCAGTTACTTCACAAATATAAGAGTTCAATATCCATTGTTCACTGATATTCTCATCTCACACTGTAGGTACGGGTCGATCATGTGTAGCTGAATATATTGATGGAATGATATGGTTAGGGTTAGCGCGATTCAAGGACCAAAAAAGGGCCCGCCTGGCCGAGTGGCCGTGGCGGAACAGGAAAATATTGAGACGGCGCATGAGCCGAAGCCCATACAAACCGCAGACCCGCTCTGAATGGACAGGGTCGCCGTGCTATGGAGTGTTCCCGCGGCCCAAAAGCCCAGGTCCATGAAGGAGCTTGTGCCATCAAGGTAAGTATGCATGTGTCCCACGTCTCCCCCGCCCGAAGATCACGTGGAAAAGGCACGTGCTTCCCTTATTTAGAAACACTCCCTCTGTCTCGCTCTCTCTGCCGCTCCACTTGAAAAAGATACTATTATAGTTTGAGAGCAATGTTTCATACTGAATCTTACTGTTAGGAATTCATGTTCTTCGAAAATCAACTGTAATTTCATGGCGGAAAGCAACACTGACTCCGATTACCTGCCTTAATCACATCGGCGCTATTGATTAGCGGTCAGTAAGCAATGACTGAGTTTGGGATTGCTTCTGGGTAGTGTCAGAAGTTCGAGCCCTTTTTGAGGAGCATAATTTATATGCTTTTGCCCGCGCAGCCCTCGGACTTCGAGGCGTCGCGGCCGACGAATGGCTGCACCGTCACGAAACACCCCTGGACGCGTCTAGTCACGCGTTTTTCCTTCGCTCGTGGCTTGCACCCATCCCAGACGCGTATCGGAGCCATGAACGCGTCGAACGCCGCGTCTCAAGATCAGGCGCGACCATGCTCGTCGAAGAGATGTCGCGTGATGATCCCTTACGGCACTGGCTTCAAAACCTGCGAGGAATGTCGTCAGAAGGCTAGAGCTAGAATGGCAAATAAGAGGAAAGCAGATGGAGAGCAAGAGGATGTTGGACGCGAAAAAAGGGCCCGTCTGGACCAGAGCAGTTCATCAGGTCGGCGCAAGCTCTCTTTGATTCTTTTTGACTCTGATTTTCGAATTTTATGACAGAATGTTGTGAAGGAGAGGATAGCGACGCGTCTTTCGCGTCTCCCGGGGATGTAGCACTGAAGAAAGGGGTAAGTTTCAATGTTTCTGCTCGCAACAGTTGATCAGCTTGAATCCCAGACATATACAACATATCTCACGTACGAAGACATGTTCAACGCCCTCAGAGTCCAATTCCAGTCCGGATCCGTCCTCTTCCGCGGCAAGTGCACATTACCGGTTGATGCGCTTGTCTCTCACAAAGGACGCGTTCAATTAACTGCCTTGGAGATCTGGAAAGTGTGTGGATATCGTTGGATGTATGTGACTGGATTATCTGTCATACCGTTATCTGATTGAATTGCCAGTGTTCGAGACAATAATGTCCTCGAGAACGGACATACGACGCGACTGTGGTGTTGCCAAGATCAAGATCGAAAGAAAAAGGCAAAACCCAGCACTCGGGAAGGTGCCAAGCGGCGCGACAACGTTGGGATGAAGAGATATGCATGCAAGAGTCGGGCGAGCATATCTTGCTATGCAGATGGAGAATCTCAGGTCGTTTCCATTGCCCTTGAACACCACTTGAAGCATGTCCTGTATTACAATGTCTCGATGCCGCCGGAGGTCTTGAAGATCATTGGAGCAGATATCGAGTGGACAACGCCTGGATCGGTGGTGGCAAAGGTTCAAGCACAGTTCCCGCAGGTCACGTCAACCCAGGTGCATAATGTTTGGACAGAGATGAGCGAGGTGCTCTGGAAACGGGACAAAATGCAGCTCCCATCAGCGACGGCATTCTTGAAAGAGTGCGACACGGATGTGGAGCTGCTGAACATCATGCCCGAGGATGGGGTTGTGCAGCTCGCGTTTGTGATGAAGAAGATAGCCCGAGCTTTGAAGGGCAAGATTGTCGAGGCAGGGGTCGACGCGACTTGTATGTGATTTCATTCTGGAATTCAGACAATCAGCTGAAAGATCCCGGGCCATAGTCAACACGAACTTGAGTCATCTCGAGTTATATACTCTCATTGCCGAACAGGACAATGCTGGATTTCCCGTCTCGTACTGTCTCCTCTCCACGACTGAGGCCATCAGCCCCGGCAAGCGTCTTCGTGCGTTGACGGCTTGGATGCAACAGCTCCGCGATAAATTCGGCATTAATCCCCAGTTTGTTCACGTCGACAAGGACATGGCTGAGATCGGCTCCATACGCGTTGTCTGGCCGCTTGCCAAGATACAAATCTGTTGGTACCATATGAAGGACGCGATCAGCAAGCGGATAGACACGACGAAGCTGTCGACAACACCTTACAATTACACTGCAGCTCAGAAAGAGTTTCCCTTCATCAAATCCACCTTCCGTCCGACTACTCGAGCCGATCCAAAGGAACACGAAGGCGGTATCGATGCAGATCCAATCACTCCGGCGCCACCCGCCACTTCGAATCCCAACGCTTTGTTCATCCGTCTTCCGGCAGGTTCCATCCCGAGTTCTGAACTGGGAAGCCAAGCCCTTGTAGTCGCACAGCCGGAGGCAGAGACCGAATCGACCTCCGAGATCACCGAGCCGGTTTCGCGTCGCGTTTTCTGTCCTAAAGACTTCCATGCTCGGATCATCGACATGACTTTTGAACATCTATGCGCGCATCCACTGCTTCCGGGCTACTGTGCACCAACTCCGGACGGTATCCGCTACTGGGCGGTGAAACGCACGTATGACTTCTGTGTTGAGAACGATCTTCCGGAACTGTGGGCGTATCTCTGGGAGAATTGGTATAGAGCGAAGCGATGGGATCTATGGGCCCGAGCTGCATGTGTTCTGATTCCGAGACTCAGGACGACGATGATGGTCGAGTCCCAGTAAGTGAACAGTCACACGGAATGTCATACATACTAATAGCTCATTTTCTGGAACAGTTGGCGTCTGATCAAGAAAGACTTCTTGTATCACTTTCACATGCCTCGCCTCGACCTTCTGGCTTGGATCTTGGTCACGAAACTCGCTCCAAAATATTATAACAAGCTGGATGTTCTGTTCATTGACACCGGACGCTATCGCTCCCTTCATTCCTGGCGCAAGAAATTCAAGCAGGAGTGGAGACGATGCGAAACGGCGCCCATCACTCTTCCGATCAATCCCGGTTACGCGCCCGACCCCCTCCGTTGGACATGCACCTGCCCTGTCCTGGCGAGCAGCCGATTCCTCATCTGCAAGCATCTCGTTCAAAGTGTGAAGAGAGTTCCGCCGGAGTTTTTCCTGGAGGTCACTCGCAACCGGACAGCTCCGTTTTGGGCCCACCCAACTCTGATTCCGTTGAACTCGACCAATCCCATTGTGGCTCCAGTGGTTCCCGACGTTGATGAGAGCTCAGCACCGCAGGAGACCTTTGACGATGACGACGACTCGGAATTGGAAGACCCGCCGGCCCTGGAGACGGGCCAGTCGGCCCGGGAACAATTGACCGCTCGCATCCAGTTGTTGCGTGATTTCTGTGATGGACTGGAGTATCAGGTGCAGTTCAACGACACTCGACTGGTCAACAGCCTTGAGCGCAGTGGAAGAGCTTTCTTCAGCCTTGCTACTAACTGTTTGAGCCGTGAACGGCGGCAGAACTCGTCTCGTTCATCAAATCCGACAACCTGGGAGCCAGGCACTGCCAACGCTATGTTTTACAGAGCAAGACCACGTTTGCGGGAGAAGTATACATAGATTATTAGTTCTTGGATGATATTAACACATTTTGCGCTCTCTGTTTTACTCTCATACACATTGACATTATTAAATAACCTCCTGCAACCGGTCCGACTTGAACTCAGGCCCTTTGCGTTTTGGCACGTGACCTTCGGGCGGGGGAGATCAAGGGAATCTAAGTATGCAGAACAAGGCTTTGGAAGGTGGCTTATATACGATGCACGGCCGGGTGTGCACGGACCATGTGCGCACAGACCAGATCACGTTGACCGGCTGTGTCGTTACTTGGTGCCGAACATCGTCCTGGATCATTGCTGTACGTCACCCAACCCAGAAGAAACACCCGGCTATGACTCTCAACTCTCTGAAGACTTCACTGGTTTGCAGGACACAACACTTTGATCATGTGCAGTATCGAGGCGGCAGTGACCGCTTGCTGGCTCAAAGTCCGCCTCGAAGATGCAAAAGCAGGGGGTGCAGTTTAGTACTGAAATTCCCTACCGGTCCCCGGAGGTTTACCATTTATCGACTCGGATAACAACCTCGCCACCCGCACTCTGTCACCCCCTCAATCCAGTTGCAACCAGCGTCCTCAACTCGGCGTTTCGTCAAGAACATACAACCAACGAAGGGACGTGCTGCAGCAGGTGCCCACCGGCTTCACCATGCTCATACGCACACTGTCACATCTTGGATCTCGAGCAGTCGGACTTGAGCTTGTTCAGCCTTCGACGGCCACTGCGTGATCTCCGACCTGGGCTGGAGCACTCTCATGTCGACCCCCAACGATGCGTTCAACGAAAAACGGGGGCTTCTCTTTGCGACGGAACTGCTCGACAACCCATACACCAACTCAGGGTTCAAGGCCACCGAGACCCGGTGCTACCAGCCCAACACCGGCTCGTCTTATCTGTGATTCGGCTGCGTCGCGGAACTCTGTTCGCTCGGCATGACGATGTATGCGCTGATCACCGGATGGGTGCAGACTGTCCCAGAGACGTCGCCGGCTGTGCTTGGACTGGACGGCGGTGGAAGGATGCAGCGCGTACTGCTCAAGTCGGGCACCCCGGCCCTTGGTGAGATTGTCCTCCATGTATGTTGCCTCGGCCATCTCTTTCTGCTCTGTCCCTGATCTCGACTCGTAGCTTTGCCAGCACGACGAACATCGCGCCGCACTCCGGAATGTACTCGAGATTGCTTCCAATCTTGTGTGGGTGGGTTTCTTGTGTGGAGATCCAGCAGCTCAAGCCGAGCCAAAACCTTTTCGCGCAAAAATCCCCGGCACGACGTGGGTCTGAGGGATTCATGTTCCATAGCGTTTCGATACAACACGGCGGGTGAGGAGTTTCTCTTGAACAGCAGCCAGGCTTTCCTGGAGCTGGATTTGGTTCCCAAGAAACGCCGCAAGCAGAAAACCAAGCCAGAGACGCCGGTGACTGCCAAAGATCGCGGAGAAGTGCCGTTCCAGCCGCCAGCATCTACCCCTGAATTGGCCAGGGTCCAGAATCCAGATCCGAGGCGTCCAGTCCGCGTCTAGTTCCATCCAGTCGCCATGCCCAGCCATCTGACTTCCGAGTTCCGGTCAAGGAGACAGTCATTCAGCGTGAAGTCCAGGTCACTCACTATGTAGGCTAAGTTCAGTGCTCGGCGCTCAGCACCCAAGGCTCGTAGCGACTAGACTAGATCCCTGAATCTAGAAGAGTGCATTCGAGTGCAACACCAAGTCATTGAATTCATGAGCAAGCCTAGTGTAGTAACCTGAAATCGTTACACTACGAATGATTAAGTAACAGATAGATAGTAAGGAGGTGCTCCAAGTGAGATTGCGGGGCCGATAGCGTCCAGTCCATAAATCGTCTTCACTTCTTGGTGGGAGCAAAGTGCACGGCCAGCACGATAGCGATGACAATGAGTATGACAAGGATGATGATGAAACAGATCCATCGCATTCGCCGCGCGTTGCGAGCTGCCGGCGGTCTTAGCATGCAAGCTCAAATGAACGACGTATGTGTGCATATGACGCACCAGATTTGATCGCCCCGTCCAATTGACCGTTCCTGTATGCTGGTCAGAAGACGCGAGTATCGACGGAGGACGGCCGACTGACGCTTGTTCTGCATCGCTCTCGACAGCCACAGCATTATTCTCGATGGCCACGATGGTCTCGTCCTGCTGCTCGACAAGAACAGCCATCTGAGACAAAGGCGCTCGGTCAGAACAGCAAAAACAGGACAAGTTGACCCAGAATGCACATCACTGAAAAGCTGCGCCAATTCGGCTAGCGTGTCCTCCATGCGCCGCAACTCCCGCGCCCGAGACTGAACCTCGTTGAACGCAGATCGGGCATGTGCATAGTCGTGACTCGATGTCAGCTATACGGTACCATCAGCTAGAATCCCGAGCAACCATCGAGTGACATCGACGCACAGCCTGGGTGAAAACCTGGTCTCCACCTTCCGCAATGACCGCGGTGATCTCCTCCTGCGTTGCCTGGGGCTTGACTGCGACGTGATGAGCGAAATGGACAGCTAGCCTCAGGGGCGGCGCGCTAACCGATACGGTACTGGCGTTCTATTCGCTGCTTCGACTTGGCCTGGTGCTCCTGCTCCACCTGGCGGTAGTTCTGCAGTGCCTCCATGAACTTGTTCCGCAGGAACGTGACCTGCATCGCAACCCGCCCGTCAGTCCAGCCATACCAGTGCCTGCCTGACCCACACCGCACGCACCCGATTCTGCCGGATCTGCACGTCCTGCTGGCCCCGCCCGCCACCGGCGACAGCGCCCTGGAGTCGCTTGATGCGATCCTTGAGCTGTGTGCTCAGCGCGAGCGTGTCAGCGACCAACGTGTCGCGCTCCTGCACATGCGAGTCCTCGGATCCAATCGTGTCTAGTGTCCGCGCGTTGAGCGCCGCGATGCGCGCCACGCGGTCGGAGAACGTCGAGATGGCGTCCTGCACGGAAGACGTCTTTCATGAGGGGGGATGAGTAAGCGACGCGGCGTCCCCGATTCTTTGCACGAAGGCCGCGCACCTCTTCCAGGAACGCAGGCCGCGACTCCAAGCTCCCCGCGGCGCCGTTGGCCGTGCCGTTCGTGTGCAGGGTCGTCATTTCATGGGACGGCGTTGTCGGGGTACTAGCGTTCCCGGCTTGACGCGCCTGCGCCGTGGTGCCGGGTCAGCGGCTCTCGGAGCCATGTGTTTCAGGCACGGCTGCGCTACGCACTTTGTAAGCAGCCAACTTGTCCGTCATGGTCGTTTGCAAGGGGCGTGGGGAGAACTCGAGAGAGGATCACCGAGAAATCCGCAGCGGGGGGCACTTATGAAAATGAAGGGAGGTCGTGAATGACAAGGACTGTCACAGCATACGATGTCGAAAAAGTGTGGGCGGTGTCCGATGCGCTGCGGCAAACTGCGGGATCTTCTCACGCGTGTCATGTGGGGATCCCATTTCGCGATCGTGGGAAATAATCTCTTTCTTTCGAGACGCGGAGTTTTGTTCCTATTTGTACAATGTTGATTCATCCAATAACTCCTCAAGCCTGCTGTACTGCGACTTGGCCGACGACAAACTGACACCTCTCCGTCTCCTCATCCGATTGCACTTCCAAGAAACTCCCCGTCTTTGTCGTGTCGTTCGCCCTGTTTTGTTGCAACACGATGCGATTTTTCTGCGCCGAACTGAACTGCGGCCAATTCGGCGAGGTGTGCAGCTTGTGCGTGTTTGGGTTGCCCGAGCGAACAAAGGACAGCCAGTATGCGATCAGTTCGCGAGTGAAAGCCAACTCGACGGGGGTCTGGGCAGAGAAGGTCCCCGTGCCATTCGTGCTGGAATTTGGGGTCAGAACTGATGCAATTAGCACATGAACGTCAGATTTACACACCCTGTGTTGCTTCCCTGGAACATCATCCAGTTTTCTGCTGCATGGTCGACCCGGGTGAGACCCGGGTTTCCAGTGGGATTGGCTTGGTTGTATCGATAGGTCCAAGCTTTGTTTTTCTTCGACGCTGCTGTTCCAATGATGTGCCGCTGAGGAGGGGATGAGTGATGCAACGAACTGGAAGCACAGATAGGGATCTCACAGCACACAGCAACTCCGGCTCGCCCGTCCCAGCCTGGAATTGGAGAGCGGCCGACGCGAAGTCGCTCAGAGGGTATTGCTTTAGAAGGAATCAGGTGAAGAGAGCTGGGACGGAAGGAGGTCGACCAACGTTCACAATCCCTTGGACAGTCTTGTTTGTGTACGACGGGAAGAAAGCAAGCAGAGCGGAAGTGATAGTTCCTCCCGACAGCGTCTCATTGGAGGTCGAGCTGATGAGACTGGTGAGCCGCCTGATTAGCGAGTCGCAGAAGCGATTGCTTACCCGACAATGATCGGTACATTAGCAATCTTCCCCTCGGTGATCAGTTTTGTTGGGTAATCGAGGAATATCTTTCCGTCAACGACCGGTTGGAAGAGCTTATAGCCAGTGCTAGAGTTTGATTCATCCCATCAGATACAGTCCAGTCCCGAAGAGAAGCACGAACGTATTGGCATTGTAGGAAACGAAATCCTGCGCTCTCGCCAAAGCACTGACACTTGCGCTCCTCAAGCATGCAAGTTGAGATTTGACGGAACCAGTGCCACATCCTGCTTGAGTCGCAAACAGCTGGAATTGAGCCTGCCCGAATTCAGCGTCAAAACCAGCTAAGACGACTGAAATGCAACCCACCGCTCGTTGAGCCGGATGCGCCAGTGGCGTCCGATAAACGCTTTGCGCAATAATTCCTTGGAAGTTCGGGTGCACGTTCGCAATACTGTGCAGCTCGACCGAGGCACCGCCGGCAGACTCGCCGTTGATGGTGACCTTGTTCTTGTCTCCCCCAAAGGCGTGGATGTTGCTCTGCACCCACTTGAGCGCCTCGATCTGATCCTGGAACCCTACGTTGAAGTCGCCGTTTGCAGAGTTGGAGAATTCGGGGGTCGAGAGGAAACCGAATGCGCTGAGGCGGTAGTACACGGAAACGATCACGACATCCGGGCTTTGGTGGACCCATGGATCGAACGGCCAGTTGCGGGGGTTGCCGTATATGTAGCCTAATGTTCAAGGAAGGTTGAACGTGGGTCCCGGGGATGAAAAGAGGGGCGACGCACCTCCACCATGGATATAGACAAGGACAGGCACTGCACAAGACTTAGATGAGAGAACAAGAAACGCTGTCGTTACTCACAATCGTCGCCGGCCTGCACGTTCGCTGGAGTGTAGACGTTCACCTTCAAGCAGTCTTCACTGCCTGCACCACCCGCATCTCCATCTAGCGGATGGTTAGTACATTCATCAAAGATCCAGAGAGCCGCACGCACTTCCAGTCGAGCCCTGAACGCAAAACTCGGGATACTGAGTCGCGTCAACGACCTTCCCTCCCGCCGCCTTCTTCACTCTGCCTGTATCCAGCGGCAGAGGCGCGCGGAACCTGAGGTTGCCCAGGGGAGGCTCAGCGTACGGGATGCCCAGGTACGCGACGGTATTCGGGAACGACAGGTTTCCCCGGTACGACGCGTAGCCCGTGTTGACCACATTCGGGGCAGCGAGTGCCCCGAGCGTGGGGAGCAGCAGCAGCGCGAGGAGCTGGCGGTAGATCGGCGAGACGGCCATGGCGTGAGTGGGTGATCACCCCGCATTTTATCCGGGCGTCGGTATTTAAGCCAGAGCGCATGCAGGGCGGCGGTCACGATCAGTTCACACATGGGAGTGCAGGCAGCGAGCCGCGGTCACACTGTCTTCGCAGATCAGATCACAGGGGTCCTTTTTCGGTCATGGGGTTGATATCTGGGTCAGCTGCGATGTGATTCGTCCTCGCTCCCTGGTCGGGGCCTGTGAGTGTCTCCAGGTTAGCTCGTTGGGAAATCAGCTTCTGGAAGGGAAGAGCAGAGCAAGATCTAATTCAGTCAGTCAGCGAATTTCATTCTGCAACGCATTAACCTTGAGCATCCATGCGACTTTTCCGCGTCGCTCGGTTGACACACCTAGTCAACCAAGTCACATCGCGTATAGCGCGCTGTGCGAGTTTCTCCGAACCAGACACGAAGATGCTGCAGGTACACATCTGCCAAGTTCCGGACCGGCACCGAGCAGTTTGCGGTCAGAAAACTGATACTTTCTACAAGGTCCGGCCCGGGAGAATCTCGCCGAAACTACAACACCTGGTGAGTATTGATCTCGTTCAGATCAGTCTGCAAATTTTTTTGAGCAGGCGGCAATCCCCGGACGTTAGCAGTCGTCTATTGATCATCCCCTTTGCTTGTTTAGATATCTTTAGCGTGGATCTGGGAAACCCGGTCTTCTCCGAGATCCGATATTCCCCGGCTGAAGTGCCTGATGTTCGCATTCTACACTGGGCGGACACTCGATTCCCTTTGGAGCTTCACAGGCTTTGGCAAGGAGTAAAAATCGTTCCATTCTGCCCCTTCTATTCTCTAGATCTTGAAGCTGTTTGTCAATGTGGAATGTAAGCATATATGATGTCATTGATCAGCTGGGGCACTTATCAGATTCCCGTGATTATCAGATATCTAACAATCCCATACTGAGGGTCTGCATAAGTGATCAGGGGCCCGTGAATATTGCCCAGAAGCCTGCGCACTAGGGATAATTAGAGTACCGAGAGCACTGTTCTCGTAGACCTGAATGGCAAGAAGAGCACCAGATTCAAGCAAGGCAATTTGCTAACGCAATCCGCGCTTTCTAGTCACAAATCTGACATCGGAATTTCATCAACTCATTAGGAGGGCATCATAAACTCACGCCAAAAGCGAACCCACGACCCAAGAATTCTGACACTGCACACGATCTCGGCGTCAGCCCAGAATCACACCAACCAAAATTAACAGCATCGCTCAGGCATCTCAGGCTCAAAGCAAGATTCCTGGGCGATGAGATTCACGGCCCAGCACCTCCTCTCCCCCGCGACCCGGTCTTCCGTCCCCGCTGAAACGCACGTCTCCTCAACTTCAACACAGCAACGCAGCGGATCGCTGCGGTCGGTAAAACGGAAAACCCGGCTTCGATCTACACGCGGGTTCCGTTTTTGCAGACGTGGACAGTGTATTCGTCTCTCAAAGCTGTGGCGGGAGACATCACGACAGACAGATTACGTGCGTGAAACGCTCGCTCGGACCGCCTTGAACTGGATTGTTTCCGCAGCAATATCAGATGATCTGGTCAGGACACGGACGGGGAATCAAATATGCCTCAATTACACGGAGATGGTGGTTCATATGATTGATCGGCTACTAAAGGTGTAATGGAATAAGTATGTACTTTTAGTGCGCAGTAGTGATTAACAGAAGGTAGGTACAGTAGAGTCTAGTGGTCCCATGAGAGAGAGAAATCCGGGTGTGTGGTGCCGAAGGAGTGTAAGCGTACAGTAAAGTACAGTTGGCTACAATATATTACAACAGTTCGTGCGATGCTTAATGTTATTACACCTTGGGGTAGCGATACAACAGCGCCTGATACTGGGCCAGCGTGTTCTTGACCATGTGCGGATATATGGCAATTCCATCCGAAAAAGGGTATATCATTCGTGGCCCAGGTTGTCCCTCGCTCACAGCGATTCAAAGCCCTCTTGAGCCTTGGTGAGCTGGTGCCCTAGAACCGAAATGAGACCTTGCATGCTTACCTCACATGGATGACCACTCACGCATAAGCAGGCTCTCAGCTGCAAAGGTCTTCAAGGCGTGCATGCCGTCCTGGAGACTGCAGTACACCTCCTCTTCCTTTGCACGTGATGCGGAGTCGAACGACGAGCGGAGGCGCTTGATTTCCTCGACGAACACAGAACAGGCGGTCATCCAGAGACTCTGCACGACGGATGTCAGCGGTCGCATATCAGCAAGACAGAAAGAAAGCACACGCACCCCCATGATGGGGTTCAGGTAGCCCAGACCTCGTCTCAGGTCGTGCTCGCTCGATGCGAACCCAAAGTCAAACATATCCCGGGCAGAAGCAAGACAGTATTCGCGCGAGCTTGGATCGTTCATGAAGAGGCTGTGCAGTTTGATCGACGCCGCGTTCAGAAGAGATCGCGTCAACAGCAGCGTGCGCGTCGTCTCTGTGCCGGCTGTGGTGGGGGACAGCATGGCTGACTCCGGGAGCTGCGAGCGCAGCGAGTTGATGAGGCTGTCGACGGCCTGGACGGCATTCGATAGCGCTTGATTGTGGCCGGGCATGCTAGCTGCGCACAGATTCAGAATACAGCCAGCCTGAGATCGGTAGATGGATGCACTCACCCAGCGTCCATTGGCCGTGCAAGTGCACTGCCCGATGCAGCAACACACAAGCCTTGGCTTGGAGCGCCGCGAGCGAGGGAGAATCGAAGGCGTCAAACTGGCCGAGAAAATTTCGGATCGTGCCGTCTCCTCGAACATCGGAAGTCAGCAATCCCTGCGGATCAATGTCAGCGGACCGCCGTCCCAAATTTGGCCCTGCGGCAGTTGCGATGTACGCACCTGTCTATACTCGTCCATCCCCCGGGGCCACGGCGTATCAACAATGGCGCCCCCGGCGACCTCAAACACACTGCAGACGCGCGACGGCGGGTCGAGCGCCACAGCGAGGTACTTCTGCAGCATGAACACCGCCCAGAACCCGTTGATGCGCTCGCCCTCCTCGACCACATCCGCCGGCGGGGGCAGCAAGACGCCGCTCTCGACGAACTGCTCGTTGATCGTCAGCATCGGCAGCGCCGGCTGCTGCACCGAGCGGATCTCGTGCAGGCCCGCGCCGATTGCCAGGGCCGCTGCCGTCGCGCTGTGGGCGCGCGCTTCGAGGAAGTGGCCCGTGCGGAAGAAGTAGTACCCGAGCAGCACCTCGGCTTGCAGCACCTGCAGGAGCGGATTCGAGAGGATGTCCGTCGCCACGGCCTGCAGCGCCTTGTATCTAAAGCGCTCGTCGCGCTGGCCCGAGAGGTGGGCTCCCCACATGTACACTGTCTGCAGCAGGGCGGGGGCCAGGCCGGGTCCGACGGCCACGCTCCCATCGGGCGACGCGGGCTGACGAACGACCGCTTGCCGAAATCGCGTCTGGTCGAGGAAGAAGCCGAATTGGGACCCGTGCTTCAGAAACGTATGTAAGCTGGAAGAGCACGTCAGTGTCGATTCAGGGTGACGCAGCAGGGACGGAGCATACAACGAGTCATGCATCGGCTGCTGTGCACCACGTAAGTCAGTCAGTCAGAATAAGGATAGAGTGCTCGGCAGGACGCACGTCTTGGAAATCAAGGCTTGAAGTACTGGACTCTGGAGTCGCGATACTCCTGCCATCAAAGATAAGCGGGCTCGAGCCGTGCGTCGACGGGGGTGACCACGCCGACAGCTGAGTGTACCCCTGCGACTCCGGGGACGATCCTGAGGGCGACAGTAATCGCGGGACCTGGTCGTACGGGGAATTCGGGAGCGACCGGGACGAAGCCGGATGGGGGCGAGACGGGAGCTGGAGCGGTGCGGGCGGTGCCTGGCACGCGTATGGGTCGAAAAGCGTCACGGAGGGCGTCGATTCGTCTGGATGCTCAAGCTCATGTAATCGCGCCTCGAGCCGCTGGACCGTATCTTCTAGAGCCTTCGTCCGGGACCGGACGGGGCCGTCGGTGTATTCGCATTCGTCATCCTTGGGGTGTTTGCGACAAGGTCCACATATTGGTTTCACGCCATCGCATTTCTGAGGAAGGTGATGAGAACTACTGCATAGAGTCGGATCGAATGGGAATGTAGCGCACAATCTTGAGGAACCTTGGATGCAAAGACCCAGTCAGCGCAAGTTGCGGAGAGAGGAGGACTCTTTGACACACACCTGCAGTTCATACATGCTCTCCCTCTCTTTAATGGCCGAGCGACAACGGAGCGCGAATTTGCGTGTAACAGATTTGAGTCTGTGATCATGGGGTGCGTAGTGGAGCGAAGAGGTGGAATGGTGGGCGTTTTGAGGAGGAGCCAAGGGAAGGACACCGTGCCCTTATATAAGGCACGGAGCTTTGAAGTCGGTGGAATACAGTCATGCAAAAATCCGTGAGATGAGATCTGAGGAGATGGTGAAAATTGTGCAATGACCGTTTGACGGCCAGGCTGTGTCTAGTCACGTGGGCCCGATCCGGTCATCTTGAAACCGGTCAGCCGGGTCTTGACTCATCTGTCCTCGATGCCTGCGGTCGGCGCCTCCACTTCAGCGACGCTAGCACGCGGGACAGACTGTCGGACGCTTCGTGCTGCCCCCACCTTTCATAGCCTTTGTCTTTCGTCTTTTGGAGGGCCGCACCTGGTCTTACATCACTCGTCAGACACTGGCTCCACTGGTCGAGGATTTTCGCTTCTCTGAATAGAAGTCCCCCAAGCCTGCTGTGATGCTCCCAACACTGCCTCCTCTACTGCTGCGGAAGATGCACTAGAGCTCCAGAATGAAACGTGTGCTGCTAAATACGCATTGTGCTGCGCTTGGAAAGCTATAGCGATGCCACGCATGCTGGGACGCATCTCCTGAGGGATCTTGAATCCGGTCAACACATCCTTTTGTGAGTCATTCCGTGAGATGAACCGTCGAGATAGACGCATAGAATGCACAGAGTGCGATCACCTCTGTCCACAAACGTCCACCTCAACCAGTTCTCAGCGACACCAACGTCCCCATGGTGACTCACCACTTCCCTCCGATTCTCATTTCCGTGCATTGGCTACATGTGGACGCGGAGTGCGAGTGCTCTTCCGGGTGCGCAGATCTTTCTCGCTTCAACTCACGCGCACTGCCGAAGAAAGTCTAGAGCAGACAAACCCGGATGTGCCCGCTTGAGCGTGAGTCGCTCTGAATGCGCGTCAATGTTCATCCGTCCGCCGACGATCGAGCGCAACCTCAGCACCCCGAACGATGCCCTTTCCCCGCTGCTATTCTTCGGACTTCCTTTTTGGGATGGAAGGTCCCAAGCTCGGAGCAACCGCGTCTATGGTTGAGCCCTGTGTCGGATGCAATCAAAGCTGGTGTCGGGCCGCAGGGAGCGTAGAAGACGGACGGCATCGCTGGATACAGTACCTCAATAAAGGGCCCTCCCTGCGACAGCTGGATGCACTCCTGACGATCCTGTCAGCACTCGTGCAGTTGATTAAGACTTCCAGGCACAGCGGAGAGTGTCGATGCCTGTCGGCGATCACAGCGGTCAGCGGCGTCTTGTGCTCTGCGCGCGAGAGCCGCAAATCCCGTGTCAATCATCAGTGGCGGTGCGATCCGGTCTTGATGCTCCCGCTCGTGCCGTGACCTCGTAGTCGAAGTTTCTTTACGACGAGCCGGGGCCAGCGGATGTAAGTAACGTACATAACGTGAATAGGGCCCATGTGCATCCTCACAGTTCGCACGAGAGAAAAAAACGGACACGGAAGGTATAATCCGAATGCCGCGATGTGGATGACTCTTAATCCAGGGACGGATGCACCCGATCTATGATTATCACTTATCGATAAAAATGTAACACAACCAGATGATCGACAATCCGAGCAGAACGGATCCCTCGACGCGACAGATCATGAAAAGTCTTGTACCTAGAAAGTCAGATTATTGTCCTCTCTCGGGAGGCCACCGCGCTGCTTGGCTTTGATCGAGTTCCGTTCCCAGAGGGATGCCTACATCCGATGCAATCTACCCTTCTCTTGACTCATACGCTCGATCGAACGAATACTACTCTCAGTGACCCGAAGTGACTAGGCAATGTCACGGCACTTGAAAATTGCCTTGCCTCGTGTCCGTTAAACTTTTGGGGATCAAGGGATCCTCAAGAACCCTCCAGCATCAAAGAAGCATCCGCTCAAGTCCGAAATGAGGGTTGACGTTTCTCTGATTCCGCTGGTTGATTAAGTGTGTGAGAGAGCAAGCAAGAATAACCGCGCTCGGCGCCAATCCCAAGAGATCTGTTCATTAGACCTATTGTCTCTGCTTAAGCATTCGATGTGTCTCTCTGTAAGAAGGTACCACGTCTGATGCCGATCGCATGATCAAAAAGCTTCCGCCGAGGCTGTGCTAATGACAGCTGTCCACCCGATCAACCCGACCGCGGCGTGACTCGGAGCCGTCCAATCCTCTTCTCCCCGACCTCGGGGGATCACCCTCCGAGTCCAGCCTTGAGCCCCACCAAGCTGCAGCGCCACAGTGGCGGGTACCGGCACCCGGGCCATCGTCAGCCGGAGAAGCATAACTGCCCCGGCGATGTCCTATGCGCGTACCTAACCAACGTACGCACACTCTCATTACGTTTGCGCCTTACCAAGCTCGGACGTTCGTGTCATCGTCCGTTTTAGAGGTCGTCCGCGACGCTCGGACGACCCGGGGATGATACACGCTGGCCATTTCGGGAGGACATTGACGCCCGTGCCTGTCCGATCCTCTCGCACTTTTGCACACCCCTCCGCATGGTGAAGACCTGAGCCTTCGCAAGTTCCCGTCTATCCTCCAAGAACTCGGACAGAAGAAAGCTCCGGTGATTCGTATGCTAGGGACGCGTTAGCGCGAGCATAGTTGGCGGATAAGCTTGAGTTTATTAGTCCTTTCAAGAGGACAAGGAAGGACGCGGAACTCCCCTGCTAATGATGTCGTCATTTGGATCAAACGATCATTCTCACGAGTGAACTTGGAAGTGTGCGCTCTTGACCTTACTCGAGCCGACTGACGATGTAGCAGCCGCGCGAGGGTAAAATGACTCAGAAAACACCGTATCAAGACTAGCTTCATCTCCACTGGCGCCATGGTGAACCGAATCTCGAGTACGATAAACTCTCGTGCGATCAAACACATCTCCACCGATGACCGACGCCGCTCCTGCATTCCAACACCCACATAAGGTTCAAATTCTACCCAATTAAAGCCGAAAGTGCTCACATGTGCAAATCTTTAGCAAAGACAGATATCTCCAGAGCATGAGCAGATTCCCCGGCGAGGCTCAACCGGAGCATGCAGGCCAGCGGTCGGGAGTGCGACGGCGTTGACGCCCACAGCGATAGAAGCGAGGAAAACGATGGTACGGGTGAGTTTCATCTGGAGTGGGATGCGTGCCACGGGAGGCGCTACAACTCCTTTATAAAGTGCTGCGCCAAGTACAAATCGCGGCTTCTCACATGACCTGTATACACTCTGAGGACTAGTATCATTATATTGTTGTGTTATCTCGTTTCCAAGCGTCGGGATGCGATCATCAAATGGCTCAGAAAGGACGGGGTCAAGACAAGCTTCATCTCCACCGGGACGATGATGAAACCACTATTGAGTACAGTAAACTCTGACGCAATCGAACCCGCCTCCACCGACGACCGATGTCGTTCCTGCTTTGGGAAGCCCAGATAAGGTTCAGAGTATCCCCAAGTAAACTCAAGAATGCTTACACGATCATATATCTAGCAGATGCCCAGGGCTAAGCACCTTACTTCCCCAGGTTTGACCGGAGCACGCGGGCGGACAGTCGGGAGTGGGAGGGCGTTGACGCCAGCGACAATGGCAGCGACGAAAAGACAGTGCGGGTGAGTGAGAAGTACATTTGGAACTGGATGCGTGTCATGGGAAGCGCTAGACTCGTTTATAAAGGAAAGAATCACGGGTTCTGACGTGGCCTTGACACGTCTGCTCTTGTGCGGACTGGCATCATGATCTTTTCATCTCGTTTCTAAGTATTTATACGACAGATGAGACTGCGGAAAGCACACGACACCAGAGACTAGAAAGTTGAGAGCAATTCCGCGTTCACATCACAGCTTCATAAGTAACAGCCATGTGATTGGATCATGAATCCTGTGCTACTCAGCTGTCCATCCTTGACCTTGACCACTCGTCCCGCACAGCGCTGAACAGCTTATCCATGGGGTTAAATCAGAACGCGAATCAGAAATCCGGAAGATTGAACCTCTGCGGTGCCTCGTGACTTCTCAGAAGGGTCGAGCTGACAAAAAGACTGTCCAGCTCAAGAAATCAGAACCTCGCCAACCGCCTCCCTTTTGATGCATCGCACACGATATTCGAGCACTAAGTGCATCTATCTCGAAATATATCTTGTATCCTGATACACGGATGAGCGGATAGTAAATTTTGACGCGACCGACTTTCCGCTGTTACCCTTTCTTCGCTGGCAGTGTGCTTATCACTGGTCGCGGGTCGGGATTCGCATCGACAACGACTGTGAAGAGCACAGAGAACGCTATTCATCACTGAACATATTTTGCTGTTGTGATTCAATTACATGTGAGGCACACCCTAGAGGACTACTTGAACGCGTCATTCTCGAACCTTCTTCCCTGTCGTGCTCTACGGTTCACAACAGTTTTTACTTCAAAACTTCTTGGACTGTGCTCGCATTCCAGCACTTTATCAATGCCACTTGGCTACAGTGTAGTTTATTGCACGAGACAATCTGAGTTCTGCGGTCACCCGATCGCTCAGAAGCAACTTATCTTCAACATTTTACGGAGAGGAAGGTGTGGTGCGAGTTCATATGGTCTATGGTGCACGTGCCCTTGTCACTGCCACTTTGTGACAGGACCGGAATCTGGTCAGAAAATTTGCAAAAATAAAATGGTCGGGAAAGCATCAGAAATGGTTCAGATTGAGTGCAGATCAAGTGGAAAGACACATTTTATGCATAGAAGCCTGAAAGAGGTCATATTTGTCAGCAAAAGTGGTGACTTTGGCGTGACTTCCAGTCACATTTCGTGACATAACGTGACAGAACCGGAATCGGGGTGTCAATCAAAACATCAACTCCCTCAGTTTTGAAGCAATTAATTATCCCTCTTACAGATTTGTTCTACACCTCAAACTGAGTGTTTCTGTAAGACAGATAAGAAAATAGACGCTTCTGTGACACACTGTGACCCTTGTACAAAAGTGGTAGTGTTAAGGGCACGTGCACCATAACAGCCAAATGGTTTCTTAAGGTTAGGGTTAGCGCGATTCAAAAACCAAAAAAAAAAGCGGGGCCCGCCTGGCCGAGTGGCCGTGGCGGAACAGGAAAATATTGAGACGGTGCATGAGCCGAAGCCCATACAAACCGCAGGCCCACTCGGAATGGACAGGGTCGCCGTGCTATGGAGTGTTCCCACGGCCCAAAAGCCCAGGTCCATGAAGGAGCTTATGCCATCAAGGTAAGTATGCAGAACCAGATGTTGGCAGGTGGTTTATATGCGACGCGGGGTGTGCACGGACCAGCAGATATGCGCGGTCCTCCTAAACACGTGACACGATGTCAGTGATCAGGCTCTCACGGACAGACACCTCAAACTGTTCTTGTTTTACGCATGATCCACGATGAAGGCTCGCGGACTTGGTTGACGCACGGCTGACAAGGGTAAATTTACAGCGCATCTTCTGATCACCGACCCTTCGATTTCCTACCCAAATACACGCTCGCATGGACTCGATGTCCACATATTTCCAAACGCATATACTTCCGGGTTCCCGGAAACCCGCCGAGACCGACGTTTCGGGCATGACGAAACGGCTTGCGCCTGCGCAAAACGGCTTTTTTACTGATGGGCGTGGATTTGGCTGGCAGCTGATGCCATCAGGCTTGCAAGCCAATTTGTCGGCTTGTCATGCCCGACAAATCGGCTTGTCTCCCATAGTTTAAAGCGTAATCAGAGGCTATCTGCGGTATTTATGAGCTATACGTTGTACTCTACGATAGATAGGGCTCATGTACATGCTGATCGACAGCGCTAAAGATGGTCTAATCATATTTTACATAGAGATACGCCGCCAAGTACTCTTTTCTCGACCTGCGCATCACAGAGAGGCTCAAACGCATCACGGACTGTCGGGCTTTTTTGCAGAAGTGTATTGAGCTGGTCGGTGCCTGTGATATGCAACAAGGTGCTTGCGATTCGAAGTAGTTTCGAAGTCAGTGCCTATGAGTGAAAGTCTTATGATTGTACAGCACCATCATCATTCCCGCAACGCTCTGCGCTCATGAATGCTTAAAAACTTTGGAATATGTGAGTGGCACAGGTGGTATGTTTAGAAGGCATGCTCAGTGTTGGCGATCGCATATCTTACTAGTAATGATAAGTAATTGGCAATTACTTGTCATTACTTATCTCACTACCGCCCTCCTGCTTGTTCCACGACCTTCTAGATAAATACAGATATTTAGTATATATACAAGAGGTAGCTTACAGAATAATACAAGTTCTCATTCTTACATTCTCATTACTCAGGTCCATATTTTTCCGATCCTGGTTCGATTTTGACGCGCCTCGGAAATCCACGGGCGGTGAAAGAGGTCGGTCGAATTTTCGAACGCGCCTCGGAACTCCTCAGGCTCTGTTTTGGGTGTTAGCTATTGATTGGTTTCGAGTCTCGACAAACCCCGGAACTCCACGGGTTGTACAAAAAACGTTCGAGCCTCTGACGCTTCTTCACGGAGCACTGCGGATACGACCCCACATCTATATCCCGGTCTACCACCGCACTGGAGGCGAGGCACCAATGTAAGCACTGATCCCAATCATGAGGAGACAGCGGAACAAGCGGAACCTGGAAAGCAATCTCCGACGGTGAGCGTGAGCAAAGCGCAAAGAAAGTGCGGGGACAGTCCCGGGCAAGGGGGCGGCAAAGCACAGCAAAGAGGTGGTGAGCTACCGCTGATCTCGCATTCGAGGCGAGGCGCCGACGTACGCACTGATCCCGGCCAAGAGGAGACAGCGGCACAAGCGGAGGCTGGAGAAAGCGATCTCTGATGGTGAGCGCGAGTAAAGCGCAAAGAAAGCGCGGGGACGGTCCCGGGCAAAGGGGTGGCAAGGCACAACGAAGAGGCGGTGAGCTATCACTGAGCACGGGCTACTCGTGCTTGATGGTGGTGACAATTGAGGCGTCCGAAGCATAATGCAGCTAATATATACATTTAGAATGAAGGACGATGTACTACGACCATTAAATAGCACGTCCGACGTGAGCGCGGGGCTGACGCGATGAGCAGCGACGATATCATTGATCAGATCTGTGCACAAGCTACGCCCACGCCCCCATCACACAAGCCAAGCCCGGCCCGCTAATTTTAAACTCCGACATGGGGCACAAGCCTGGTTGACAAGCCGGTATAATAAGTCTCAAACCCGCCCCTCCGGCATGGAACCCATCATCGAGAATCCGAACCCCCATGTGCACTTAGACCGGCGCGGAAGGTTACTCCCACCCACCATCACTTCTCTGTCGTCCGGGTCGATGCGTATATATAACGCAAGGCTTCGAGCACGCGGCTCGAACGCCAGGACCCCCCGCCCATACCCATGCTGCGCTTCCCATCGTCCCTCTCCGTGCTCCTTACGGCTATCAGCGTGCTGCCGCGCGCCGCGGCCGTGCTGGTCGACTTCCAGGTCGCGGTGCCCCCGATCGTCCCTACGCACGCGAAGCAGTGCACGGTCGAGATCTTCACGTACGCGCGCCTTCGACCGAGAGAGAGAGCCCTCACGTCGTAACGACCGTTGTCAGACACGATTTCGCGCAGTTCGGGGTCGCCGCGCTGGCGGACTACACGTGCGTTTGGTGGTGGTGTCTGAGATAAGCCTGTTGGGGTGTGGGACTGACGGGATTGCAGACCGCCGACGGATTGCGGGGAGCCGGGGACATGGGCCGCGATCTCGCTGAACTTCACGGTCACTAGCAACGGTGTGTCTCCGAGCTTGACTGCATTGTACCGTGGCTTACTGCCGAAAGGAACGCAATTCGATCGACTCGGCGTATTCACCTTCCAGAACGTCGAAAGTGAGACGCGTCTCTTCACTGCACGTATCCGGGGTTAAAGAATTTCCTTATCTTCTAGTCTGGCGGACATCGACCCCGGAACCAACCGCGGCTGGCATTATCTGGACTTACGTCAAGGACGTGACGAAATACACCCCGCTGTTCGCTAAGCCGGGTCTGTTTATCGGACAGCTGGACAACATCATCGAGGTGGGGGATCATTTCCTCCAACGCCGCTTCGCTGCATCCTCAAGCACCCCATGTCCAGACGGGATTGAACGGGATTTACTCGAGTGCGCGCATAAATTCCATGAGTTCCATCCGAAAACAGCTCTGAATTTTGTGCCAGGTACTATGACGGCGACATTCTACGCCTCTTCGCCCGCTGCTCCTCCGGCGAAACAGGCTGATTTGATCATTCCGCTGTCAACACTGCTGAATACGACCGGAGACGCAGCTTCCGTGCCTCCCGCCTTCTCAGTCGGTCAACATCGAGTCCACCGCCAGCAGCTGATAGTTCGTTTCTAGATCGAGGTGACGCTCCCCCAGAATACTATTGAAGGTGAACAAGCTCTGTTGCATTCGAATTCGATGGATTTTAACCACATGTCCTAGTATATGCCGAGGTATTATTCGCATCTGAGTGATCTCCCTAATATTGCGCTGATGTGATATATTAGCTGTATCCCTCCGGCAACGGCAACGAAGGTTATTTTAGTTGCGATAAAATTAAACTGAATCTCATTTCGACTTGCAGAGTTCTGGGTGCGCTTCGAACCATTGTTGAACCAGACTGTGATGATGCTGAGGCCCGAAACAAGTACACCAATGTCGCCAACAGGGTAAGCATCGTTAAATTGGCCTGATTGCATGCTGAAGTCACCCAGTTCTTGTCGGAGGTACCAGGAGCGCTAGGTCAACGAGATGAACCATCGGTTCTGCTCATTCATCTGATTAACTTATAGGACAAGGTCCTTTCCGTGAAGTTCGACTACTGATCGACGGACGCGTCGCTGGTGTTGCATTCCCGTATCCGGTTTGAGCACTCGCATACACCTATCGGCATCTCATAATTGACTGATGTTTCCGGCGTTTAGGTAGTGTTCACGGGTGGGGTATCGCCAACTTGCTGGCGCCCGATCACCTCCTATGGAGCCGTAGATCTCCCTAGCTACTTCCTGGGTAAGCGTTCACTTCAACTGAATTCCAACTTTTTTTCTATAACTTCCGCGTTCAGACGTGACCCCGTTCGTGCCTCTGCTCGTCGACGGAAAACCACACAACTTCACGATCGATGTCGTCTCGGCGGAAGCCAACCACGCGATCCTCGCGAACTGGTTCGTCTCCGGCAACCTCCAAGTCGTGACCGACGCGTCATCCGCCCCGACGACGGGCCGCATGATCTCTTACTCGGCGTCGCCGTTCGCTGCGACGACGAGCAAGGCGACCACGCGCAACGGGGACGTCGATATCTCCGCGGCCGCGACGCGGCACCTCGAGATCGTCTCGGAGATCGTCAGCGGGAGCGGAGTAACGACGCAGGTCGAGTGGGCGCAGAATCTGAGCTTTGTCAATGACCAGGCGTATTTGAATAACTTCCTTGTGCAGGTACGGGCCCATGATGCTGATTATCTTTCTCGGTTCACTCATGCTAAGCTCACTGCAACTAGAACGTCTTCCAAGTGTCGTCTGGTATCGCACGCTCGTTGCACAACGGGGTCCCCGCGGTGCTCGACAACTTTACGTTCCCGTTTACGCTCAATTTCACATCGTTGAACGCAGCTGGAACGTCATGTGAGTTCTCTATTGACCATCTTATCTGCGCTTCGTCAGCTTATCAAAACAAGTCTTTGCGGGTTTCGATCACTCGTACAACCGACACCTGACGCCCAGTCCGTTCCTGTTGAGCACCACCATCTCAGAGCGACAAATGGCCGGTTCGTCGCATCCGTTTGCTATATATGATTATCTGACTCTGGAATTCAGGCGGCGCATTTACCATCGCATCGACCGGAAACTTTGGGAGCAACGGCACCAGCGAGAACACGTGCGTCATTCGTTCCCATTTACCGGTTGCTCACCGCGTCTGCAGGATAAGCTACGTCGACGCCGCGGGCAACACGTTCGCGCGCCAAGTCAACGCCGCATCCAATGTCATCACGCTGGACCACCAAAGCGGCACGCTCAGCGCTAGCAGTGTCGCCCCGGCGCCTTTGGCTCAACCTGGCGTGGTTGGCGGATCGGACGAGTCGTTTGCGGCGGCGAGGCTTCCAGCGGCGCTTCAGGCGCGGATTTCAGGCCAATGATTGCGTTTATCGATAAGACACGCGTTAGTCTGTCTGATCAACTCATCTGGGCCTTTGTGAGCAGTCGTACTTATATACCGACGTACGATGGTACACTCTGAAAATCGAACACTGAATTCAGGCGTGGTACGTCGAGAGTTCAGGAAATAATGAATGAAATACCATTCTGCTTCGTTCGAAGCGTGCATCCTGGATGGTCATCGAATAGACTGGAAGCAGATTGATTGATGTTGGGTCACGTGGGACGTTCCTTACGCGATCACGTGTTATCCCCTCCATACCTCTTCCTCAGACTTTGACGAAACAACGAATTCAGTTCTTATCCTGGGCAGCTGAAAAAAACATCAGCATCAAATTAACAGAGAGCGAGACCGCAGAGCTGGTTCATTTGCATGACAGTGTTCGTATGTGAGGTGCTTGGGGCAGATAAGAGGCTGGTCAGATCTTCCTTTCCGGTGAAGTATATACCCTTCATTCAATTGTATTACATGTAAGGAAAGTCACACACGACCAGTGAAACTCTTAAAGATTTTCTGTATCACAGCTGAGCAGGAAAAGAGGATCTGAGCGATGAGGAATTACAGTGGTTCTCCCCGGAGGATCGACGAGAATCTGAAAGTGATTTTTGATGCAAATAGGGTGAAATTTGGGTTTCAAGATGCCGTGTTTAGCCGCGGAGCAGACGCAGGCACAGCTGAGCTATAGAGGGCATGTATCAATGGATGAACATGGTAGGAAGAGTAACTTGAATAGTAGAGTGCACGTGATACGAGACTGCGCTGTGCACCTCACCTTCACCATCCTTCATCCGTCACGGTTATTGCCGTGCTTCAACAGCATGCGCCCCACGCGCACTGCGCGAAAGCTTAGCAGATGGACAATCATTCATAAGTGTCGAATCTGACGGTTGGCATTTGAACGGCTGCCATCTCGTTTTCTGAGGTAACAATCTCCCTTCCTCCCCTCTCCACGTCCGTCTGGTACCAAGACTGAACGACTCTTTTTCTCACTAGAGGCTACAACCCGCCTCGTATGTCCGCCGCTCCGACCTCTGAGACCGTCGCCTTGGTCGGATACGTGTCTGCTGGATCGTGTGCTGTATGTCACCCAATTCGGTCGTCACAGAATATCAATTCCGAGTTTCCTGATAGCTATTCGTGTGGGACATCCTGGGGAGCTTGAGGGAGGACTTCATCGTGGCCTTCCAACTCAACTTCCGCCCTTCGTTGATCCCCTACTTCATCTCAAGGTGGGTTTAGCGCGGCATTATGCATGCAGCGTGCAGACCGTAACACTCGTCAGATCGTTGATGCTGGTCTACGCAGTGGGATTCGCCGTATATAGCAGTGGGTCTTGTCCAAGGCGCTCACAAGCATGCTCCTCATCTCCCCCAGCTCGCTCGCTTGGCGACTGTTCCCGCACTCTTCTGATTCTGCAAATCATCTACGCCCTCGCGACATGGGCCCGATCGACCAACTTCCTCCTCCGAGTACGCGCCGTCTACGCCCTGAGCCGCCTCATCACATTTCTCTTCTTTGCGCCGTTGCTCGTTGTCGTGGCCGCATCCATCACCGCCGCGTTTGGGATCCACGGGGCCCCAAGCACTCTGGCATCCGGGGATCCCGCGTGCGTCGTGTCCCGGATCGCCCCCTTCGTCGGCTCGACATGGGCGATTCAACTCGCTTACGACACCGCCGTATTCATCGCCATCTCCTTCCGGCTTTCCGAGAACACGAAGACTGCAAGTGCGCCGCGAGGCTGGGAGCGTGTACGCATCATCGTGTCGGGCACGGGGCCGACGCTCTATACGTTCTCTCGCAATATTATGCGCGACGGATGGTGGTATTTCCTGTGAGTGACCTCTCCATCTTCCCCGGACGTATATACTGAGTCGTCAAGGATGTCGCTACTCGCCAACACGATGCTACTCGTCGCCTTCTACAACGCTCGTCTCGAACCAGCACTTAAAGCGGCGCTGATGAGCCCCGCAGCCGTTGTGCAGTGCATTTGGGCTGGCCGGGTGTATCGAAACGCGAAGGTTCGGCACCAAATGCAGTCCGAGGTCCTCTCGTGGTCCACACCGGACTGACATTATGCATCGAAATCATCGCTGGTTCTCTCTTCCTACTTGGCGGCGACATCCACACATGCACCAGGACCACACCAGGAGAGATTCTCACCGATTCTGTTCCTATCCAGGACAACCTGTCGACCCTTCGTCATGATAATGGGCGCAGTTAGAAATCGACATCGGTTTCAGCGTCCTCCTGGATCGAGTCAATCCATCTGCAGAGATACGATTGCAGAGAGTGGTTCCGACTATTCATGGGAAATCACGCATCCCGGGTTATTGTCAAGCAGGCACGCGTCAAGAGGCGAGGAAGCGGCCTCGGGAGACTGTCGCAAGCCTCTCATGGACCCGACCCAGGAGCCCCTACTCGAATAGAGAGACCAATGATCGGCAATACAACATTGTGCATATACTGTTTCAGAAATCAATGGTTCTTGAAGACCTTGATCGAGGACAAGGTAGGCAGTTCCGCATTTGTCCTCGGCAAGATCGCAGACAAAAGGCAACGAACAGACATTCGCGGAGATTCATCACTGGTCTTGTGTTTCTTGTCGAAAGTTTCAATAGCCAGACGCAGCTTCGCGACTGTGACGTTGCACATTCAGCGAGATGATCTCAGGGAAAGCGGAAGACTTGCACGTGATCCACGCGTGTCAGGTCGCCTCATTGGTCTTCCAGTGGCTCTGCGCACCCTCTACCAGGATGTATGCAGGATGTATTTATTATTTCATATTTACTGTCAAAATACAAGCCGCACAATTTATACTTGATAGCACAGAGTGAGATTGAGGAGCCGAGATGGAGAGATGACAACACGATGGTAGTAGCTCGACGGTGGCATTACGAGAGGCATAATTCAGTGAGGCGGTGGTCACTTCGAGAAGGAAGGAAAAGAAAAAGAAGATATTGAAGGTACAAAAATGAAGAACGAGAAGGCCCAGACATGCAGCAGAGAAGGATGGAGAGTTGGGAAGAAAGGATGCCGAAGACGAAAGCGTGCGCCAGGCTTGCACAAAAAGCGTGAAAAGTCACAAGAGGCAAGCCCGAATCCGTTTTGTCCCATCTGCCGCATGCCGGGTTTTGAGGTGAGTAAGGTGAGGTGAGACGAGTCCATGGGTATCATCAGCTCAACGACATCACCCTAAGCGTTCGCCTCAGGCTCAGTCTTGACCACGACGCCACCCTCTGCAGCCTCGGCCTCGGCCTGGGCAGCCTCCACATCAAAGTCCAGTTCCCCGTCATGCTCGACAGCGCTAACAGGCTCCGCCGTCATCGGTCCACCCGCACCACTGGCCTGCCGACGACCTCCGCCCTGCGGCCCAGACCGGGGCGGGTTCGCACACCGGTCCTTTCCATGTGCGATGCGCAGGTTCGCGTACTCGGGCCTGTTCTTGATCGCCTCGATGGCCTTGATTGCGTTCGAAATGTTCGTGAAGTTGACGAACGCACAATTCCTGCGCGCAAAAATCAGTTAGCAGGGCGAAGGCACGGAAAGCCATGTGTGCGCTCACTTCTCCTTCAAAAAGTTGACCAACTCGATGTCACCATACTCGCCAAAGTCCGTCTTCAGCCGCTCCTCATTGAACACCTCGAAGTCCTCCACGTTTCCAATGTACACGTTTCGGGTCGCACCAGCGTGGACCGCAAGAGCAAGCGTCGGAGGAAGAGGTCCCGGGTTCTTTCCCCAGCCAATCTTAAGACGGCGGTTGTTGAGCGTCAGGCCTTGGTAAGAAGACACTTGGAAGAAAGTGAACGCCGCCGCCGGATCGATGAATGTGATGAACTGCGAATCTCTATGTAAGCACATTATCACCGCACAGAACCATAGAAACCTACCGCAATGTGTTTATCTTGCATGTACCGAACGCTCTGGAGCACACCGCCCCGAATGGCATTGCACAAATCGTCCGTGGTCGTCTCCGGGTGGATGTTACCAAGATAGACCGTTCGGTTGCCACCAGCCATGTTCATGCCAGGAAGCCCTACAGAAGCCCATCAACACGCGTCGGCAAGAGTTAAGCACACGCACCACCGAGAACACCCAGTCCTCCGGGGCTCATCGGGCTCATCATCCCCATCCCACCGAACATGCCCATTCCCATCATGGCACTAAGCGCATCCTGGCTGAAAGGCGTCGCCGAATACGGCGAGAACGGGTTACCGTTGCCGTTAGCGGGGGCGGTCGCCGATGGGATCGCAGGTGACCCAGTAGGCGAGTTCTGCGCATGATTGATATTAGCGGGACACGCACGCACGGTTCATCAAATAACGCCGCTCACGTTCGATCCTAAAATCGGATTCGAAGCACCCGTGCTCCCGGGGTGCGCACTCGCTGGCCCACGGTCGGCAGTAGCAGCCGCGCCGGTAAAGGGGTTGGCGCCTGGGTTGCTGGAGGGGTGGGCGCTTGCGGGTCCACCATAGGCGAGACTGTTCATCCCGTTCGTCACAAGCGGCGAAAACGGGCCCATAGATCCGTTTGCGGGGAACGGTGGGTTGTGGGTAGCCATCGGTGAGCCAAAGGCACCGGCAGACTGCAGCAGGGACTGCGCAGCCGCCGCTTGGGCCTGGTGTGCGGCCGCTTGCTGAGACTTGGGCACATAGGCGCAGCGATCTTTGCCATAGTTGATCCGCTTGCCGGCCCAGGACGGGTCGGTCGGGAGCGTATTGACAACCTGTAAAAGCTCGTGAGCGACCTATTCCCCGTAACAATGACTGCATGTATGTACCTTGGTAGCGACGCTGATGCTCAAGAAGTGTACAAATCCGATGTTCTTGTCGCGAACGATCTTGACTTGGTCGATCAAACCGAATCGGCTGAGATCATCTCGAAGCTGCTCTTCGGTCATGTTCTCATCCAAACCACCGAGGTACACGTTCCGGCTGGCACCGCTTTGTGCGATGGCCTGGAGGACCTGAGCCGGGACGGGGCTAGGCTTTCCCCAGCCGACCTTGAGCTCCTGCGAGTGAAGCGTGAGTTTGCGCAGCGTCGCATCGGCAAAGAAGGCCGCGGCAGTCGATGCATCTAGGAAGGACAGGAAGACGCATGACTTCTCCGGCAAAACGCGGATGGATTCGAGTGGGCCGAAATGGACGAGGTTGAGCAGCTCGTCGACCGATGCCGACGGCGGGAGGTTGCCGATGTAGACCGTGCGGCCGGCAGCGGGAGCGTTGCCCCCAGAGGAAAGGAGACCGGAGAGAGCCGATGGGTTGTATAAGCCGGCCGGGGAGTTCGGGATGGTCAGCGACGGCAGGCGTTGAGGTGAAAATCCGGCCTGGTAATGGGATCAGATTGTGTGAGGGTAACGGGTGGGTTAATGCAATCAGCCCTATCCGATTGGAGCTCGGCCTATCGTGCTGGGATTCGAGTGGACCAAACAAGCAGTGGCAGCGCGTTTTCGGGGGAAGCGGAGAGGGAGGGGATCCGAAAGAGAAAGGCTCACCTGTCCGTTCTGCTGAGGGTAAGGGAACGACCCCATCGCGAGCATGTTGTACGGTGTGAACTGGGTGTACGGAGAGCCGACCACGGGGCTCGCCGCTTGCTGCTGCTGCTGCTGGGCCTGTTGTTGTGCTTGTTGTTGCGCCTGCTGCTGGGCTTGCTGGAAAGAAGCGAGGGTGTTGGGGCTCATCTGACCATGTCCGCCACCGTTGATATTCTGGGTGTTGATCGAAAGCGTGGGCGTCGAGTACAGGGGACTGTTGGAAAAGCTCTGCGCGGGGCTGGGCTGCTGGAACGAACCAGCGGCCTGTCCATTGTAGCCGTAGTTGGCACCGTACATGTCGCGAGCAGCACCCGGAGACGTTCCCGTCGGCGACCACCGTGCCTTTTTCGAGTCAGGGCCACTTGCACCGTCCATCGAGCGCTAGAAGAAGAATAGAGAAAGGGCGGGGAACAGGGAAAAGGACGCAAGCGAAGGGAGGAAAAGGCCAACGAATGGACCGTGGAGGTGGAAAAGGCGGAAAAGGAGGAAAATCGACAATCAGAAAACAAATACACCCTGACAACAGTCGCACTCACTTTCATCATATCGAGATCAAACGAATACGGTGAGTAAGGCTGCGCGAAGGCTGCTTGGGATCCGTCCATGGCGAATAAAGAAGGGTACGAAGTGCCTCAATAAAAGGATGACTGGGAGGGCGAAACCGTTCGAAACGATGAAAGGAGGGATTGGAGCCTTGGCGTACGGAAACGAGCGTGGGGTTCAAAAAAGACTCGCACAAAACGGCGAGAAGAGAACAACAACGAGCGCAAGACTACTACACGTCGCAAATGAGAAAAGCCCTTCTCACGATTCTGATGCGCACGGGCCACCGGAGCCAAAGATTAGCCCAAATCTTTCGTATACGACACACGGCAGAACACAGGCGGGGATGTATCATATCCTTCGCAGGATCTTGACGATGTCCAGTACCTGGATCTCTCTCTGACGACGTTTAGGACCCAGATTTCGTCACAGGTCTTCCTCGCGGCCGAAGCGGAGTGCACAGCCACAACGCCGACCTGTCTGCTGATGCTCGCCTCATATACTATCTGATGTAAGCAACCCGAGCGGCTCAGATTCTAACTCGCTCTTATCGGAACCCGTCACTCTGAAACTCTGTAAAGTTTTGTCCCTTGTGCTTAGACCGCCCTCGTGCGACGCTTTTCGTCAGGAACGCCCGCGCCCATCATGGATCAATGATATTGTCGGTTAAGCTTCCTTCCCAAGACCTAGGATCGTTATCCGATTCCTTTTAGAACAATCGTGCACCTGCAGGCTGCCGGCCGATGTCGAGACCGCTCAGGCGTGTGGCTAGCTACCTGAGGTGGCGTTAGGGACCATTCGTTATAGACGCTCATATTGAAGAGCTCATACTTTCCACCACGTCATCTTGGTGCCCTTTCGCACATCCATCCATCTCATCATATCACATCATAAATGTATTGGGACGATGCATGATGTCAGTGCAGGGACTCCAAAGCCCCAAGTATGGTCACCACACGCAGCCAGGAAGCCTCCGAGTCGCAGGTCGAAGACCCTATCGCGCGGGCCCCAGATAATCTCTCTCGGGCATCGGCCCCCGGGACATCCATTCTCAAACCAGCAGCGCCCAGCGATAGCGAGAACATCGATCCCAATGTGGAGTCCCACGAGGTGGACCGCAAGACAGTGCAGATCGAGCCCAGTGTGGTCAAAGTGGAAGAGATACCAGCACAGAGCTCGGCGTGATCTGCTAAGTCGCCTTCGGTGAGAAATTGTGACTAGGATGCGACTATTTCAAATATCTACAAGCAGCTATACATCTCGGCCAATCACGATCGCCTGCAGTTATAGCCGAAATTGTTTACTTCGATACCCCACCCCAAGAATCAATTGTATGAGATCCTGAACGGTGCTGGTGTAGAGAATCGTCCGGACAGCTGCCCAAGGGAAAGAACTCATGCTGCGAGGGACCGTGTGCATGAACAATTGCACCTGGTAGTTCGGAGAGGAGGTTTCGAAATGCACGTGATGATAGGTGCATCTTTTCAATGGCTCGCTCTCGCACAAGTGCCCTATCTTTGATTGGCTTCATGTCGGTCAAATCTCACTCGATAAACTAGCCACGATTGGGGCTATCCGGTCGAGTGCTATGATAAGCATTAAAATGTCGGCGACAAAGGAAGCGGCTTTCCGCCCGAGCCTCAGCGGTTTATTATTTCTTTCAAGTCGTTTCTACTTGAGAATCCTGAGTCGATCGAGACCACGTTGACGGAGTTGTTGGATGAGAATTAACATTCCCCAAAGCTGATGACCGTTTTATTGGATACACGATCCGAGCTATGCAGTTAACTACTCAAGCAGAAGTCTCGATCGATTCTTTCCTCATCTAAATGTGATCTGGACATCTGCTGTCCGCTCACTACTTGGCCGGTTGAAACTTGAGACCGTTTTTGTTTCCGAACCTGACTGGTTGAGCATTGTTAGTGCAATCTTAGCATCTGGCAACAGAAAGCAATGCGATGGCCCTGCTCATGAACACCAAATTATGTTGTGATTTTTTGGCTCAACAAGTTTGCCGCAGCATGCTTCGGAAGAGCAGGATCACATTCACGTCAGAGGGATTTGGTCGGTCAATATCTGGTGCATGAGTTTGACAGCAGCAGCGCTGAGGTGAGAGGTTGTGGATTTTGGATATCCGCCAAGCAAGCTTGCACAAGGCTCTTCACCTAACAATCAATGGAGTCTGCAGACTGATGCAATATCTGGGTTGGTTCGAAGATCGGATATTGGTCATCATTTCGAAGGAAGGTCAGAATTATTAATTGCTAGAATGAAATTTCTAGATTAGCGTTGCAAATATGGTAACTCGGAGTGAAGACTTCAAGTGACAGGAGCACAATTAGTGGTCCGATGAAATGGTTGTACCCAAGACCAGATTAAACCATTCCCAAACTTATTCTATCCAGGCTCTAGTTTGCGGATGGCTTATGGATGGGGTTAGGGTTAAAGCGATTCGAGAACCAAAAAAAAAAAGCGGGGCCCGCCTGGCCGAGTGGCCGTGGCGGAACAGGAAAATATTGAGACGGTGCATGAGCCGAAGCCCATACAAACCGCAGGCCCACTCTGAATGGACAGGGTCGCCGTGCTATGGAGTGTTCCCACGGCCCAAAAGCCCAGGTCCATGAAGGAGCTTATGCCATCAAGGTAAGTATGCAGAACTAGATGTTGGCAGGTGGTTTATATACGATGCGGGGTGTGCACGGACCACATGCCACATGCGCACAGACCAGATCACGTTGACCAATTGCGTGTCGCTTCGGGACTAGGCGGCACAGCAGTCCGGCAGCGAGTGTCAGCAGGGACTCGGCTCACTGCGTAGGTATGAATCACCGAGACCGTGAACTGAGGCAAAACACTTTCGCCATGCGTAGGTTCCCGTTCGATCTCATACATGTATTATATTCGTATTCAAACACTTGTCTACCTTAACAGTATGTACGTGGAACGAGTCTCGAAGGTCGGCAGATACCGAAGCCGATGATAGCGCGCAGGGCCCTCAAGAGCGCTCGCCGCGCAAGCGACGAGCAAGTGCGAGGTCCTTGGGTTGGCTGGATACAAGGATCAACAATGAACGGTGTCCGCATGAGCCGCTCGACTCACATGGTAACACGCTTGGCGTGGATAGCTGCCAGGTTAGTGTCCTCGAAGAGTGAAACGAGGTACTGTGCAGCGTTAGACCGACGCGGGTTACATAATACAAGCGACTCACAGCCTCCGCAGCTTCCTGCAAGGCCATGACAGCCGAGGATTGGAACCGCAAATCAGTCTAGGCACCGAGGAGTCACGATCAGCCAGCCGCGAGCGAGTCATGGTCACCGGGACGGACCTTGAAATCCTGCGCGATCTCACGCACGAGTCGCTGGAAGGGAAGCTTGCGGATCAGCAGCTCCGTTGACTTCTGGTAGCGTCGGATTTCACGGAGGGCGACCGTTCCAGGCCGGAAACGATGCGGCTTCTTGACACCACCGGTGGCACCGCCAGGCTGCGAGGAACGCATCAGTATGAGTCAACAGATGCCGACGGCGACGGCGGCGACGGAGGCGGGGACAGTGACGGAGGGAGGGCGGGACCCACCTGAGCGGTCTTACGTGCTTGTTTGGTGGCGAGCTGCTTACGGGGCGCTTTGCCTGTGCAATTTTTTAGAACTTGTTATCGCCGACGTCTGCAATGACGACAGACCTCCGGTGGACTTGCGGGCAGTTTGCTAGCGTCCCGAGACGATTAGAGTGGGTTTGGGCCTTGAGACGGAGCAATCAGTACCTTGGTGCGAGCCATATGTCGATTTGATGAGCGGGAGTGCAAGCCGCAAGTGAGTGGCAAGAGGAGAGAAGTGGAGCGTTTTGCTGACGCAGACCCCCAAATGAGCGGAAGTTGTGCACGTGAGCCCTAGAACGCTCGAGCCAAGTGGAAACAGCGATTGGACAGGCGGAAGATTCATTTTCATTGACTTCATCGCAGGATTTGAGGGACGTTTGACCGATTGCTGGTCATTTAGAGTTGATAAGGCAGCTTTAAAGTTCCGAGAAGGCTTCCGGGCAATGTTTCCAGCCTTGAAGAGTCAATGGGTGCCGGGAAATAGACAAGACGAAGGTTGCCATTTTGGAAGGACGATGTACATACAGACAATCAATCTTGCACCGCCACTAATGCTTCACTTTCTCCAGTCAGGCTCGCAGATCCAATATATCGCACGTCTTCCTCCGGATTGAAACAATGGATTTCTGCCCCGTAATTGTGGATATAATCTCATCGGCGCTCCGTCATAAGGCGTCTGTACGGTTGATCAAGAATCAAGCCATGGAATAGGAAATATACAAGTGCCGTGGGCTGGACAGCCGTTTTCTCCCACACGCTCATTGATCCCAGTGACATAGCTTTTTGAGTCGAAAAGCTCAGAGAAATGCAGTTTGCTCAGGTTTCTGCATTGTCGGTTGGTCTGACAGGATATCATCTGTGATTCGACTGCCGATCTGACGATCCTTGGCCGACAACGTGATACCTTCCCTTGATGTTGAGTCGTAGGCCGCTGCTTTCGAGGGTGCGGACCAGACAGAAGTGCAGCACGGATTGTGCTTCGGGTCCAGAGCTCATCGAGGCTTCCTATGTCTTGGGTGTGCTCTTCCGATCCATCTATCCCAGAAAAGCGATCGATTGATGTGTGTCGTCATTTGAACTCTTTTGTCGTGTGGCTGAGGCGGCAGAAAACATCAGACGAATCTGACGTCTGCTTTCTGCTAGCATCAAATGAGGTATGCCCTCCTTAGCCATTGAAAACTGCGCGAAACGGGCTTTGACCCCCTTCTTGCTGACGCTACATCAAACAGCGCCCGTTCGAGCCTGGCTCTGGACTATGCCATTCAGCATGACTCCCCGATATGGAGGATAACGCTGCTAGAAGCAGTGCCTGGTTTGTTACTTATGCAGCTGTTGTAATTTTGTCTTTTGAGTCTAAGAGACTGTGGGGGTGTCCTCTTCCTCCTTCATAGTGGTTCAGCCCAAATATTGATGCCGCAGATATCATTTCAAAAGGGTTGGCAGAGACAACTTGCGTGTTCTTCTACGCGAATTGCATTGGCATTTCTTAGGCTGGATCGTTCATATCAACATTCCGGCTAAGAAATTTTGAGCTGCAATACGTCCATGCTGCAATATTTGAGAGTGAGGTAAAAACAATTTCGAAAAATCAGTTGGCAATCACCAGCATATTAGAATTCACCTTTCAGATCGGCACAGCGTGGAAAATTGATCAGAAGCTCTCTCAAGCTGTAGCAATGGTGGTGGCTGACCGTCTGATCAAATTGCACATTTCAATTCATCCAATCTTTCATGGAGAACACAAGTACTAGCGAAGGCATGGCGTGGCGAGTACGAGGAATGTAATGACCAAAGTTTGAGTGAAAATTGTTTCGAACAAGCAATATGTTAAGAGTTAGAGTATACCTTCAGGTTTGCATGAGATGATTTCCGTAGGGCGCGAGTTAGCAATATCATCCATCGAGCGTTTCTGCCTGACAAGAGATATTCTACCCGTGACGGTCAATTGAACGTCACGCCGCTGTTGCTCGTCGAAAATTGTGACTTCACCGCCACCGAATTCCCACTCGACCTCGACCTCAAGCCCACTTGAAGACCGAAGAACATCATGGAAGACGGTACGGTCTTCGCCTTCGCCTTCTCGCCTGCAGTATCCGTACACCGTTAAATACACCCTGCACCACTCCACCTCCCGCTGCACCCCCGAGTTTTCGGTCCTCGTCGCGTGTCGTGTCCCAGCCCCTTTCACCTCCTCACCGTACAACAGTGCTGCTAGCATGCTTGAGCGGATGAAGCTGTTGTTTGATGTCTCAGCATGGTCTTTTTCACCTGTGGTACTTCTCGGCGCTGTCCTCGCTTCGTGACGTGTCGATAGTGGCCTCCTTGTCGTGCACATTTCATGGGCGTGTCGACCACAGTGGTCTCGCGTTTCAGCCTCCACCATTACTTCTTCGGAACTAGTACAGCTCTTTGCGCTTGCGGCGCATGCTTTCGACCGCAGCCTGTTCCCGCCTTCGGCTCTTCTCACCTCTCTTTTCGCGACGCGTCGCCCACCCTGCCATGCACACATTCCATACCGATGACGCCCTGCTTACACTCTACGCCCATAGCTTGGCAGTCCCAAGATAACACGGGGATCCACATCCCTACCGATGCGCTCTCTGCGCACCCTGATACGGCAGAGTCGTGGAACGCCAATGGGCACGAGGACCGCGATCGCGGTGGTCGGGATGCACGTCGGGGCCGCAGCCGCAGCCGTAGCCCTGCTCGCCAAAGGTGAGTATCCGGTCATCTCACTCTTGTTTTCGTGGCACTGAAGGGAATTGCAGTGGAGGTGACAACCCAGGGAACAACTTGCACGTTTCTGGGTTGAGCCACCGTCTCGAGGTGCATGAGCTTGAGACTGCGTTCGCCAAGACGGGCCGGGTGCGTGCTTTCTTACCGCAGCGGCAGTTGATTTTCTAACTCAAGTCTCGCAATAGGTCCAAAAAGCCTCGATCATGTTTGACCCCCACACTCGTGAATCGCGTGGCTTCGGGTTCGTGACGATGGAGACCCCAGAGGAGGCTGATGCTGCTATTGCGGCTTTGCAAGGAACGGAGTTAGCAGGAAAGACCCTCAGCATCCAAAAAGTGTGTTACCTTATCTTTGGTGGCTGCATTTACTTACCTCCATCTCAGGCTCGTCGCGGTCGTGCCCGCACTCCAACTCCGGGACGTTACCATGGTCCTCCGAAAAGAGGTGATGGTGCTACTTTCCGTTTTTCCGAGGACGCCAATCTGATCAGTCTGTCAGATGAGCGCCCATACGATCCCCGCCCGTATGACTCGCGTTACAGCCGGGACGGCGATGATCGCCGTCGTGGTGGGCGTTACGATGACCGTGACCGGCGCGACTACGACCGACGCGATTATGGTCGCAGAGATGACCGCGGCCGGGACTATGATCGTGATGACAGAGACCGTCGCGGCGGAGGACGCGGTGGTTATGATGACCGTCGCTACTAGGCTCAGAAAACGTGCTGTATCACATCCATTAGTTCAACAGAAGGGCCGCAGTTTTATGCCGTCAAGTGATCAACACGTTGAATTTATGCTCCAGCTTCCATCCCAGACCTGCAGATGAAATCGCAAGTGCTTGTCCTACACGTTCCTTGTTGGCTCCAAGAAAGATTCTGGTAAAAGGTCCCGGTTGCGATCATGGGGAGCCGGGCATGTCAGGGAACATGTCAAGCATTCCGAGCGACCGCAATACTCGCAGACACATGAGAAGGCGCCCAGTTACATTTGCATACTACTTGGACAGGACGGGCATGGTGGTACTAGGGGACTCAGTTCAAGACGCGTGTGCAGAATCCAGACAAGTGTCAAGCCTAAGAACTTGCAGTATCAGTCTCGCGTGCCGGTCACGGATGCAGCAGCAGCAGCCAGCGTCGTCGTTGTCCTCGACGGCAACGTCATCGTCTCGGCACCCGGCTTTAGATAAGCACCCATAAGCATCTACCATCCATTGCGCGACTAAGATGCTACAGACTTTGTGTACACTACATAGGCAGCAGATATACATTATGCGAGAAAATGAGAGACGATAGCGTGGAGTAGGATAATAACTGTATGGGATAGAATAGGAAGGAGAAATTGATTGAGATGAATGAGCGATGTGTGATTTCCATGATATATTGAGAGAGAGAGAGACAGGAAGAAAGAACGAGAGAGACAAGGACAGAGAAAGTGAGAGCGAGACAGCGAGAGAGAGAAATGCAGAGGACATCCGAGTCATTACAGGTCGTAAGTTTCGCGGAAACCAGGCACGCCTGCTACCACCGTGGCTTTTCCACCAGATACTGGGACGCGCGCGGTGTTTCCGGACTATCCAATGCATCCTCGAAGCGCCAGCTGGGTTCCGTCGCGACTGGAGTGGCGAGCTCCGCGTCGTCCTCGTCCCAATCTCCGTCGTCGCGTTCGCCGGCCCCAGGGTACACGAACACCTCCTCGTCCGAGTCCTCGTCGGTCCAGGCGTCCTGGTCGTCTGACTCGTCCTCATCAGCGGGCCCAAGCACGAACAGCGCTTTCACAGAGGACCGCTGCTTCCGCGGGCGCAGGGTCGATGGTGACACGTGCTTCACACCCGGGTAGGCGGGCGGCGGACGGCGGGCGACTGGCTGGTGCGACTGGGCCGCGAGGGCCGGGACCGATGCTGGCGGGAAGGGGATCCCGCGGATCGTCTCGTCCTTCCCCAGAGAAGCGAGCCGAGCCGAAACCTTGTCCGAGTGGGTCACATTGGCACAAGCTTCATACCGCGGTGGGGGATTGAGCGCCGAGCACCGAGCGAAAGGCGAAGCCTGCTCGCAAGGCGAAGGGGGCAGCGAGCGGGCGGGGGGAGGGCGGATTGATGATGACTAGAAGAGCGGCGTCAGTCTGGTGATTCCAATTCAAATATGGCGGAAACAAAAATCGAATTTGCAAACGGGAGAGTACCCCGATCGAGGGGCGTGTGGAGCAGGCAGGACGGGTACTCACAGTAACTCGACGACGGGTGGGCGCGACATGGGGAACAAACGTCGTCGCTGGCCGCATTCCGTCCAGGTCGCACCATTCGAATTTGACCGAGCGGAAGGAGTGGAACAATAGCAGGCGTTGTTCCTGCGGTGAATCAGTTTGTGGAACCAACTGGAACGCTAATGCAGACCCATACCTCTGTCATTTTGAGGGCTTCCATATCCTCCATACGCTGCTCGTGTTCCAGCTCGAGCAGTCGTTGCTTGCGGAGGGAAGCACGCGACGGTGGTGGGGCCGACATCAGATGAGCAGCCGTGGTGGTGGGTTGAATGAAGGGCAGTGGTCGACGAGCAAATATGTGGAGTGGAAGGGAAAGCCGAGGATTAGAGAGGCGGCGATGCGTGCAGTGAGTTGGTAGTGGGTAAGCTGGTTATTCACAGCGAAGGCGGTCGAGAATTCCTCATCCGCATTTGGGAAATCTGTGCTGTGACGTGTGTGACCATCACCTGGACTCACATGGAGACCATCAAGGAGTTCCAGGCGTCCAGGCTGTATAGGTCCCATATCTCACGTCTGCCGCGTCGCCTCGAATGGAGTACTTTGGACAGAGCATGACCTGCCTCTGGGCCAGCGCCTTGCATTCTGGATCTGCACCTTACATGAACTCAGAGTCATTGACATTCCCCCCGTCTGTGACAGCCATCTCAAACACTGTCTGCGCTGAAACTCGTTCCCCGGCCGAGCACCAGATGGATGATAGCTCTCTCCGCCCGCCCTGGCTATTTGCGCCTCCGAATTCAATGTGACTGTCGCGCCGGTATCCATATCGTGTTCCCATCAATTCTGTGGCCAATGAGAGCGGCTTCGATCTTCTTTTCCCATCTTTCCCAACAAAGTTCCACGAGGAGCTGGGCGGTATTACGAGACTAGCTGGTTCCGGCAAGTTCCATGTCTCGCCCAACTGTCGATATCTGCGGACTTTTCCGCTGTCTTCTGACAGCCACAAAACAGTTTTGAGGGACAAATCATTGATTCTCATGAAAGTGGACTTCAAACGGAAGCTTCCACCGCCCGCTCCAACTTTATCTGGAGCGACTTGAGCAAGTAAGACTGCAAGTCTCTTTGATGACCCTCCCAACATCATTTTCCGCTAAATTCTACGCGAACCTGGCTCTGATTTTGTTTGTTGTTCACGAGGAGATCAGTCTCATTTTTCTCTTAGGTGAACTCTAGACGTTGGGGATGTATAGACAAGACTACATGTTCGAAAAATCTGCTTCAAACTGGGCGGAAGCGTTGAGCTGTGATGTGATCATCATTTGCGCTATGCGCTGATCGGCAAAGACTGTCAAAAGTGACATTCGCCTCACAAACAACGACGAAGTGAACGCAATTCATCCTAGGCTCAGCACAGCGCTTTGACCTCGTTATCGCCATACTCAAACGAAAATTCGACCAACTGCTATCGCTACAAAACAGATGCGCCCATCTCATACCTTTCTTTGGAGATTCTCGCCGACATAATCGTGCGATTCATGTCAGATGGCATTACGCACTGGCCTGGACTATCTTGGTGGCGGCGCAATATTTTGGGAACCCCGCGGCTCTGGAACAAGATCGAAGTCCACTTGTTGCACGGGACCCCATCGCACGCTGCCCGGCTGCTGTAGATGACTAGGCTGAGCCTCGAGCGCAGCTTACCTGCGCCGCCGACCACCCCAATTACAGCAGAGCTCGACATCTGACTCCCACCGCTACCTCTCACCTTTATTGCACGCATCGCGAAGGTTGCAGAGTGTAGACCCGACGGTAGCAGAGAAGAGCTCGTAGAAGGCGCTTGCAGCAGTGAAAGAAGTCTGCTCATACACCGCCCCCTCGAGGTTATCGCGCAGCCTCTCGCCATGACCGGAGGGGGGGCTCATCGACATGTGATGCAGCTTCGTAGATAGTATTTCCTACTGCTCTTGGCCCAGTAAACAACTTTGTCCTCCCTGGTTCTTTCACGATATTGCCACTCATTGACAGTGCTCTCTATCGAAATGTAAATCTTACAACGAGAATATTTGACGGCACTGCAAAGATCCAATTTGCTAGTTAATGAAAATCGCCCAATGAAAAGAATTCTGAACGTGCTTTGGCTTCGGTTCATCTTTCCCTAAATGCTCCTTGGCTTGACTGCGCTGCTTCACCCGCCCCCTGGAAGAGAGCACATTCCGCACCCCTGCGTCACTCTGCCGAGAGTGAGAGACGTGTCTGAGGGCATAAAACGATGGAATCGGTGCAACTGGCAGATTTATGTTGAAAACATCACATCCTATGTGGTAGCGACCGGGACCACTACGACGAAATCACACAGATTTCCACTCTGCACAAGCTGCTATAATTTATTCATTCTGTCTTAGATATGAACCCAAAAAATGAGCCAGGAGTTGTGGCACGATATTCTGAAAAAGATGAGGCAGATTGGAGGGACACATATCAGGGACAAGTGCCAGTTGTTTTCGGGTTACAGGTAAATTGACTCGTTTGACACTTGCCCTTTGAGTCCCAGTCCTCAGCAAGAGCTCGTCTTGAAATTCGCCGCCTACCACCATCTAATGTAAGTCAAATTGGTCAAAAATTCTGCTCCGATATATAGCTACAGCTGGCTCCGCGCACTTCGAGATCAGATCCTGTCCAGGATGATGTGTTTCCGTACTTTCACCCCATATTTTGGATTATCTAATCTCCTTGACGAATGTGTTCTAGCTCATCTGCCCCTGGAAGGCAGCGTTTCGTAGCGTGCAGAGGCCGTTCAGGCAGGACTGCAAAATGAGATAGTGCCCAGTTCGTTCTATGCCCCTCCGTTTGGGATTTGGATGTCAGATTTTTGATCCTGGCTCAACTCGGACTCGATAGGTAGATGTCATCGTGGATAGCCAAGTTCCTCAATGGTGAGTTTCGGAGAGGCTGATGGCATCAGACCATCCGAGTCATCTCACGGTTGACGAGAGATGAGAAACTTGCAGTCAACCACCACCACTCCACTGTCACAAGACAACATCCCAATCTCCCTAGCTTGATCTTTATTCATATTCTTCGAATTGGGCAGTTAGTGACGGCCGAACTTCCCCGCGGCGATGGTACAATCAGCCATTCGCCTTTGACCACTTGCGGTTCAATCTGGAGACCGTTCTGTACATGTACCCACCGAAATATCAGAGCCTCGCCTCAAGGCTCCCACGAGTGCTGAGTCATTACTCCAGGCTCTTTCCGCGCTTCAACGCATTCGGCTGCGATGGAATCCGTCCCGACCACAACCATCTCTGAGCGCTGTAAGCATTCAGTGGTCTCCTTCCCTCTTTCTGATCGCTCTGATCGTACACGGTCATTAGTCTGCGCGCCCGACCATGATGTGATCATCCAGTCGTCTGACGATGTTCTCTTCAAGCTCCATCGCAAAAACCTGGAGGTCCACTCGCTTGTCTTCTCCGACGCCGCGGCGGTGACAGGATCGGTCATTGAAAACAAGGACGAGATCGTCGAGCTCTCGGAGGACTCGGCCACCTTGGACGTCCTGTTTCGGTACATGTACAATCAGCCGCAGCCCGACTTGTCTGCGGTCGACTTCCTCGTGGTCACCCGGCTGGCCGTCGCGGCTGAGAAGTATACAGTCAACGCAGCGATCCCTGCGATCCTCATCCATATGACGTGAGTGGTTTATATCAACGGCACAGCAGACAGAGTGTGGATTTTACATGAATGGATGCAGAAGATCCTTGGAAGATCACCCTCTTCATGTGCTGGACTACGCTTTTCGTAACGACAATGCCAAGCTCGCCAACGCCGCTGCCGAATTGACCGTTGGATTGTCGGTGTGCGATGCCCACAGTCTCCTGTCCCAGGATGCGTTCGCCGCATGGGTAAGTGCGACCACGAGGCAGGGCCTATCACTGAACTGAGTTCTATGAAAGATTTTGTATTACGATCGCTGGTCCAAAGGTGTTAGGGCTCTTCTCAGTGCCCTGATCGACAAGAACGTAGCACAGCCAATCTACTCGCGGACCGGGGGCGTCAGCTACCCAGTATCTCAGTCTACCCTCGCAACCGTCGCTCGATGGAAGTTTGCAGAAGTACGCTCGCAGCGCTCTCTTTACAACATTGTCGATTTATCCGACGATTTCCTCGACCACACTTTTATCTAGTCAATCATTTCTCCCACCCTTGAATCGAACTGGACGAGTGAAACTGCAGTAATCGAGCTTCCCGGTCCGCACGCCCGAGCAATTTTGCGGCGTCCACGAGTCAATGTGGGTAGAAGTCTCGATCGCGTGAGGGCTGCATCGCGTTGTTTGAGAAGAGGATCATGTGCGGAGGCGCTAAGACTCTGAGCTTCTCATACTGTCGTTCATTCTTCAGAGGCCTTGGGAGCAGTCTGGGGCAGGGGTGGTTGTGTGCGAGTAAACGCACCGCTCTGTGCACACGAAGGGGAAAATACGGAACCACCCCTCCTCATTGGACCTGTGGTTGGCTACGAAGCAGCAGCTGATCTTCGCGCGATGGGCGGCGCAAACCATGACTGCGAATCAGAGAGGGGAGTATCCGGTGATCGCGGTGCCCGGCGGTCCGCCATGCCGGGAGGACGCTTCCTTAAAAGCCCGGCATATGATATATATATACAGGCAAAGTCAAGTCAACAGTAGGACGGTTATGCTATAGTTACATCGAAAAGAGATGAGTAGGCGGATACAGATTAGAGTTGGAGGTTACAATACACGAGTTTCCATGAGCTACAAAGGAATACGGCAGCGGGGTACAGCTAAAAGACAGACAGAGAAGACATTTCGTGGCGAATTTTAGGCGGGGAGGAGGAGTGGGAATGCAGATGGACGAATGAATCGCTCAAGAGCGGGTCGAGCGAATGAGAACGCGAGGGCCAAGCATGACACCACCGGTCATGACCCGCGTGACCCCACCCTTATACAGGTACGCAGTGAGATCGGTCGTGCGCGGCGATACGCGCTTCGCTGGCCGAGCAGCACGGGGAGAGGCAGCAGTGGGAAGCACACGTGTAGGCTTCGGGGGCGTGGCGGGGGGTGAAGCGGCGTTGCTGTTCGAGTACGCCGTGTACGACGACGCGCCGCTGTCGCTCTCCAGATCCGAGACATCGCCGTCGTCAGACGAGCTGTCGGAAGAGTGGCTGTCGGACGAGAAGAGCAGACTGGGGATCCGGATGGGCTCGATCTCGATCGATTGCTGGCGACGATGGGCGCGCACGCGCGCGGAGAGCACGACGGAGCGGAGCGACAGTCGACAGCGGGCATCGGGCGACTGAGAGTGCGCGTGTTGCCTCACGCTTCGGGAGATCGGGACGATGCTGCCCTGCGCCTCTTCGCTCCAGACACTGACGACCGCACCGTCCCCGACACGGGCTCTGACGTAGCCAGGCCCAAAAGAGAGGACGATGGCGCTGTCCGTGCTGCCACCGAGGGCGGTATACCATGCTGACCATGGGACATTGGCGCCGACGGATGCGGCGAGAAGAGCGGGGGGAAGGGTGCAGTCCGAGGCTAGCGTGAAAGTCGTGGCAGAACTGGAGGTAGCCAGGGACGCGTGGAGGATGAGCTGGGCTGAGGAGATACGCGCGGCAGGGAACACGCCGGCCAGGGGGCGGGTGAGGTAGGCAACGACGTGAGGAATGGGAGAGGTAGACATGGCAAAGTAAGTGGGTATCGTCCGGCGATCGAGGAGATGCTGGGAGATTGAGATTGGGCTGCTATAAGAAGATACGGAGGAGACACACCTAATGCTGGTGTGGTCGTAAAATGAAAGGGCCAAGACGGTCTAGATGAGATGAGGAATGAGCACGTAAAGAGGCGTAAAATGCAGGCGTCGAGCGTGGAGAGCGGAATGGGAGAGACCGCGAGTCTTATTGACTCCTCGACGACCGCCCAGTATTTATATCAGACATGTACTTCCGCGAAGTCGGGACCACGCATTGTTCTCTTCACATCCATTCTTCCCATTTGGCGGGAGTACAATGTACAAGTGTGTTTGGTTAGCCGCATGAAACACGTAAACGCGTGCAAACAATCACACCAATTGTCTTCCCAAAACGTGTGGTCCTTGTACTTTACCGTGCATCGGAATTCCATTTGTTCTGGATTTATTCTTGACTGCGACTCCATGCGTGGGGATAGCAACCCGGTGCGACCTCGGCTCGTATGATGTCAAGATGTCTCCTGAGAACTGATCGCAGAATGCACGTTTTTTTGAAAGACTGGACGAGGACAAGGGCGCGCAAAGTCTTCGCACGCCCGGACATGTCTGCACTCTTGATCCTTACAATGTTTCTCCTATTCGGAAATCATGATTGTTCCGAGAAAGAACTACAAACGTATGGTCCATAGACAAGGCCACAAATATCGAGCGCGAATGCCAGGTCCTTCCGAAAAGACCGATTAAAATGCGGCTCATTCTAATCCGATAACAGTCCTTGCGACATCCGTCTTCCTGACATTTTTTTTGGAACAGATTGCGTAGGACGCGTTGCTTACACGCCGCCGATGACTGCAGTTTCATTTCGAAACGCTGAGGGTACTCCTAGCTCCCGTGACCAGATCTTCCTTCTGCTTGCCTTCAACGACATACATACGTCAGAAACCCGCACTCTTTGCTTCTTGAACGCACGCCTCTCGCTCCCAAGTCACGAAGTGATCCCGTGACAGCTCCGCCGGGTAGCGGACCGACGTGGAAGTATGAATTCTGTCCTCGCATCCTACTGCTAACACTGAAGGCTGACCGTCTGTTGCTCATGAAAAGCACGCAGACTTTTCTTACGCTCGACCTCCCGATCCAACAACTCGGCACGATCGAGTACGCGCTCAGTTTTAGCAAAGCGGTGACGTCTTCCCAGACAGAGTCGCCTTGATCACATCTCGAATCCGCGCGAAGATGGTCTCTAAGGTCACAAGGGAGGTCATCTCTGACAATATAAAGCATCCGGGGGAAACTGTTCGCGTCCAAGTTCCCCGCCATGTTAACCCGCACATCTCTTCTGTCACTGGCCCTCGTCGGGTCGGCCCTTGCCCAAGTGCAGTCTCCTGTCATCGACTTGGGATACGCCCAATACCAAGGCGCTGTCAATACAACTACCAATATAACGAGCTTGATCGGAATTCGATATGCTGCACCGCCCGTAGGCGAGTGATTGTTTCTAGTCCCAGCGCCAGAGGCGATCTAACCCCCGACCAGGGGACCTTCGGTTCAGGGCACCCCAGCCTCCACTCAACACCTCTGGCATTCAATCTGCAACTGTCCAGCCGAACGAGTGCTTCCAGGCGCCTACCGGAAAGGCCGCTACGAATCCCCTCAAGCGCGCTGCGGTTGTTGTGCCGAGCGAGGATTGTCTTTTCCTCAAGTGCGTGTCCCAACCTAGAAGAGGGATCAGTAGGGCCTCTGATTACTATATAGTGTGTTCTACCCGAGCAATGCCGTTGGAACGCCAGGGACAAAACTCCCGACGCTAGTTTGGATCCATGGCGGAGGGTGAGTCTGAGAAGTTGCTACCCATTACCAGTGCTGCTTCTGATCCGCCTTCCAGATATCTCGCTGGTTCGTCAAACAACGTGAACGGCGGTGACATCATCCAACAGAGCAACCACAACGTCGTCGTCGTCGTCATCCAGTACCGGCTCGGTGCTTTTGGTGCGAATTACTTAGCGAGGCGGAGAACGTCGTCAAGTTGAGACTTCGAATAGGCTTCCTCGCCGGCTCTGCTGTGAAAAACGGCGGCGCCCTCAACGCTGGCCTTCGTGCGTCGAGTCAGAAATTATCATCGTTGGTTGCTCATGTCGCACACATAGTTGACCAGGATTTCGCTTTGCGCTGGGTGCAACAGCATGTACGTCTCATGATGCTGGCAAGATCATTCGATGACCGTTTCCCAGGTATCCAAATTCGGAGGCGATCCCGCCAAAGTCACAATCTGGGGTGAAAGGTGCGGGTGTTCAGTGAACTGTTTAGGAACCCGTATCTGATTTCCGAAAACAGTGCGGGTGCAGGTTCCGTGCTGCAGCACGTAATCGCAAACGATGGCCGAACCAAGCCCCAATTGTTCCGAGGTGCCATTACGAGCTCCACGTTTCTGCCGTCCCAATACAGATACGACGACCCGATCTCTGAGGTTGGTTCTATACCCGATCACGATGATTTCGTTCTGAAACTGTTCCACAGTCTCTTTTTAGCCAGGTGGTGGCTCAAACCAAGTGCGAACAACATCACTCCTAAATTCATCAAATTGATCCTGATGCAGCTGCACTCCTGCTGCCGACGCCCTCTCCTGTCTTCGCGCCACCAGTGCCGCAGTCTTGCAGACGGCAAACAGCAACATCAACGCCGCTGGTTTCTTCGGCACGTTCACGACCGTTCCAGTCATCGATGGGGAATTCATCGTCGAGGCTCCCATCGATACGCTGCGCAAACGACGTGTGAACGGGGTGGGTTCTCCCACGGGTTTTGCTTCCTTCTTGGATTGAATGGCCGGTCAGAAAGCGCTTCTCTCGGTAACCAACACATTCGAGGGGACGGTGTTTGTGAACACCAAGATCGCTGTGCCCAACGCGACAACGTATGCACTTGACCTGTTCCCGAAAGTTGACCTGGCGGAAGCAACGACTGTCGCCTCGGTCTATGCTGGGTTGGGGACGGACACATTCCAGGTCGAAGCGATCATGGGCGAATGTACGACGAACTGTCTCGTCGGTAGACCGGATGCTCATGAATTACAGCGATATTCATTTGCCCAACATATTATCTCTTGGAGGCCTTCCCGAAAGGCCATTCATTCAAGGTTCGATATCATATTCATTCGTCGGTTCTCCAAAATCATGACATCTCCCACCTCAGGGCGAATTTGCAATTCCCCCTGCAAACCACGGCAACGACCTCAACTACTACTTCCCCTCCAACAACCCCCCGCCATTCCAAAACACCGACTTCATCAACGCGTTCGCTCAGTCCTTCACATCCTTCATCGTCAACCTCGATCCCAACAAGAAGATCAACACCAGCACGATCACGCCCAGCTGGAGCAGCTACAGCGTCGGTCGCACGGAGATGCTGTTCAACAAGACTGCCGCCGGGGAGCCGGTCGTGCATACCATCGTGACGGACCCTGCGCTCGTCGCGCGGTGCAGGTGCGTTCCAGGTCATTTGATTGCATCCCACTAGACTAACGTGTTTCATCAAAGTGTCTGGAGCGGTTTGGGTGCATCCACGGGGCAGTAAGCCACGCGGTAATCTTCTCACGGGAGTCTGAACTCAAAATGTTCTAAACGAGACGTTGAATGCAAAAATACATCGTCGCTTACGTTGAGCTGCCGTCGACTTAGTTGAGACTTGAGCTCGATATGTGCTTCAAGGACTTACCCTTCGCCGCTCCACCGGGACACTGTGAAATCAGCTGATACTATGGGTCTCCTTCGCGCCCCTCGTCGAATCTGTGGTCGCACAAGTGTGCATGATTGATATACACGAGCTTTTCGCACCCATAGTGCTAGGATTTAGTCAAATCTATGGCTGTAGCCATAAAAATTGCATTCAAATCTATGGCTGTAGCCATAGCATGGATACAGTCATAGCTTTGACTAATACTGCTATGGCTACAGCCATAGCGTGGCAGGCCATTGGTCCTGTTGCTTTTCTCGGCATCACCATGGCATGTGCAAGATCATCATTGCCATCAGCACCACCATGATCCCCCAACATAAAGTGTTGATAGGCCTTACTGTCTTGAACAAGCCGCGCCCCTCTGGGCGCGGAGGTTAGTGGTTCAGGCTAGGGTTTGGGTTTGGGTTAAAGGTTAGTCCCCAGAGACGTCATTTTTTCTCGGTTATGGCTGGGGCAAGGTAGCAAAAAGAAAGCCTATTACAGGTTTTGTAAGGGTTGGTTAGGGTAATAAATATATTTATTGTCAGTTAGGGTTGGGGCAAGGGAGCAAAAAAAAAAATCCTGTTAGAGGCTCTATTAGGGTTGGTTGGGGCAAGAAATATGTTTATTGGGTGATAAGGGGTTGGGATAACCAGTACTAGGATAAAGCTTTCCCTCCACTTAGGGTAAGCCGCTTGCGGGTTACCCTAAGTTGAGGGAAATTGCAACTTGTTTAACAGCGGTTTAGCTCAATATGATAATGTGTTGGGTTAACATACATTTTTAGAAGGTCAGCCGTTCAATCCTCACTGAAACCAGTGACCACCGCCTAGCTGTTGGGTGTCAATCACAATCACAGGTTGTCGATCATAATGATCGTTGTTCACATCAGCACCGCCATGCCCTATGGCTACAGCCATAGATTTGAATGCAATTTCTATGGCTACAGCCAAACGGATTTGACTAAATCCTAGGGCTATGGCTCCTTTTCAAGATTGCACAACGTTGAACATGCTTCACGTGATCGTTCTCTGTCCCCACAGAGTTACAGTATGCACTACTGGTCAGATGCAGTATGAATCGGTGCCCTCACGCTTTGCCATGTATTGATGTGACGTTGAAACTTAGCATGTATATACGTGAATGAACAGTCACTGCATTCCCAGCTAGGCTCGACCCCAGGGGACGATAAAAGCCGGGTGATGACCGAGGGTGGGGCAAGCCGTGTCTAGAGAGGTTGAAATGTCTATACGCCAGGGGGCTATTCCAGTAGAATACGTGCAGGGTTGATGAAAGACAAACCGTGCGCTGATTGATTAGATCCCGTGGGGGTGAAGTGTGGATCCGCGCAACAATCACTTCGGATTCCTTGACAGTAGTTGAGTCAATTCCATGATTCAGCCGTCCCATAATTCGGTTAGTGATGTGAGGATTATAGTCGCAAGTTTGGCCTCATCAATGGTTTGGCCAAATTTTCTGTTGGCGGGCTTTCCATGTTTGAGTAAGTTTTTGAATATCCTCCTTGAGATTTTCCTACTCTGTGCAAAGTGTCCGGAACAGGTGCCGTCTCAGACCCCAAGCCGGATGATCAAAATTCCCCCGTTTGGTTGCTATGCCCGTTGCCATCGGGTCCACGCGTCAACAGCCGTGGTGCAGGCTTGAATTTATGCCATAGGTCCCTCCCCAACTCTGAGCGAATTGATGAGAGGGCTCTCTGCTTCTTCTTCTACTCATTCATCACCACAGCCCCGGTAGCATCGCTCGAAACGCTAAGTGTAGTTATTCTCGATACGATCACGTATTCCTCGAGGTCTTGGTCCGTCAAGATGTCCATCATCTTTGTGCTCCAAATGGAGTATGATTCTGCACTTTTGAGAGACTTGAATTGGTATGCCGAACTGTTTGACATCTTGATTTCGGAGTGCTGCCCGGTGCTCCTTGGCTTTGTGCGTTTCCATAAGTGAGCAGGTATCTTGGGTTTGGGGCCCATGACCTGTCGAGTGGGACAACTGGTCCTTTTCTTCCTTGAGTACATCATTTCAAACAATATTTCTCTTATTGATCATGAACAACTAGGACGAGGGAGATCCAATAGGAGATGAGCTCCGGCTCATCTCCATGCCTCTCGGTGTTCGCCCCGTTTGTCTCATCTCCATAATAATAGCATCCATGCCGGGGTGTAACCCACTCACAAGTATCTCGACCTCTGCAGACCCCTGGGGATATCTTGAATGCTCTCAAAGTGTTGGTTGGGGGCAACAACTGTGAGGTCGATGTTACTTTGTGTGCTCGAGAAGGAAAAGCTGATTGTTGACCCTTTGCATACACCCTGACGCATGTATGTAGTGCGAATCCCGGCTGTTGCTCATGGGGACCGAGCCGGTAATCATTCTACCAATTTACCAAACCCGTGAAATTTCTCCAGCCAATGGGCCATGATCACATCTCGGGTCCGCGCGAAGAATGACTCTGGGGTGACAAAGCAAGCCATCTCTGACGATATAAGACTGACGGGAGGAAAGCGTCCGGCTCCAGCTTCTTCGCTATGTTTACTCGCAGATCTATTCTGTCACTGGCCTTCGTCAGCTCGGCCCTTGCCCAAGTACAGTCTCCTGTCATCGACTTGGGATACGCCCAATACCAAGGCGCTGTGAACACTACCACCAACATAACAAGTTTGATCGGGATTCGATATACTGCACCGCCCATAGGCAAGTGATTGTTTCTAGTCCCAGCGCCAAATACGGTCTGACTCGCGGCCAGGGGACCTTCGGTTCCACCCTAGGGACCTCCAATCATTACGTAAAATGGCTTCGAGGCCCCCTCCGGAGGCCATCAAACCACCCCCTACCCCCCCTGATCGGAGGCCATCCTGGAGGCGCCTTCCTAATTGGGACGCTGCCTGGCCATTTGTCCACCGCTTGCATGGTATGCTAGGGATCGGCCTGAGTGCTGATATATGCTGTAGTAGTCATTATAAAGCCTCAGACAATGTCTGACCTCTCAAAAGCATGTATTTCTTGCTTGCAAATGGCAGACCACTGGGTGCACACAATTTGGGATCTGAGTACGTGAGCACTCCTCAGGTGCATAGAGCAACAGTAGATGTATTAATTCGAGATTGAGCATGAGGTATCTGTGCCCACACGCAAAAATGAGATGTTGCTGAAGGGATGGTTTATGGCCTCCACGACCTCCCAGGTGCAGAAAAAAAGGTGTTGGGTAGCCCACAGGCCCTTGAATTCCGCTTCAATAGATCAATTAGATGCTTATGCTCTGTCAAAACAACAGCCCAGCATATAAATTGGATGCTGGAGCAGTGGCAGAACAAGCCTCCACCGCCTCCAGGGCCGGGGATCAAAAGCGGTTACTGTAGATTCAGCCACACAAACTGTGTTCATGACATTATTTATCTTCATTGAGATGCACAGGATCCTTTAGAGCGATAGCTCAACATGTGAATTGGATGCTAGAGCAGATTACAGAAAAGCTCTCCACAGCCTCCACAGCCGGGGACTGAAAGCAGTTTCTTTGGATTTAGTGGTAGAAACTATGTGTTCAATGTCAGGTGTCTTATTTGAATGCCAAGGGTCCTCTATGGAGACAGCTCAGCATATGAATCAGATGCTGGAGCGAATGGCAGAACTGGCCTCCACCGCCTCCACAGGTTATTACTTGAAGAGTTGGGATGAGATGACAATGTAACAGACAGATATTCTCCTGGCTGACCACATTCTGTCATTTCTACCTCTAAATGCAAGTTGAATTGCTGCAGAATGTTAAAATGAGAGAATGGGGGACCCTGGAGGCGCTGGAGGCACATGCAAGATCCAATCAATATCATCAATATCATCAATGCCATCAATAGCATCAATAGCATCACCAATCATTGGTAGATTGATCAGCCAATCAGATGATGAATAAACATCGAACATCTAGTATATTCATTCCTGAGAGACACAGACTACATGTATGCTCATACTGAAAGTGGATTAGTGGTCCCAGGACATGCCCCAATGACATATTACATCCTTGTCTGAAGAACATATCATTGAAATTCGGAGTTTGCAAATGAACTGAAAGTCAACTGAAGATGAGTGGTACAGTGGAGTACTTTCAGCTCATTTGCCAAATCCAAATTTCAATGATATGTTCTTGAGACGCCGGCTCTGCTTTGAAAAACGGCGGCGCCCTCAACGCTGGCCTTCGTGCGTCGAGTCTTGGATTTCAATCTTGGGTTGCTCACGTCCCACGTAGTCGATCAAGATTTCGCATTGCGCTGGGTGCAGCAACATGTATGTCTCCTAATGCTGACGAGATCATTTGATGACCGTTTCCCAGATTACCAAATTCGGCGGTGATCCAGCCAAAGTCACGATCTGGGGTGAAAGGTGTGTGAATGGAACGACTCTTCACATTACCCCCCATCCTTATTTCCACGACAGTGCGGGTGCTGGCTCCGTGCTGCAGCACGTCATTGCGAACGGTGGCCGAACCAAGCCTCAACTATTCCGAGGTGCTATTACGAGTTCCACGTTCCTGCCGTCCCAATACAGATACGACGATCCGATCTCTGAGGTTGGTTCGATTTCCGATCACGGGTTTTTTGTTTTTTGAAACCGTTCGACAGTCTCTCTTCAGCCAAGTGGTGGCTCAAACAAAGTGCGGAAAACATCAAGGATAAACTCATCAAATTGACGTAATGCAGCTGCACTGCTGCCGCGGACGCCCTCTCCTGTCTTCGCACCACCGATGCTACAGTGCTGCAAACAGCCAACACCAACATCAACGCTGCCGGTTTCTTCGGCACGTTCACGACCGTTCCCGTCATCGACGGGGAGTTTATCGTCGAGGCACCTATTGACACACTGCGCAAACGGAGAGTGAACGGGGTGGGTTGCGCTGTTTGTTCTGCCTACGTCCCGCGAACTCATTTTCCGGCTAGAAAGCGCTTCTGGCAGTCACGAACGAGTTTGAGGGTACAATCTTTGTGAACACCACGATTGCTATGCCCAATGTCACTGCATACACACTCGAGCTGTTCCCAAAGGTCGACCTGGAAGAAGCGAAGACCGTTGCCTCGATCTATGCTGGATTGGGGACGGACACATTCCAAGTTGAAGCGATCATGGGAGAATGTACGAGACACTGTCTCGTCGGTAGACCGGATGCTCATGAATTACAGCGATATTCATTTGCCCAACATATTATCTCTTGGATGCATTCCCGAAGGATCATTCATTCAAGGTGCGATATATCATTCATTCGTGTTCTATCTCCAATTGTGGCATCTCCCACCCCAGGGCGAATTTGCAATCCCCCCTGCAAATCACGGCGACGACCTCAACTACTACTTCCCCTCCAGTAACCCCCCGCCGTTCCAAAACACCGACTTCATCAACGCGTTCGCCCAGTCCTTCACGTTCTTCATCGTCAACCTCGATCCGAACAAGAAGATCAACGCGAGCACTATCACGCCCAGCTGGAGCAGCTACAGCGTGGGCCGTGCGGAGATGCTGTTCAATAGAACTGCCGCCGGGGACCCTGTTGTTCATACCATCGTGACGGACCCTGCGCTCGTCGCGCGGTGCAGGTGTGTTCCAGCCCGTTTGATTGTAATCCAGTGCGTTGATGTTCCTCAAAGCGTCTGGAGCAGTTTGGGTGCATCCACGGGGCAGTGAACGGTTCGGTTATCTTTTCACGATACTGAAGAGCTCAAAACTGTCTTGAACGAGACGCTGGATGCAAAATACATCGTAAATTGCGCTGAGCTGCCGTTCTGACAAGAGGAACCTTCTGGGACGTTCTTAAGAAATGGGGTCACCAAGATGTATCTGCAAACATTCGGCGGCGCGTTTGTGCTTTTTTCGCTGTCTTCGGGCGGAATGGAGAGCAGGCGTGTTGCTTATACCAAGTTTCTCCAGTGCGTGTTGCGCTTGAGTCGTGCGAAGCCTTACAACGAAGCCTATGCTGAATTGGTATATCCTCCTTGCCCCCCACGTTGTGCCCTGGCTCTTACGGCCAAGTCTGCTTTCCCTGCGCACGCGCGTACACATCCTCGGACACGCAGCGTCCTACTATTTGACAAAAGTGCTGTCTGTCTCCTTCCAGCGCTGGATCACCGTTTTCCGTCGGATATGATCCGATCACTACGAGGCATTCAATCCATTCTCTTGCCGGATCCGTTAACCTCACTTGACGGAACCATGCCCAAGGAGTCTGGGATGAGTCGCGCGGCTTTGCCATTGGCACCTATTCCCGTCGGCAGGATCACAAGCGAAAACCACCTGACTCGAAGTCCGATTCCGAGTGGCGACTTGCGACAGAGATTCGGAAGCCCGCCTTCCGATGAACTTCCCCCTGCTGCGTTTGTCACTATCACCGACACTTAGGCCGCCGTCTGGAGGGCGGCCGCGCGTCCTGGTACTCTCGGATTCCTGCACCTCATTGCAGCTTCGAGTTACCATGGGTATCGTAAGGGAACGACGAGGGAGCATGTGACAGCGAGGAGACACCTGGTTCGCATGATTTCCTCGCTCCCTGCTCATCATCTGGCCGTCGAAGTCATGGCCAACGTTTCTGTGTAGACGCATGCGACACCTGATGGCTCAATTAGCGCAGCCTGCGACAGCCATCATTGGCTCGACTCGAAACAGCACGCGCGTGGTGGACAGTGCATCACATGGCGCAGGAAGAAAACAGAGCGGCGTCGATCCAGTAGGCACAACCATCGAGTGAAACATTCACCAGGATAACGGCTAGTCAGCTCGAAATGGGTTCCACACGAGCCGTGCGCGAGTCGCTATGCGCGCCACATGTTTCTCCTGGATCCATGTGCTGTCGAGCACCGGCATCAAATCCTTCCGGCGAACAAACGGCAGAGAACGATCGTGCAAGAGAGAGCCATAAAAGCAGGAGGAGCTGACGAAGGTCGTTCAGTAGCATTTGCTTCACATCGTTCATTCCTTCGCTCTTCGCCCTCGACACCGCCTCGTTCCCGATGTTCAACAAAAGCGCCCTCCTCCTCGCCGTCTCGCTGGCCCTCTCGATCTGCGCTGTCCCGTCCCCGGCGCCGGAGGGAGTCGCGGTCCCCATCCGGGCCCGCAGCGCGCTGACGACTGCCGATGGCGTGTTCGACCATGACGGTGCCATCGCGGAGACCGTGAAGACGATCAACAAGCACCGCCAGAACCTGATCAACTTGAAGAAGAACAAGGGCGAAGCGTTCTTCAACCCGGTGCGTGCTTCTTTCGATCGAGTGCTGGATGTTCTGTGACTGAACGGATTTGCAGGGTGCCGAGATCAAAAACATCGCCACCGTCCCTCCCGCCGTGCAGGCCCGGATGGAGAGCCGCCACGAGAAGCGTCAGAGCTTGGGGCTCACCGACCAATCGGAAGAAGAGTGGACCGGTAGCGTGTCGATCGGCACGCCCGCGACGCGTTTCGTCATCGACTTTGACAGTGAGGATCCAAAGTGCCATCGGAAACACACGCTAATGAAGTGCAGCTGGGTCTTCCGACCTCTGGGTGCCCTCGTCTTCTTGCCGCTCCAGCTGCTCGGGGAAAACCAAGTACAACCCCAACCAGTCGTCGACCTCTACTCGCGAGTCCGGATCGTTCTCCATTCAGTACGCCGACGGATCGACTGTCTCTGGGCCCATCTACACGGACACGGGTAAGCCCATGTTTTCTATCCGCAGAGACAACACTCTCATCGCAGTGGCCCAGTCTCCGTTGCGGGTGTGTCTGTCACCCAGCAGTACCTCTCGGGTGTCACGACCCTGTCTTCGTCGTTCACCAGCGGCCCCGCTGACGGCCTGCTCGGTCTCGCATTCCCGGCCATCTCCAACCTCGGCCAGGACCCGTACTTCCAGACGGCCATCAACGAGGGTGCCGTCTCCGCCAACCAGTTCGGGTTCTACCTCGCGAGCTCCGGCTCGTCGCTGTACATCGGTGGAACCGACACCCGCAAGTACTCCGGCTCGATCGAGTTCAACGGGATCACGTCGTCGTCCGGGTTCTGGCAGGTCACCGGCGCGTCCGTCAACGTTGGCGGCAGCACCGTTGCCTCGAATCTCGAGACCATTGTCGACTCGGGAACGACGATCATGTACGGCCCGCCTGCGCTCGTGAGGGAGATCTTCGCCCAGGTTCCGGGCGCACAGTTGTACGATTCCGCCAACGGTGCGTGCTTGCTCTGTTAGCGCTATTGTCTCGAAATTTCTGACGCATCGTTCTAGGCTACTACTCGTACCCGTGCTCGAACCCGCCTCAGATCTCGTTCAACTACGGCGGCAACGACTGGACCATCTCCGCGGCGAACCTGAACCTCGGCCGCACCTCATCGGGTTCGCGCTCGTGTGTGTCTTCGCTGGCGGCGCAGGACCTCGGATTGGGATCCCGTGTGTTCCTGCTCGGTGATGCGTTCATGAAGAACCAGTACACTGTGTTCGACGTCGACCAGAACGCTGTCGGTTTCGCCACTCTTTAGATCCTTAGATGATCGCAGTAGCTCAAAACAATCAATGCAAACCGCTCTTTCACTGCTTAAAATTGTGTGCATGAAAGGATCTTGTTTCTGAATCTTCCAGCAATCTTTGACAAACTATCTGCGCATAGTGGCACAAACAGTATCTGGAGTGTCGTCGAGCTCGAAGTTTGGCACTGACAACATCTCTGCGTCAAGTCAGACGGTGTCTATGCTACTTGGCCAACTCCATTGCGTCGATGACTATACATTTCTGTCCGCGTGCGAGCCACCGTTCCAGTGCCAGACTCTGAAACAAACGGAATGCCAGCCCGGCGACGAACACGTCAGGTGTTGATAGCCGCACGCAGCGAACCAGCTTCGACCGGACTTGTATAGATGGAGACAAAAGTAAAAGACCGGAACATATCTAGATTGCATATTTGAAATGGACAACAGAAGGATTATAGATGTACATGGCCGATGATAGCAGAACTCCAGAAAACTCAAAGAAAACTCAAACATTCTTGTCCTCCTGCCGAAGACAAAACGGGAACAGTGCGATCAGTAGTGGCCGCCAGAGAGCTAGATGTCATGCCAGTCAGCCGATCGAAAACCAACACAGGAGTAGCTGGACGCACCGTGGCCTTGTCGAGCACGAGAGAGTGGCCCTTGCCGGCAGCGGTGATGTCGAGGCCGGAGAAGTCCCATGTGCCACTGCAGGCGCCGCAGTCAACGACCAGGCCGTATGCACTGCTGGTGCCAGAGACCGTGGTCGGGGAGCCGGAGAAGCTGACACCTGAGATCGGTCCGCCGGATCCAGGCTTGCCGTCGTTGGCAGGGTAGCTCTGGGTGATCAACACACCGTAAGAGCTGATGCCCGAGAGCTTGTTGCTGCAGTGCGATGAGTGAACTGCACGACGCGTGCGCACACAAAAACGAGACGGACCCATCGTAGACGACATTCGCGACCTTAGCACCAGTGGCGGCAGCTTGCACCTTAATGCGAATCCCGTACAAGCTGTTGGTGACGGTGTTCCGCAGGGCTTTGAAGTTGGTGACGCTCTTGCCGGAAGCCATAGACCCGATGGAGATGCCGTGACCGTTGGCGCAGGTGTTATCCTCGAAGACGATGTTGTTTCCCTCGTTCAATGCGAGACAGTCGTCTTGGTTCTTGACCGTGCAGGACGAGATCGTGACGTCGTCGGCGCTCACGTCAAACCCGTCGGTGTTGTGTCCGCCCTTGGAATCACCGAGCGCTGTTTCGCCAATCAACCGCGGGAATCAGATACGTGACAAAGCGCAGGCACTCACAGTTGTCGACGGTCACCTCAGAGATGGTCGAGGCCCCGCCGGTGGTCCCGACAGAGATGGCCTGAGCCGGCGAGTTGAGGACGGTGAACTGCTTGAAGGTTCCGTAGCCTTTGACCCTGAGGCGCGAGGTCAATCGACGCGTCTATGGCAAACAGGCAAGTGCACACTCACTTGATGAAGGGGTGGGGTTTGAAGGAGCCGCCGTTGCTTCCCTTGCCATCCCAGTAAGAGGCGCCGTTGCCATCGATCTTGTGGTTGCCTCCGACGAAGTTGATCGCGGGAGTGTTGAAGGTGAAGAGAGGACCAGGAGCTGGAGCCAAGTCAGCATCGGCAGATTCTCCATGGTGCGCAATGCCGCGTACTTGTCGTCTTCGCAAAGACTACATCGCCAGCCATGGTAACTGTCGCGCCCTTCGCCGCCTGCCGCGCGCGTTAGATGAGGTGGAACAAGAGGAAACCTTGAGCGGCACGCACGGTGATCGTGATGGTGTTTCCAGCAGGCACAGTGAATCCCTGGATGACGACGTTGGAGCACCCGCTCAGGTTCGTCGAGCTAGCCACGCTGTTGACCGTGCAGGAGGCGCGTTTGTCGTTCTCCACGACGGCCAAGTTGCCGGGAAGCGCAAGCGCCACGCTGATGAGGGCGGACAGCTGCAGGAAAGCGGTGATAGAAGACATATCGAGGAGGAAGAACAGACGGCCGAGCAGAGGATGATGTTTTGCTCAGTCTGTGGAAGGCGTATTTTATATCGAATTGTGTTGCTGTCTCGCGGCCCGGAGACGATGGACCATTCCTCGACGCCTCGACCCGTGAGCGCATGTGTCATACTGTGGATAAGTCCGAGTCCGAGCGTTGTCGAGAGAGTAGATTTAGCAAAGAGCCGACTCTTGCACGTGACAAAGCCGGAGTCGTCAAATTGAGCGTGATCCCCGCCGTTGTTTTGGCGCTCCCATTATCGCGCAACAAACGATACAAAGATATTTCCGCGAAACCGCCGTATGTATTCTCCACCAGCGCATAACCATAAGCACAGTGCAAAAAAAAAACTCAATCGCTGTGCAGTTGCCCCGACGCTGAAATGTTTCCAGACCGGGTAAACGCGGTTGTTGCCCTTACGCTAAAATGGCTTCCTTTCATTAGAAGCTATGTATGCGCTAAATCATATGATAGAGGATTGCGAAAGCAGAATAGCCGCCTGTGCAGCAGATACATTCGTAGGAACTCCGGTCCTACTGCTTCGCGAGATCACTGCATTGAGTCAAACTTCCGAAACGCCCAGGGTCAACACAGATCACCTGTTCAGAACCACTCCAAATGAGAAATGTTAGTTATATCTGATCGGCCCACCATGTTATCAATGATAGGGAGCCATTTCCGCCTCCTTCCCAACTGCCGTGGTAACCCGCGGCACTACCTACGTGAGTTATCATATCTGGAGTCCAAATGCAACTCGGAGGAAGGTAAGCGGCGTCTTCTCATCCGTCACCATCCTTGGCCTTACACCCCATAACAAATGTCCACGAAACTAATATTGTAATTATTGGCAATTCATTTGTTAGTTTGGACGACTAAATTGGCATGATGATTATATATGTAATATGTACTGTATGATAGCGGGTACCGGGCCACCTTAAGGCATACAGGCCAGTGCTTATGATTAATAGATGAATCCATTTAGTTAGGCATCCAAAGTCGAGGGCAAGGACCCATTCTAACTTGTGTAGGTGGTAGATTTTTTTCGCTATGTTGTTTCGCGCTCTGGGAATATTTTGGTTAGAGAAGTCCGAATCGGCAAAATACCATGATCCGGGCCGGTTTGGTGATCTCTGTTATTTCTTCGGTTCCAGGACTACAATGGCGACAAGGACGCATGCATGAAGGTACATATGGACAAGTGGTGCATAAATTTACTCGTTTGAGGCCCTGAGTCCTTTCTCAATCACGGATTTTCGCTTTGACAGCTGCAAGGGGTCAGCTACTGCATGATATTCAAGATACTCATCAAGTCCTTGGCAGTCGTTGACGTTTGCCAGTGGCTCCCAGGTGACATCCTCATCGGCCCATACCACCATGAACTCTACATTACCTGTTCTTCACCAGTGGCCATTGACTCGAACAATCTGGATCTCATCAATGGGTGATCCTGACCGGGAGACATCCTTGTAGCTGCCTGAACTGGAGAAGGCCTCAATCTGAGTTGTGGATGGGCTTGGGGAACGTGAAGGAGAGGGTTCTGACTCGGTACGAACCTTGTCAGAGCTGGAACTTTTCTCTGTCTCTTCACTGATAGGATCGAGATCGATCTCTTCCTCCGAGTTGCTAATGCCAGGAGGGAGAGTGAGCTGTATACCTCTCCCTCTTGCAGCACCTTGTCCATGACCACCATGGCCTGTACCTGGACGACCGCGCCTGCCGCTGCCTCAAGCCCGACCCGGTGTTGCAGCATGACTGCCACGTGCTCTTCCTTGGCCACGCCCTTGAGTCTGGCCATGCGGATTGGGTTGAGCGCCATTGTTCTCAGTCTGCTGCTTCCTCCGGCAAGTCTTTTTTGGTTCGTAACCTTGCAGAACAAGACTGACAATGGGGCGCACATTCCACAGCCATGGATAGCCGCCAAACAATTCATCATGCACATCTCTCATGGGGTCTCCAGAGTGAGCCGAGTCTGAAATCCGGCCAGAGCGCTGAAGCCAACGGGCGATGTCGACCAGGAGCGGCTGTAAAGCCGCATGAACTGGTGTCCATTGCTTCTTATGCTCATTAGCTGCAAGCACTGTGACAGTTTCGTTGTTGGTGAGCAGCCGAGCCATCCCATTTGTGTACTTCCGCTTCTCTTTAGCCTTCTTTGCAAACAACGACTTGCGCAAGCACTCATTCTTGTGCGCAGCAAGTTGAAGATGGGCATTGAGCATCTGTAAGTTGATGCCAGCAGAGTCGAGAATGGCTCGGAGCTTATCGTTCTCCAAACATGTCAGGGGAACCCCCGTTTCGGACCGCTCTGCCTTTGATCAGGCATGTGATTGCGCTCGCGTGACCTGTCAGCTGTCACGTGCCGCGGCCCGGACTGCCGCGCCGAGCGCTTCTCCTTGATGGGCACATGGCCAGGTGCCCCATTGTTCCTATTGTCCCCGCTCCCATTGTTCTGTCATGGCCGTTGTACTTATTGTCCCCATTGTTCTTTGTTTGTTGCTGCGTGCTCCATTGTTCTTGTATCATATAAATAGTGGCGCCTGGCAAGGAGAATCCCCAACATGGTTTCTCTTTGGATTCTCCCTTGCCAGGTATGCCGGTCTTGTACCTAGCTACCACTATTAATCACCTTTGGATTCTCCCTTGCCAGAACTCTGAGATCGGGTCTCGAGGTTGCCCTTACAGCAGAAAACGTGTTCCTAGGGATAACCGGACAAGATGGCAAGGTTCGACGCTGACGCCAGTGGAGAAGAGTCGACGAGCGACCAAGACCACCACTCCCTCACCTCCTATCTTGCCCCCTCCTCCCCTCCACGAGCAGACCCGATGAGCATGGATGACAACGAACAGCAGCGGCTGTCTGCTCTGGAGACCAGCATACAGAACATCGAGGCCGTACTCACCTGCCTCATCTCTCAACAACAACAACCCCCTGCCCCTGCCCCTGCTCCAGCTCCGGCAGCGGGTCCAGGTGTTCCTACTGGCACCAGCCCTGGGCGCCCCCTTATCCGTCCAAATCCTCCCTTCTCCTTTGATGGGGATCGCACCCTGGGCAAGAGCTTCTTGCATTCAGTGAAGCAGTACTGGCGTCTGCTTCCTGAGGCGTTCTTCGTGAATGGGGCAGTCTCGGAAGAAAAGGTAGTCTGCTTCACCCTGTCCTACATGTCCAAGGACTCCGCAGCCTCCTGGTCCGAGCGCATGTCCAAGCGCACCCCATTCCCGTTCCCTACTTGGGCTCTCTTCGTCACCAAATTCAAGCTCCGATTCGTCGAGGAGAACGAGCAAGACCACGCCCTGGCGCGACTGGAGACCCATCTATATTATATGGGCTCCCGTGACGTGTTCAAGTACACGGACGAATACGACGACCTCCTTGATCTCGCCGGCTATACCGACGATCTGGTCAAGGTGACCAAATATAGGACGGGCCTGGATCTGAAGATCAACCAGGCTATCACCACCTCTGGCAACCCTCCCAGGCTCACTGACTACGCCGAGTGGCGTGTCCGTGCGTTCCGGCAGTACAATGCGGAACAAGCTGCCAAGGCGTCTCGAGGCCACGTCCCTCCCCCCCGAGCGCCTCCTATTGTCCCTCGTCCTCGTGCCCCGGTGCTCCCTGCTGTAGCACCGGCAATTGCTGCTCGCCCGGCGCCGGCTCCTGTTGCCCACCCCATCCCCATGGAGTTGGATCGGACCCGGCTCCGCGGTGACGTTTGCCGCACCTGCTTCCGCTGCGGCAGTCCGGGCCATCTTGCCCGTGACTGCCCCACCCCAGCTGATATCCGTCACACCGATGTCCTCGATGAGGTCATCAATCAGCTGGGGAGTGATCTGCTTTCCGAGTTGGTTGCTCGGGTCGCGACCACTGCAGCCGTTGCGGATCATGCGTCCAACGTCGCAGCCGAGGAGGAGCAGGGTTTTATCCCCAGCGACGAGTGAGTAGTACGCCCTCGTTCGCTTCACGTAATCGTTTCTCCTGTTTGTATGATGAATCCAATTCCCTCCACTCTGCAACAGTTGAAGCGATAGACGTACACCCTGCTCCCCCTCTAATCCCACGAGTCCGTAAGGAGAAGTGGGAACGCAAGCTCCCTTCCTGCTATGTCGCTGCCGCCTCTCCCGGGGCCAATTCTCTCCACCTCCCCCTCGAGATCGAGTCCACCGACAACGCAGTGAAGTTATCTCTCAAAGGCCTGGTCGATTGTGGTGCCACATCCGACTTCATTGACTCGGCCTACGTCCTCAAAAATCACCTCCCCGTTCGTCGCCTCACCCAGCCTATCCCCGTTTACAACGTGGACGGCACGCCGAACGAGGCCGGTTCCATTCGCAAAGTTGCTGATGTGGTTCTCCGTTACCAGGGCCACAGTGAACGCGTGCAGCTTGCTGTCACCCGTTTAGGCAAGCAACAGCTCATTCTAGGGTACTCCTGGCTCCGGAAGCACAACCCAGAGATCAACTGGGATACCCAGGAGGTAAAGATGAGCCGTTGCCCTTCCGGTTGCTCCACCTGCCGGGAGGAACTTCGCGAAGAACGTCGATCTGCCAGAACCGCGGCCCGGGTGCTTCGCACCATCAGACAAGGTCCGGTTCCATCCATCTGCGCTGTCGACGTTGAGGACCACAAGGACGAAGAGATGCCGGAGCTTTCGCCAGACTCGGACGATTATGACCCTGAAGATGTCGAAGAAGATGACGACTCCTTGGAAGCTGGTGACCGTATCTTTTACACCCGCTTCAACCCTTCTGAAAACATCTGAGCCACCAGTACCGTCTCTCAGCGACTTGCCGAGGCGTTCGCTAAGAACTCTGCACCTCCTCGGGATACCATCCCCGAGTGGGCCTGCGAGTTCGAAGATGTTTTCAGCAAGGAGTCCTTTGACAACCTGCCAGAGCGACGCCCCTGGGATCACGCCATTGAACTGGTTCCCGACGCGAAGCCGAACAACTGTAAGGTCTACCCCATCTCCCCTCTCGAACAGAAGCAGCTCGACAGCTTCATTGAGGAGGGCATGGCTACTGGCAGGATTCGGCCGTCAAAATCGCCCATGGCATCTCCTGTCTTCTTCGTGAAGAAGAAAGACGGCAGCTTACGGTTTGTCCAAGATTACCGAGCACTAAACGCGATGACAGTGAAGAACCGCTACCCACTTCCCCTGATCAATGATCTCATCAACAAGCTCAAGGGAGCTCGGTT